GGTCATCTATTTTAATCACAAATAATGATTCATAGGATTCTTGTTTCTGTGCGATCAAGGTGAAGGTCAAATTGAGTTTAATATTTTATCAGACTCGTTGATCGAAAAGATTTTTTATCACGATTGACAACCACAGCATAACTTTTAAATTTACGATTTACGTTAAATGTCTTGGTAATAATACAAAACTCAGCTTTCCATAGTTTCTACCCTGAAGCTATGTCAAAGTTCTGGATGCAAGTAACATCTGCATGAACAAAATGCTGATGGCAATACGAGAAGATCTTCGTCAACGAATATAAATTTATATTAATTGTTAATATACAATAAACTATAAATTTGATATAATATAATGCATTATTAATTTGAATTTGTCGCTTTAATCCAGAAAAGTGGTACCGTTTTAATTCGTTTTACTACAATCTTTTTTTATATTTTTAATGTTTCTTTATTGTTTTATATTTGATGATTATTAATTTTCTGTCTGAATTTGTCCTTCCTGTTTAATTATTTAGTGAGTTGAATTCATTTAAGTTCAATTTTGAAATTATTTGAACTGGTTCATCAATTTCTTTAAATTGATCAATTCATTTGTGTTAATTTATTTAATACATCATCATTTTTTCATCAGCATTCTAATTTTCATCAATATTTGATTTTAGTGGTTTATTTTATTTATTCGTAATCGCGGTTTTTAAAAGCAAAACAAGCTGCCAGTCGGGTCTGGGGTTTTTTTTCCATAGGAAACTCTCCTTCACTTGTTTTATTTTAAATCATTTAATCACTTTTTTAATTGTTGTTTTGTCTCATAATTTGTTTGTTAGGTGATTCATCTACTGGTAGAATGTCGGGAAGTGAAAAATTATCTTCTATTGGAATGGTTTCCTCGCCACCAGCAGCAGAAGTGAATGGATCTGTAAAGAGGGAAGAGATTATTGTTGTCAATGATGAAGAAGAAGAAAGAAAGAAAAAAATAGAAAGAATGAAAAGAAACCAAATTTCCAAATGAAGATGTATTACTCTTGGTGATTTAAAAGCGGATTTTAAACCACATAAATTTTAACGTTTTAATCTAATCTTTTTAGATAAATTAATCTTCTAAATGGTGTTTTTTATATAGAATTATAATGCAGCTTATCTCAATTCAGATTAAAGTGAACTTATAATACCCTTACCCTTCGGGTCTGGGGCACCAGATGGCAGCAGCTCCATGGCGGCAATGGTTATGATTTTGTTTCATTTTCTTTGTCCTCTTGGTAATATTTGTTTTATTTTCGCTCCTGTTTTCTTTGCCCCAGACCCGAAGGGTAAGGGGTATTATAAGGATTCACTTTAATCTGAATTGAGATAAGCTGCATTATAATTCTATATAAAAAAAACACCATTTAGAAGATTAATTTATCTAAAAAAAGATTAGATTAAAACGTTAAAAATTTATGTGGTTTAAAAATCCCGCTTTTAAATCACCAAGAGTAACACATCTTCATTTTGGAAATTTGGTTTTCTTTTCATTCTTTCTATTTTTTTCTTTCTTTCTTCTTCTTCCTTTCATCATATTTAGAATTTACCATTAATTTAATTAAAGTAAATTAAAAAATAAAAAACGATAATTATTTGATGCATTGATGATGAATTTGATTACTTAAATTCAAAATGTAAATGTATTCAAGATCAAAGTGGAAATTCAAAACTTAGATAATTAATTAATTCAATCATTAATTATATCATTTAATCTTTAACTCAATTTTGGTTAATCCTTCAATGTAATGAAGGAACATTCAACTGTTTAATGTAATTAGTTTGCTTAATTAAATCACATTGAGAAAAAGGTTTAACATGTAATTGTAAATTAAATAACGGACGGAAATGTCCCATTTAAATGATAATTAGTCCAGAATAATATAATTAGAATTAAAATTTCTATTATCATTGAATTTCCATTGTTTTGATTAATTGTTTAAATTGTTTGTTCTCTTCTTGTTTGTTTATTAATAGTAAAGGTCAACCCTAAACAATTAAACTTTTTGTTAATTGTAACTAATCAATTTCAGCCTTGACGGTCATCAACTTTAAAATTTTATTGTAATCAATGATTAACTGATGATATGTTTTAAACGGAAACAAAGACTTAATCAATTTAAAGGTGATATTTGTTATTTTCCGCAGAATTTAACTGATATTGTCAATATTCTCCTAAAGCTTCTGAATTTGTATTGTTACTGAAAAGATTTTACAAGAATCGTGATTTTGATCAACAATTCTTTCTGAACGCAATTAAAATTCGTGATGCTTTGAGGTGGTTGCATAACAATGTTCATTATTCTGAGGATAACATTACAATTGAGGAATAGAATATCACTTAATTAAAAATTCAACCTGTCTTGATTGAAATTAATTATTGGGTACAAGTAATTAATGTTAATTTGATATTTGAAACTATTCTGTCTAAATTAGTTCTAAATAATAACATTTTATCATTTAGATCTAAACACAAATACGAATCATCTTATTTTTCTTGTTTAATTTTACATGATGCATTTGAAATAGAAAGTTGGACTCCATCTGAATTAGATAACTTTGTCCTTAAATCAGTTGCTATTGATTTTGAGAATTCATTATTTGAATTCTACCAAGAGATTAGTGATTACCGTAATTCAGTTGAGATTAACATCAACGCTGTTCACCAATTGTACGATAATTCAAATCTTCAATATTAATCCAAATCAATGATATCGGACAATCGGATCGGTTAATCATTTCCCTCAATTGTTCACAATCAAAATTACTCAAAGTCTACTATTGGTGTAGATTAATTTACATTCATCAAACATTGTGAACAATTTGCCTTTAATCTTAATTGTTGTAATTTTAATTGTCAATCGAATTTTTGTTTTTCTAATTGATTCATAATTAATTTCGATTTTTGTTTGTTAATCGAATCGAAAGTTTTCTTTATAAAAAGAATTGAATAAATATCAATTATTGGAATTAGAAGATCAAAACTGGCCAACAAGTGACCAGAGAATATTTTCCTTCCTGATGACCAGAAAAAGAGAGCAAAAAAGAAAGAGGAAGATAAAAGAAGAAACCAGAAAAATTAATTAATTGAATTAAAGTTTTCTATCCATTATGGATTAAAAGGGGAATGATGATTCCAACTGGATTAAAATTCACCTCGGATCAATTTGGATTTGATGAGAAATTTACTTTAACCATAATTACAATTACAAAGATACTAAAAATCAATCCAAAACCATTTGAATTAACAATCAAAACATTACCATTCATCATTTATGCCTTAGCAACACTACAATTGGTTCCAAAAGATTTAAACTTGAATAACAAAAAATCAACTGTTCAACAATTGAGCGACTATGTTAAGCAAACAATCAACGAATTTGATAAAAATGAGATGATCAAAATATTCCAAGATATAATTGATTACAGTAAATCTAAAGGTGTCATTGGATTAACCTTTGGCCTTGAATTGCTCTTCGACTTATCGTCAAAATAAATTACAGTTAACCCTTGAAACTTGCAGAGTAGAATAAGAATTTAATGCAGAAATCAGTATTTATTGGGATTAATAGTTCACTTTCATTTTGAATGTGAATTTCTCTTAATCAAATCCAACTGATAAATTTTAATTCACTGAAGTAATGATAAATTAGATGTAGGATTTCCGTTGTTAATGTTGAATTTTGATGTTGAATATCATATTGATTATGACGATGATAGAGTTATAAAGATATAATATGATTTTGATGCTGATGGTCCGGACTTCACTGTACCTGATTAATTAGAAAGTATAATGAGTTTCATTGGAAATAAATTGTAAATTTAATATTTTACATTTAATTTTCAACAATCAATGGAAACAAAAACATTAATACATTGTCGTTCGATGAAAAAAATTTCATTCTCATCAATTACAATTTGAAAACATTGTTAGGTTGGATAGTTGAACTAAATTGGAGAGTAGTTTGATGTTAATTACACTGATTAGTGATTTAGATTACACTTTGTAACAATTAAATTGTCTTGTGTATTGATTTGAATTCCGTTTCTGTTATGTCTTTTGTGTATCTAATGAAATATTTAAATTCACTCGTGTTGTTACGCATGTTTACGAAGGTCAACGGATCGTTACAAGTTAATTGTAAATTTTAGTATGATTTATTATACAGATGATCCATTACTCACCGAAAACATTTCAAAGTAAAGAATTTGAAGGTCATCTATTTTAATCACAAATAATGATTCATAGGATTCTTGTTTCTGTGCGATCAAGGTGAAGGTCAAATTGAGTTTAATATTTTATCAGACTCGTTGATCGAAAAGATTTTTTATCACGATTGACAACCACAGCATAACTTTTAAATTTACGATTTACGTTAAATGTCTTGGTAATAATACAAAACTCAGCTTTCCATAGTTTCTACCCTGAAGCTATGTCAAAGTTCTGGATGCAAGTAACATCTGCATGAACAAAATGCTGATGGCAATACGAGAAGATCTTCGTCAACGAATATAAATTTATATTAATTGTTAATATACAATAAACTATAAATTTGATATAATATAATGCATTATTAATTTGAATTTGTCGCTTTAATCCAGAAAAGTGGTACCGTTTTAATTCGTTTTACTACAATCTTTTTTTATATTTTTAATGTTTCTTTATTGTTTTATATTTGATGATTGTTAATTTTTCTGTCTGAATTTGTCCCTTCCTGTTTAATTATTTAGTGAGTTGAATTCATTTAAGTTCAATTTTGAAATTATTTGAACTGGTTCATCAATTTCTTTAAATTGATCAATTCATTTGTGTTAATTTATTTAATACATCATCATTTTTTCATCAGCATTCTAATTTTCATCAATATTTGATTTTAGTGGTTTATTTTTATTTATTCGTAAATCGCGGTTTTTTAAAAGCAAAACAAGCTGCCAGTCGGGTCTGGGGTTTTTTTTCCATAGGAAACTCTCCTTCACTTGTTTTATTTTAAATCATTTAATCACTTTTTTAATTGTTGTTTTGTCTCATAATTTGTTTGTTAGGTGATTCATCTACTGGTAGAATGTCTGGAAGTGAAAAATTATCTTCTATTGGAATGGTTTCCTCGCCACCAGCAGCAGAAGTGAATGGATCTGTAAAGAGGGAAGAGATTATTGTTGTCAATGATTTACCTGGTTGTGAATCTGGTTTACCTGTTGAAGAAGATTGTGAAAATGTTATCACCATGATGGATGTTCTTGAAGAAGAGAAACAATTGGAAGATGATGCTTTCGCTGTTCTTGGTGGATCAGATGAGAAAGATTGTACTTATCTTCGTGGTTATGTTACTCGTCAAGCTTTATATGCATGTAATACTTGTAGGTCAAATTCTGGTGAACCAAATGGTATCTGTTTGGCTTGTTCGTATGCTTGCCACGAAGGCCATGATCTTTACGAATTGTATACTAAACGTTCCTTCCGTTGTGATTGTGGTAATTCACGAATGACTGGTGGAACCAAATGTAATCTTTGCCCAACCAAAAGCCCTTCTAATCCTGACAACGTGTACAATCATAATTTCTCGGGCTTGTATTGTGTCTGTGACCGACCTTATCCTGATCCAGAAAATGATGATCCAATGTATCAATGTATCGTTTGTGAAGATTGGTTTCATGATGCTCACCTGGAATCTGAAATACCTGAGGAAAAAGGGTTCGCTGAAATGGTTTGTAGCCATTGTATGGCTAAATTAGATTTCCTTTGGTATTATTTTAAAGATACATTCAGAGTTAATGAAGAATCATCTCAATTAAATCAACAACAACCACAACCAATGCCATCCAGTTCACAAGAAGATCAAAAATCCGTTGAATTTTTACCAATCTCTTCTCAATCTTCATCCTCATCCTCATCTTCATCTAACATCTTACCAAGTTCAGCTTCATTATCTTCATTATCCACTCCATCCTCCTCACAACCATCCTCATCCTCATCATCATTTTCTTCAGCCCAAAATTCAACCAATGAAAAAGAAAAAAAATCCAATTCATCTCTGGGTAACACCGATATTAGCAGTGATTCTGGAATTGAAAGCTCCTGTGATTCTGTTGTCGCAGTAAATTCCAATGAATGTAAACTTGAATCTCTTAAATCGAAAATATCAATTGATGGTCTTAAAGGATCTTCTTTCTGGGAAGAGGGCTGGCGATCTGCTCTCTGTAAATGCCCACTTTGTTTGGCTAAATATTCATCCCTTGGTTGTGGTTTTATTTGCGACGAAAAGGACACTGTGTCTTTCTATGAGAAACAGGGTAAAGAGAAAAGTATCCAAATAAGTCAATATGAGCGAGGTCTCAATGAGATCAATAAAATGGATCGAGTTACCACCATTGAAGCCATCCAGCAATGTAACTTTATGGCCGATGAATTGAAAAATTATTTAAAAAAGTTTGTTGATAATAATAAGGTGGTTCGACGAGAAGATATTGATGAATTTTTCGCTGGACTTGCAGCTCGTAAACGAGTTCGAAACGATAATTATGGATATTAATACATGTAAATCTAAGAAATGCCAAAGAAATTTTTACTCGATTTATTGGAAAACAAAGAGAGAGAAAAAGAAATTGGTATCCTGGTCAATAAACCACAATTCTTTTGCTACTCAAATTGGAAAAACACAAACAATTGGTACATTAATTTAGTGGTAAAAGATAAACGAAAAAAAAATTATATATAATAATCGGTTGACTTAATTGTTCGTAATCAGATTATCAAATTTGATTCTGTTTCTATGTAAAACCTTTGTGGAAAAAAAATTGTTCTCAATAATTATCATCTTCTTTTGCTGGAAAATCAATCAATAGTTTGGTCAATTGTGTTGACCTAACCACCACCAACGAGCTTGATATTATATGAGAGAGCAAACAAAATGAAAAACAAATAACAATAATCAACAATCAAGATCTGAATGATTAGAGAAGTTGATAAATAATTTTTATTCTCGGATAAAAAAACATCAACAACAACAACAATTTACAATTTCATTGATTTTCCTGATTACTGTTAATTGACAGTAAATGTTGAAAAAGTTTTTATCATCAAATTTAATTGTAACTGTGTAGGTTCAAAACAACAAGACACAATTTAATTGAACCATTTAAGGTAATAATAATTAGTAGTAAATTAAGTTCGAGTAAGAAAAAAAAGTTGAACACAATTAACCAGGATGACAAACACATAGAGACAATTAATGTTAATTATTGACAATTGGATCCAAAAATGTTACAATTAATCCACTGGAACCCAACATTGTGATATCGGAGCGACAAAACTTTCCGCCTCAGGGTAATGTTGTTTACACAAATTGATATAATATTTAACGGCTTTTGGACCTTCGTACTCGTCGGTAATATATTCACATGGGACACAAACACCCTTACGATTACACTGACGAACACATAATCGACCATAATAAGTGTCACCCTTTTTACAAGCGATGAATCTTGGAACTCGACACTTTTGATCACAATTAACCGTCGCAATTAAGACAAACAGACTGATTGTTACGAGAAGAAAATTGAAACAATTTAATGGAAAACTTTTCCCGCAGATGACGATCATTATTATTATTATAAAACTTGTAATGAAAACTTTTCGTCAATTTAGTTGTTAGTTTGATTAACAAATCATGGAATTGTAATTGTAATTGAAACAGAGAAAAACAAAAACGGTTAATCAATTAATTTAAGTGGAATCGGTGATGATGATGATGATGATGATGATGATTATAATTAACTTGCGTTGGTGTCACAGAGCGACAATGATCCAGATTAACAGTTAATCTTTGATTATGATGAAAATCTTAATTTGGTTGATGATTAAGTTTCAACCTCTCTCTTTAAAATGGACACTTAAACTGGATTTAAATTGTTTAATTAAAAGTGTTAACCTTACCTGGAGAAATTGAAATAACCGTTATTCTGATCACTTCCTTTTATTTGGGCTTATCCATTTCTTTTTTCATCTTCTTCATCATGATGATAACATGATGATGATAAAGATGATGGGATGTCCATTAAGGGGCTGGTCATCTTCACCTTTAGGCTATTCAACCCTTTCTAATGTTTATCTCTTCCTTTATTATTTGTGTTCCTTGACCAGCAATCAACTTTTCATCTGTTGACCAATAGAATAGGAAATTAACTCTCAATTCTGATTGAATTGATTTTCTACAATTTGTTGATTATTGAAACTTCCGCATTTAGTTACGAGTAAATCAAAGGTTCTTTTTCTGTTGATCAATTTAAATGCTAATAATTGATTAATGAAAAAAAAATGAATAAAAACTTTTCCAATTGATTGAAATGATATTGATTGTGATTGTTAGATTAGGATGATTATTATTATTATGGAAAACAATTGGATTCAATTTGGTTGATAAACAATTGAATCATTGATATCAAAATGATTCGTTGGTGATTAGTGATGATTAGTGGTGATTGTGAGGATGTGGATTATCAAATGAGTGATTTAATTGATTGGAATATGATATTAATTGTTGATGGTGTTGAAAAACCCGCTGAATTGAATCAACTGAATCTCCTCCTCGAACTCAGGGTAACCTTGAAATTAATCTTCTCTGTCTTTTCCTCTGTCTTCCTAGGTTTTCATCTGTTTTTATATTCCAATGTTGATTTAATTATCAATAGTTTTGTTGATTAGTAACAACCTTTTCCTTTTCAATCATATTTGATTGTTTGTCCTTCTCGATTGATTGTCACCATTTGCAAGTCAATCGTATTGAACAATTAGTGTTTTCTTCAAGGTCTCGAATCATATTCACTAAGAATTTTTAACTCCAACAGAATAGAATTGATCAAATTTGTGATCTTTTTTTCTTTCGATAATTTTTCTTAATTGTTAATCTACTAAACGATAACTGAGAAAAAAATATGTCCATGTTTGAGAATGTCCAAAGTGCCCCACCGGTGGAAATTTTCGTTCTTTCTCGTAGATTCACCGAAGATTCATCGCCAAATAAGATGAATCTCAGTATCGGAGGTAAGAACATCTCTTTTCACAATCAATTCATTTGCTATCAATCAACAATCAATGATTAGCACCGATTCTCTCTCATGATTACATAAGAAAACTTCCAATGACCTTGTGTACCTTTTTTTTCTCGTTAATTCCTTGAACATCCAATTACATCTGAGAGAATCTCTTGATTTCTCTTACCCTGAAAACATTGGAATTAGTGATAAATGTCCTTGAATTTACGTTAGAAACTCAATTTATCGTAGTAATTAAACGAAAATATTATCGGATTAACATTCATGCAAACAGATTAACAGATCAATTCATTTACAATCTACAACATAAAAAGAGTTGAATTCGCTAAATCATCAACGTATTCACTTCAATAATCCAATATCATCATTAAATTAACGAAAATACTCCGTTAATTAAATGTTACTTCTGACGATATTTTCACTTTAGATTGAAAAAAATAACGTTGATCATTTTCGTCTATTTGATAATTGAATTAACCGCTTTTCTAAATTGACCAATGAGAAGCGACCTAAGTTTCTCTCTCATTGTTGATTGTTATTCAACCGGTTGAATAGTTAGTTAACTATTGATTGTCGATCGTTTCAGTTAATTTTGTTTTAATTTTTTTTGTGTCAACAATTAACTTTGTTTTTCTCAATTGTATTGAAAATGAGTATTTTTAATGGCGTTGAAACTGCTCGAGTAGTCGAAACCTTTCACCTTTCTCGTCTATGTGATGCTGATCCTTTTCCTGAGAAAATTAATTTAACCACCGGAGGTAAAATTTTATTAATTTGGTCTATTCTTTTCAATTTTTTTCTCTGGTCATTTAATGGATTTTAATTTAATTGTTTACTTCTTACTCTATGTGACTATTTAACTGACTGAATTTGAGTTCCTACATTTTACTTGAAGAAATTGTTAGGTGATTTCTTTGATGTTCCGTTAATAGAATATTTGTTTTTTCTATTCTTTTCTATTTTTGTTTTCTCAAAATTTTTGGCTTTTCTTCTGTTTTTTTTTCTCTTTCTCTTTTAGCTTATCGAGGAGAAGATGGTAAACCATGGGTTCTACCTGTTGTTAGAAAAGTTGAACAAGAAATGGCTGCAGATGAAACTCTTACTCATGAATATCTTGATATGCTCGGTGATCCAGATTATTCAATTGCTGCGACTAAAATGCTTCTTGGTAAAGAATCAATCGCCCTTAAGGAAGGCCGAGCCTTTGGTATTCAAGCTCTAAGTGGAACAGGATCTTTACGGATCGGAGCTGATTTCTTACGAAGTTGTCTAGGAGCTGATTCAGTCTACATCTCGGCACCATCTTGGCGTAAGTTAATCTCATGAAAAAAATATTCGTGACGGAAGATTTTCATCTCGGATGTTATTCATTAAACAATTTTGATTTGATTCTAAATTGCAGGTTATTGTTGGTTTAACCTCTAATTTTATTGTCTGGTTAATCAACTTTTTTTCTCATTCAAACTTACCTTTTCTAAAACTTTCTAACATTTAATTTACTTAATTCTTTTTCATCCCACAGCAAATCATCAATTGTTATTCAACCATTCAGGATATAAGAACATTAAAACTTATCGTTACTGGGATGCTACAAATCTTTGTCTCGACTTTAATGGGATGATTGAAGATCTGTCTCAGGCTCCTGCTGGATCAGTAATTATACTTCATGTTTGTGCTCATAATCCAACTGGGTGTGACCCGACAGCCGAACAATGGGAAAAAATTGCCAATTTGATGAGAGAGAAGAAACTTTTCCCGTTCTTTGATTGTGCTTACCAAGGTTTTGCCTCTGGTGATTTGGAAAAAGACGCATTCGCAGTTCGGTATTTTGTCGACCAAGGTTTCGAACTTTTCTGTGCTCAATCTTTCGCCAAAAACTTTGGACTTTACAGTAAGTGATGAACGACAATTGGACCGTTCGATTTATAAGTAATTCTAATTTTTTTTTTCTCATCTCAGATGAACGAACTGGCAATTTAACGATTGTTGTTAAAGATCCTAAAGTGATTGTTAATATAAAAGCACAAATAACTTTGATTGTCCGTGGTAATTATTCAAATCCACCAGCTCATGGTGTTCGTGTGGTCAAGCGAGTTTTGTCCGATCCTAAACTTTTCGGTGAATGGTAAGTTATTATTCTAATTATCATTAGAAACTCTATTAATTTTCTTTTCAATTTAAAGGGAACAACAAATCAAAATAATGGCCAATAGAATAATTGAAACTCGAAAATCGCTACGAGAAAAACTCGAAGCTCTTGGAACATCCGGAAAATGGAATCACATCACCGATCAAATTGGAATGTTTTCTTACCTTGGACTGTCTGGTAATTAACCAATGCGAACTTAATTATTGAGACGATTAATTAATTATTCTTTTTCAATTTCAACAGAAAATCAAGTTAATTATCTTGTCGATCAATGTCATATCTACCTTCCTAAAAGTGCTCGCATATCAATGGCTGGAATCAACAAATCTAATATTGATTATCTTGCCAAATCAATTCATGATGCGGTTACTCAATAATTATCCTGATTCCAATCGTAAAGATAATCAATGATCACAATCGGATATCGGAAAATGAATCAATCTCCAATGGAAAACCATCTGTTAATTATCAACAATCAATTTACAATCAAAGCTAAACTAATGGGTTGAATGGCAACGGGAAGGAAATGAAAAGATATTTAATTATCGATTCTCATATAACATAATAATATTTTACAAATGAAATTGATGAAACTTGATAATTATTAGATATTAATGATTATAATTATTAATCAGTTTCTAATTGTTAACAACCTAATTCCTGATAATTTATATGATAATTTAATCTCAATATTTAATTCCAAATGAACGTAAAAAGAAAGCATAATTTAGACAAACAATTGTAAAAGAAAAACAATATTTAAAACAATTTAGTTTGATACAAATAATAATTAAAATTAAATCTCATTGTACAATTTACAATCTAAATTGATTGAGATTATTCACAATCAACCAACAATTAACTTGCTCTCAATGTTTACACAATTAACTTTTTACTTGTTCTGCCCTCGAAAAACAGTTAACCAAATAAGAGTAAAAAGTTTTCCAGTTAATTGCAAATGATTAAGAATAGAAAATGAAATAATAGATCACCTCTGGTTTCGACAATTGGATCAGTTAATTGTTAACAATTAACCTTAGACAATCTTCTTTTCGCCGTCACTGTTGCGATAAGTGAATCAAATCCGCAAATAGAAAAAAAAAGTTCCAATAACAATTGAATTAGAAGATTATTATTATTTTAATTATTCCAAATTTCTAGTTGAATACAATTAACTTTTTTTCTCTTCTTAATTTTGATTCACTTCACGAATCGATGATTCTAATTGTGATGATAGTATTTAATTGTTGCCCTGGTTTCCTTTTCTTGGCATTAATACCTTTTCCTTGCCATCCTCTATTTACAAATTATTATTATCACTTTTAATCGACAATTTAAATTGTGACAATTAATTATTTTCACCATTTCATATGTTGACATCATCTTATATAAGATCTTCATCATTTCATCAATTTAATTCAGTTGAAAATCTGATCGTAATTGAATCAGTTTGGTGAGTTTGTTTTTCCAACTAAATTAAAAAGTTTGCTATTAATTTCTATTAGTGTTAATTGTCATCAACCAATCTATTCAACAACAATTAGTTAATCATGAAACCAGCAGTTCTTTGCTTTTCAACATTTTTTGTTTTAATTTTAATCATCTATTTATTGGCAATCAATTTTGTCCGTGATTAGTTAATCAGTGAAATATAATTTGCCATACAATTGGATTGGGTAAGTTTCTGGATTAATTTAATAATCAACAACTAATTAATTGATTACTCTCTCTCTCTCTCTCTCTCAGCTTAATTGCCAACCAATTAAGAGATAAACAATCAAAATGAAACATAACTGGATTAAAGTGCTTCCATTAATCAATTACCACTGTGATTAAAACAATAAACAACATTAACAAGCAAAAAAATAACTTAATTGTAAACTTTAATCATCGTAATAGTAAATCAAATCCCTGAGGATACACTTAACAATTAACCAAATCAATACAATGTATAATATAATATAACTAAAGATTGATTAAAAATGTTGCTAATAAATTGTTGACCATTTACTTTTGATTGTCTAACAAATTGTTTCCATTTGTTGTTGTTTTTTTAATCACAATTAAACTCTAATCATGTACCACCCAAGTACCACCCTTTATAGTGCCTCAGGCATTAATAAATCATATTCATCGATTCGAGGTCGATTTGTACACTATTTAGATAACAGCAATTGGCCAATAATTAGATGGACAATATTAGCATTCCTAGCAATTAACTTGACCTACCGATTTGGTGAGTTAATTAGTGATGAAAACCCAAAATCAAATGAGTTGATAGACAAATTAACCATTGGATTAATTGCTCTTCACCTCATCTTTTTAACCTGTGCCGTTAATCCGTTAATCCTGGACTTCATTTTATGGACATCATTACCTGCACTCGGCTGGCATGGTTACATATTAGTAATTGATTTCCAAACTTACAACAATCAACTAATTAATCGTCAACCAATTAGCAGTTTAATTCTTGCTAACCCTTTTCATTATTTTCTCCGTAGATCATTTAAAGTTTACCTTTTCCTAATTACTTCATTATATTGTGAAGAGTATCTTAATCTATACTATTCAGAAAGTGGAATTTTTAACGCAATTAAATCAGTAATTAGCTCGATTGTCACTAATTGTTGTACAACAGTTGATTCCAAAGAAAGGAGAAGGAGAAAAACTTATGGAAGTTTCAGTTATCGACCAAGACGACGAACAAGATAAATTGCCAATCAGCTAATTGTATCAATTGTATTGACCTTAAATCTTGGAACAATTTGATTAATTAAATTAATTAATTTTCTATTCTAAATTTAAATCGAGCTCATTATTTTTTCCCCTTCTACTGTAACTCCCTCTTCTTATGTTGTTGGGACTTAAATGTTGTTGTTGTTGATTTGATTTCTTCCTCCGAATTGATTGTTCATCTAATTAATTGTTCTTAGTTAATTGTTAATTTGTGAACCAATTTCGATCTGATTATTGGTGTAACATTAATTATGATCTGATGGTTATTTATGAGAATTGGATTTCGATTTTGTTTTCCTTTTCTCTTCTTCTTTCAAATGTTTCATGTTTATCTTTTTCTCTCTCTCTCTGATGTTTTCTGATTCCATTTAATTTTACCTTCATTTGTTTTTCTCATTCAATTATTATTATCTTTTCCATCGTCATCATCATCAATTTGTTGGAAAATTTAATTAATTAAATAACCATCGATTGTTTATTCAATTGTTTATCATCCAGTTTATTTCTTTCCTTAATCAGGTTAATTGGATTTGTTTAAATCTTGTGTTGAATTTTTGTTCTTTTTGTGGAATTTTTTTTTTCTTCTCTTTTCTCTTCTAATTCTCATCATCTTCTCAATTATAACCATGACCCTATGGCCATTAACTCTGGAAATTATTACCACATTTCTTTTATCTAGTCTTTTACTTTACCGATATGGTAATTGGACGGAACAATCAATCGGTGTGACAATTTCTGTTTTCATTGCTTGGTTTTTTTCCTTCATTGTGATTTTTATACTGCCTCTTGATATAAGCTCGGTAAGAATAGAAACTCAGAGAAATTGAAATTGTTTACTAATCTTATTCTATTCTTTTCTTTCCCTAGACTGCTTATCGACAATGTTTACTTGAAGTAAACGCAACCAGATCAACAACAACAACAACAACAACAACCACAACCACTACAACTACAACTACAACTGTCCCTCCGATAACAACTTCACCTTTTATAAATGTAACTCATCCATCGCTTCAAAATCTTACCACATTGTCACCCAGTAACACCACAGGAAATGGTACTGGTGGTGGTGAAGATGATGAGAAAATAATTGAGGAGATATGTGGTCATCCATGGAGCTATGCTCAGAAAGATGTTCTTTCCACCCTTTGGGGTTTAGTCTATTGGTCAATCCAAGCTCTTACATGGGGAATCTTACCAATAATGCAAAGCTATTCAATGGCTGGAGATTTTACCAAATTCGGTAAAATAAAGTCCGCTTTTGTCGCTAATGCCATTTACTATGGTTCCTTTGCCATCATCTTTTTCTTCATTCTTATCTATGTTGCTCTGCGAACTTCATTGGGTTGGGCTGAACTTAAAGTGATCTGTACAACAGCGTCAAATACTTGGGGGTTATTTCTATTGGTTGTGCTTCTTGGTTATGGTCTGGTTGAGATTCCTCGAAGTTGTTTTAACACCTCACTTCATGGACGAACGCAAACTTATGTCTATTTTAGAGTTGCCAAGTTGAGTGTGGAAAAAATTGAAGCCGATGAAAGATTGGAAGATGTTCTAGATGAAATTAATTGTGCCTATCAGGCAATTTCTCCCAATAATACTCGATTCCGTTTATTTATTAATGAAATTTTGGACAAATGTCCAAACGAGTGGAGAAACAATTTACTCTCTCGATATCAGAATCTTGATCGTACCTCATCAGCGGCAATACGATCTTCAAGTGGAGTTGTTTACACAGAGAAATCTCTCATTCGGATGAATCAACAAATTAAAAAAGCCGTTCAAGATCATCATCGAGTTCATTGTCAGTGGGACAATTTAATCAACAAAGCCATCGATTGGGAGGATGTGTCACGTAATCAACTGAGCCAAAGTCAAACATTCAAATCTACCCTGAAAAGAAATCCACCCGAATCATCATTAATCCGATTCTTTTACCAAAACATTTACTCACCTCGAATCGAATGGTACTGGAAATGTGCCGTTCGAGGTCCATTATTCCGGTGTTTAGCTTATGTGACCGGAGCTTTATCACTGATGGTCATTTGGTCTGAAATGACCTTCTCAATTCATCATCCACCTTTAAGCATATTCGCTAGTATATTTATTTCTCTTAAATCGAATCATAATTATTTCTTTATTGAGGTGAGTCTATTTACCCGATCAATCTGATTATCGAACTGAATTAACTTTTCCCTTCTCTCTCTCTCTCATTCCCTCTAGTTCATCTCAATCATGTCCATCGCGTACCTTTGTGTGTGTACATATTATACGGTGTTTAAAATAAGAATATTTAATTACTACTATTTAGCTCCTCATCATCAAACTGATGAATATTCCCTCATCTTTTCCGGAATGTGAGTATTTCAATATTCCGATTGATTGTCAACTATTAAACTAATTTCTTTCCATCGATTTTTTTCTCTCTTTTAGGTTATTATGTCGATTAACTCCTCCACTTTGTCTAAATATTCTTGGCCTGATTAATCTCGATTCTCATATAACCAAAACCGCTGATCAGGAAGAAGCTTCTTTCACTAAGGTCATGGGTCACATGGACGTAGTTCCACTTATTCGTGATGGTTTTAACATTTATCTTCCAATTGTTATGTGTATCTTTTGTTTGGCTACGGTTTTACAATTTGGTTCACGATTACTTCATTTCATGGGTATTGAACAATTTATCATGGACGATGAGACAACCTCTGAACTTATCAGAGAGGGTAAAGAATTGGTTACTCGGGAAAAGAATAAAAAAATTCGATTAGAAGAAGGAAGTAATTTAAATCGAGAAAGACGCGGATTAACTGGATATTCATCTACTCGATCAACTAATCAAACACAATCAGGATTTAATGTAGAACCCGATGAACCAACAGTTCGAACCAATCGATCTCAAGGTGAATATCGTGACACTGGTAAGACGGAATTACTTAATGACGTTGAACCAATCGACTATTCGAGTATATCATCAACACCGAAAGATTTATATCATCGATCTTTCGAACCTCGTCAACCTCCGACTAATCTATTCGATGATGTTTAGGTCATTCCATCGTTTTCAACGTGATTATTATTCTTCTCTATTTCCGGTTGATTTTGTTTTATTTCGAATCATCATCATTACCGTTACCTGATTAGTAGAAGATGAAAAGAAAAATATCAAATTGATGATCTTGATGCAAAAGAAAAAACAATTTGCCGCTGATTATTTGACACAATCAACTGATTGCTTGTTTCTGTCTATTGTAATCCGATAGACAATCAATCTATTTATTTATAATCATATTCCGATTCTATTGGTGATGATGAAATATGAGCAATTTGTAAATTGTTGGCAGTATGTTTTGTCTCTTGCATCTTGATTATCCAATTTTTAATCAATCTAATTTATTATTATTATTATTATGTTGAGTTTACAAACTTCCGGGAAAAAATTGATTCAGTTTTCTTCTGGTTAAATTATTTTTTCAGTCATCTAATTGTAATTGGTAGTGGATCGATCAATCAAATCATGTTTTTCTACCAACATTATATTGTCATTGATCTGTGATTTAATCTAATCTTTTTAATCATGTAAATTGCGCTTAAATTTTTCCTCTTCTTCATAATTCCAGTGGTTTCCCAAAATTCAACTAAACGTTCAACAAAATCGCCAATTAGACCAATTAATTGAACCAATCAATGGTTTTCCTTCAATTAATTGTAATGAAGCGGTAAATCGATAAATTATCTAAATCAACCATTGATAAAGGTTAATTGTTACAAAACATAATCAACAACAATTTCATCATAGGATGTACTTGATTGTAATAAAATAAGCAAACATATGATCAACAATAACAAGACCTTTGTGATTAAGTGTCATCATCATCAATCAAATTAATTGAAAAGCATCAACATTGACAAACTGATTAAGAATATTCTGTAAATCAATTGTAAGAGAAAAAAGCAGAATAAAGTAAATCATTAATTGGAATCAATTAATTGAACAACAAACATTTCCAATGAAACATATGATCCATATTGACATTGGACAATCAACAAAATGTGACAATCATAAGGCCTTCAAATACCTGATTTAATTGTAAATAAAATTGACTCTCGAAAACAGGAAACAATTAATCAAAATGATGATGATGATTGAACGGAAATTAAATGAACACAATTAAATCAAAAATTACGAAAAAAAGCAAATCGGAAACAATAGATGGCGACAGTGAGAAAGTGAGTTAATTGTTGACATTTGGACTTAAATGTAAACAAACAATTAGATCAAATTGTTAATCGGAAATAAATGTGGGTGAATTTCAGGGTAGAATCTGAATTTGAAAGTGAATCTCTTTTTCGAAGACAGAAGATGAGAGAAAGAGAAAAAAGTGAAAAGAAAGAGAGAGAGAAAAAAAGAGAGAATGAGAGAGAAAAGAGGGAGAAGAAGATGAAGAGTGAGAATTGTTTAGATTGGAAAACGAGAGAAAAAGTTTCTCATTTATTTATAATTCTGTTCTTGTGGATTGTTCATTTTCGCTGTTTAATTAATCACTTTCCAATCGAACAATAGTTAATTGTGATTATCTATTCTTCTTAAACGTGATCACCTTTTCTAATTCTTTCTCTGTGTCATCGGTCATTCTCTTCTCATTTTGTCACATGTTCTCTTCTCTTTGTAACCTCAGGGTTCAAAAGTGTTTTCGTTTCTCTCTGTTTATTATTTTCTATTTGGAGAATATGAATTTAAACAATTTCTAAATTGTCACAATTAATCCAACAATCAATTGGAATAAATTTCCTCTTGATTATTCAATCCTTTCTCTCCTCCATCTTGTTACGCTTTTCTTTTCTTTCTCTCTCTCTTTCTCTTTCCATCTCTTTCTTTTTCTCTCTGTCTGTGCCTGTCTTTTTGTCTCTTTATTTTCCTTTTTGTGTTCTGTTATTTTCTATTCTTTTTTCTTCCTCTTCCTCTACAAATTGTTTTTGTAGAATAACAAAAGAAATTCGTTTTTAATCAATCTCACAATCGACATCATGACATTACCAACAACCGTTAATCTTGTTAATCACAATTTATCACCAACACCTCGTAATCGTAGACTGTTAATCTTAATCAATCCTTTCAGTGGTTCTGGTAAAGCTCCGGGTAAATTCAGGAAAAAAGTGCAACCCCTTCTTGAAGAAGCAGATATTACCCATCAGGTGATCACAACCAATTACAAAAACGGTGCTCTCGACCTGATCAGAGATCTAACCGATATCTACCATTGGGATGGTATTGTCGTTGTCTCCGGCGATGGCCTCTTATTTGAAGTTTTTAATGGACTAATGTCACGAGATGATTGGCAGAAAGCGATTCAAATACCTGTTGGTATAATTCCTGCTGGCTCAGGGAATGGATTATCAGCTACTCTTGAATATAAGACAAGGTTTGTAACCTTTAACCTTTAATAATCTCCAAGAATAAGTGTTTCTATTGTTTCAAATTCTCTGAGAGAGAAAACAAAAACAACCTCTCTCTCTCTCTCTCTCTACCTGTTGACAATGCGGTTTTCTTGTATTCTGGTTATCCGAGTAGATCAATAGCCTCGATGTTTATTGTTTTCTTTCTGATCACAACAATTTAGTAAATTTGATTTGTTGGCAAACAATTAGTGCTTTGGTTCATCGATCATCTCTTTAATCAACACATTTCTTTTGACAAACTTAAATTAGTTAATTTAATTGTCACGATATTAAAGGTGATTGATTCTTTCACTTTTTTGTAAACAGGAAAAAAACAACAACAACAACAATCAATGATAATTAATCTATTACATTTACATATCACCACTAAATTAGATACTCGTACTTTACTTTGTTTAATTGTTATCAAGTGATGATAATTTGTAACTAAATTAATTACTAGTCCGAGATGATCAATTAAGTAATGTCAATAGAGGATTTTTATTACTTGTCCTGGATTAACGTGAACCTTATGTATTCAATTAATTTAAATCAAATCAAATCTAATCTGATTTACCTTAAAATTTTTGGTTTATTTAATCATAATTGTAATGATAATCCACTAATTTATATAATCTTTTAGATTACAGCTGAAGATAATAAGTCTAAACACCTTATAATTGTTAACCATTATTTGTTTTATCTTTAACAACAATAATTATCCACTTTTCTGTCCTAATTATTAGATGATTAAATTACCAGTTACCTGTCATATTGCCTGAGGGTAGGAAAATATATCAACTCTTTAAATCTTTCCAGTTAAACTTTCCACTAGTTAAATTGTTAATATTTATTGATTTTGATGTGATTCTCATTACATGCATGTTACCCTGTTGAATTTTTAATTGAAACAGTTAAGAAAAACTAATCACCTTGATTTTCATTTTGTTACAATCTATTAATAGGTAGGAACAAAAAATCAAATTGATTGACAACCTTTTTTTTTAAGCTTCTCCTTTAATAATCATTTTAATTTCTCTCTATATCCTTTTGGATTAATGTTATTAATTTCCAATAATTTAGTCCAAACAACTCGATTGATCCGATAATCTCTGGAACCTTAAATGTTATCGTTGGAAAACCATGTCCACTTGATCTGGTTGAAGTCGCGATGCCAAGGCAAAAGATTTACTCATTTCTCTCAGTGGGCTGGGGATTAATTGCCGATATTGACATCGAATCGGAAGGACTTCGATTCATTGGTGGTTCCGTTTTGTTTTATGGTCAATCTACCGTAGTATTGGTAATTATTATCATTCTATTGAAATTCAATCTCTTTCCTTGATCTTATTCATTTCAATCTTCTCTTTTTTTTCCTTCCAGTTCCGAAAACTTATCGTGGTAGATTAAGTTATTTACCGATTGATAGTAAAAAGTTAATCAGCCTTAACCAGAAGCACAATTCATCGGATAACATTAAAATCGAGGTGAACACCAATCAAGGCGGTGATGTAACTGATTCATCAACAATCCAACGTTCATTCAATCCTTCATCAAATGGAAACTCATCTTCAATTGAAGATACTCTTCAAGATATTTCTGATAATGATGATGATGATGGTGGGGATGATGTTCGTTCATCTCCATCTCCTAATCAAGATTATTATATTCCACCCTTATGGGAAGATGTACCCTCCAATTGGGTAACAATTGAAGATGATTTTATAATGGTACAATCATCTAGTCAATCTCACCTTTCACCTACTGTTCATTTTGCACCAGAATCTGAATTAGCCGATGGTGTTATCTGGTTAGCATATTTAACCAGTAAAGTATCAATTAAAAATCTTCTTCGTTTCCTTTCATCTCTTGAAACCGCTCGTCACATTGACCTACCCTACCTTAAATGGATACCCGTTCGTGCTTATCGATTAGAACCTTTAACACCCAATGGAATCATTTCAATCGATGGTGAATCTTTCAATGCTGAACCTTGTCAAGTTCAAGTGCTTCCATCAATGGGGAAAATTTTCAAACGTGATGATATGAACCAGATACCTTGATCCATACGAATGTAATAATAATCATCATCATCATCATTTGAGAGAGAGAGAGAGAGGGAAACTCCTATTTATATATGAATAGGGAGACGATGATTATTGGAGAAGGGAAAAGAAGACACAAAAATATAAGTGAGAATCACAATGATGATTAATTTAATCATCAAAATTAACTAAACACAAAATCGAAAGGAAAATGAATGATAATGGAAACTTCAAAAAAATATTATCAAACTTGTCTCGCCCTTACCTGCCCAATTATATAAATACACACAAAGATTATTGTGTGTTATTATATTTCCATCTTCCCATCATCATCTTCTCATTGCTCTCTCTCTCTCTCTCTCTCTCTCTCTCTCTACCTTGTAAAAATTTTCTTCCTTTTTTATATTTCTCAAGACTTTTGCCATGTTTGGATTCACAAGGAAAAATTCATGATGAAATCAATGAAGCGCTGAATTGTCTTACATGATGAAAGGAACATTGGAAAGGATTATTACCATGAAATTTGAATGATGATGAAAAAATTGCATTTTACTCAACAACAATCAACAATAACATCTAAACAATCACGTAACAATTAACGCTGAGAAACAACAACAATTACATGACATGGTTTTCTCTCTGGACTTTTTTTTCTTGCTCTAAACTTATAACAATGAACAACAACAACAACAACATAATTAATTTATTACGTTGTTTCAATTTTGATTCACAAGCAAGTTTTTCCTTTCTCAACAACAACAACAATTATCCTCACAATCAACTTAATCATCTCTTTAAACATGTATCATAATATAAAGATAATTGATCATTCAATTGATGCCTGATTATCATTTTACATTATCAAACTTACTCTGAGTATCATTGAAGGTAAAATGATGAAAGTTGAATCAAGAATTTGATTGTTGTCTTTTTTTTAACGAAAATCAACTAATTAACAATTTATGTAAACTTCCAACTACTACAATTTAGTTGATCAACTTGTTTCTCTTTTTTAGAACTCAAATTTGCAACCATTGATTAACTAATTGTAATAAAAATAATCATCATTCCAATGAGAACCTTTTTTTTTACTTAAACAATTAAAACTCAATAAACAATAGAATCACTTGATTAGCAATTAATTTTCTAAAATTCTTTTTAATTAAATGATCATAATGAACTCATTGATTGTGATAATTTGCTGATTTTAATTGTAAACAAAGGATTTCCCTGTAATTAACAACCAGACAATTAGATTATTGATTAGACCTTAATTCAATTGATTATTTACAATTGTGAAGTAACAATTATAATCAAAATGATCAACTAATTAGGTTTTTTTCATCTTGATTATGAAATTAGTTGATTTTTATCAATAGTTATGATTAGTTCACTAATTTAATTAGTAGGACAATTTAAATAAAAAAAAGGTCAATTTTAATCACTTCCTTGATTGTAAACTGGATTAGTGAAAGTTGATGTTTTGTTTTTACCTAAATTATTAATTGTAATTAATATTAGTTACAAAATGATCAAAAATTTGACAAACAATCAAAGTAAATATGATCAAGCTTAATTGTTGTAACATAATAACATTAAATCATTAGTTAATTGTGATATTATAATAAACACAATTGTTAATTGTCAACTGTATTTGTATATCTGGTTGATAAAATCAATCATATGATTTGATTGTTATTATTAATTCAACGTAAATATTGAAAATAAAATAATTAACTTGTTAATTACTATGAGGATTGTTAATTATAACCATTAACTAATTGCTATCAAAAGTTAATCATAAAAATCTCATCGGAAACATTTCAATTTGTTATCACCTTAATTGTGAATATAAGTTTTGATCATGAAGTGATTGGGGTTTAATATAATTCAATTTGTTAATTTATGATTAAAATAAATTGTTTGACCTGAAAAAATTGTTTTGATTGCAATTAATTAATTAGATAAACAATAATTTACCTTTGACCTACTCAGTTTCATTTTGTTTCTTCCGGATTGTTTGATTATCACTTTTAAATTGACAAATGTTTGAAACTTTTTCAGGTCAAATATTTGATTACAATTAAATTTGAACTTCATTTTGATTAACCATTTAACTTGACCTTCTAATTGAATTAACAATTAATCAACTTAATCTGATTGTTAAATTGTTTTGACACTTTAAACAAAATCAGTTACTCTTGAAAACCACAACAACAAATCAAAATGATTACTCAAGTTAATTGTTGATTAATCAACTAGCTGATCGTTAATCATTTAACTTTCATACTAATGATTGTATTTTTATGATGAGCAGACAAAAAATTAACCAATTAATTTGATTGAACAATTATTATGTTGAGAAATCACTTGATTGTTATGGAAGTGATTTAGGTAACAATCAGCTAATTTCCTTAGTTAATCATAATTATAAGTTTGCAAGAAAAAAACATCATTAGGATTGTTATTATATAATCAACAATTAATGGTAATTGTGAATGTCCTTCACTAATCAACCTTGAATTAACAATTAATTATCAAGAAAAAAGGTAAACACAATTAATTGTGACAATAAAACTGTGAGAAATTAAATTTTGTTTCCAATCACAATTGATTAATACATTGTAATAGTTATCTTAACAATTAAGCTTCGTCCATTAAGTTAATTGATATCATTTCATTTAATTAAAAGTTTCTTACTAATTGTTAGCAATAGATGGAGCTTGTGTCTCGGTTAATTGTGATTAGTTGATTTTTTCATTTGATCCAAATTCATAATAATAAATTTAAGTTCAATTTAATTGTCTTTGAAAAAGAGACTCATTTAACAATCTGATTGATTGTGATTAAATCTAATTTCTCATTTTAATTTACATCAACTTGATTAATTGTGATTCTATTTTAATCAACTTTCCATTGATGTATTTAGTTAATTGTCTTCTTTATCTATCATCACAATTGAATCTAATTGTGTCCTCTTTTGTTTATCCCTGATTAATTAAGCTCATTGATCCATGATGATTAGATTAAATTATCATTAATAAGAATCTAATTAACCTTTAAATTGTAATTATTCAATTAAAATGTAGACAATCAAAGTTGGTTTCATGTTGAATCAATCAACAATTGAATTTAATTGATTGGTGATGAGTTGTTGATGTTTTTAACTAATTAGATTCACATCAAGTTAATTATACAATTTAAGGTTAAACTATTTTAACCTTGATTGTTTCAATCAACAAACCAAATTAACAAATTCAATTCATCTTCTTCCCAATAACAATTAACTAGATAATATTATTAATAAAAAAAACCAAATGATTAAAATTGTAAACTCAATTTATTATTTAATTGTACCAACAGTTAATCAAAATCAATGTTGCTCTTGATTAACTACCACAATTAAATAATATGATTGTTTATTTTAATTGTTACAATTGATAAGCGTTTAATTGCTCTTGTTATCTTTACTGTTGATTAACACTTCCAATGGTTACGATTGATTAATTATTCAATTTATTTATTTGATTAACCACCATTTGGATTAACTGATTGTTCAAATAAACTGAAAATAAACTAATTGTTTAAATAACAAGGAATCAAGATAAATCCTTGATTTTAACCTTTGATAATTGGGACTTGATTGTTGTTAATTAAACAAATAAAAAGCTCTTGTTTGATTAAATGTTATCACAAGTTAATTGTCATTGATTATCTTAACCTTGTCAACTGAAAACAGATAATTAATCAAGAAAAGTTGAACAGGTAAAAAATTAAGGTTAGTCAAATTAACGATTAACTTGCTAATTGTGATCGTAGGTGTTTAATGGGAACAATTAGTTGATCATCGAAATTGAGAAAACAATCTAATTGTTGGAACTGGTTTATCTTTGTGAATCAAATTAACTCGAGTATTTTGATAAGATGAAATTTTTGATTGTTCAACGAGTTTAAATTGTTGTATTTTTGACCAAAGGTAATTTTTTATTGATTGATTACAATTGTTTGTTTACTTTTCTATCAATTGATTTTTGATTTTGATGGAAAACCAATTAAACTAAATGATCAATTTAGTAATTTGTTGTAATTTTTGTAGTAATAGTAGTAGTTGATGTTGATGATTAGTCTCACAAAATAATTTCTAATTATATGAGTGGTTTTGGTGACTTTTGTTTGAGATGAGAAGTTAACATTTTGGTTCAATCATTAGATCTTTAGGTTTTCTTTTTGGTGATTTGGGTTTCATTTGGTTAATCTTTTTCTTCATCTTTCCATCTCTCTCTTTTTTTCTTTGTCTTTTTCCTGGTTTTCCTGTATTTTTACAATGGAGATGGAAAAACAAGAGAGGTAATAATTTTCTTCTAATATATCCTCTTTTTTTTCATGTATAAATGATAAAAATTGTTGGAATGGTAAATATCTTTGTGTGTGTTTTGGTTGACCATTGAATATACTAAAAAGAGAGAAACTTTAAAAACTATTTACACAAGGGGATAATTTTTTCAAAACAATTTAGATGGGACGGGGTGGGTGAACTTAGATAAAAACTTTTGTGACAGGTCAGTGGGTGGTGGTTGTGGTGGTGTAAATGCTAATAGAAAAGGGTTCACATTTTTGCTCTTGGTGAGAGGTAAAAGGTAAACAAAAAGAGATAGAAATTATAATTTCTAGTAGTTGCTTGGCATGAAAATTGCCTCAACGACAATATAATGAAATATTAATATGTAGTTGATGATAATTTCGATGATGAAAATGAGGTTCCAATGAAGACGATGATGTTGATTGTGATGATGATGATGATAATGATGATAAAAGGAAGGCGAAATGTTAAAAGTACATGTATAAGAGATATTATAAAGGCAGGAAGGAAAAAAGGAGAATGTATTTTCTTTGATAATTTTCCATTTCTGATTGTTTAGAAGATCCATTTCTCCTTATAATCATATGTTTCAAATATCGCATTTAAATATCATATCACGGCCATTTTGTTTTTAAGAATAGTTTTGATTGTTTTGATGTGTATTAGATGTGTAAAGATGATTTTGGTAAATTTTTAATTGTTTTCTTTTCTTTAATCTTCCAATTGTAACTTGTTGCTTTGTTTTATGGTTCGTAATCGCAAAGATCAGGTGATGGATCGGCGCTACTCCTCCATCTGAAAAGTCCAATGTTATTATCTCTGTAGGAAGAGGGAAGAGGAAACAATAAATTATTAGATAATCATCCAACACACAAAATACAAACTAAAAAAAAAAAACAATTTATATTAAAGCAAGGACAAGATTATCATCTTATTTGGGTATCAAAATTATGAAGATCATGAAAAAAAGTGAAAAAAATTCAATAATAATAGTAGTTAGTTTTGATTGATATAACCTTGACTTCCAAATTGATACTACTGCCCACACTATCTGTCACTTTCTATTTTGTTCTTGTTGTTGTTTTGATTATAACTCGTTGCTTTCTGAAAATAATGGGTAAGATATTTATCTTTTTACCTTAGAATTGCTTATTATTTGTTTACAAACTGTCAAGTATATCATATGTTTTATCATCTCAATTATCTCATTGTTTTTGAATCTTATTATATCCAATTCATGAGCATAATATTATTATCACCATTATATAATAGTAGTAGGAAGTAGACTCAAGGTTGTTTTTAGAAATGGCTGAAGATTAGCCAAAAGATTGTTAAATCGTGTGTATTGTAAATTGAGATTATTAAACTTACGCAGATCCGGTGGCAACTAATCTTGAATTAACATCTAATGAATGAATTGCTCCAGAATGAGCTCTTAATTCACCAATAGGTTGGCAAGTATCTGTTGACCAAAGTTTGACAAACCCACTTCGGCAACCGCTAATTAATGTTGATGCATCTTTTTTAATCGCCAACGCTTGAATCCAATCTTTGTGGGCTTGGTTAATTGATTGAACCAACTTTTTATGGGGCAAGGTTAAGTCCCACTTTTTAATACAAGCATCCCTGGAGGCTGAGAAAAGTGTATCTCCCGATAAGGCTAAAGATTCAATACCATCATAATGAGGTGGATCCAGAGTACAAATGGGCTGATGAATGCCCCCAATATCTTCCATTACTTCAAATAATTTGATATAATGATCCTTGGACCCGGTTGCAATAATATTACTATCATTGCCGGAATCTTCAACCGCCATACAGATAACATTGGCTTGGTGAGAAGTGTTCAATTTTCCAATACAATAGTATTTCCTGAGATCCCAAACTCGAACGGTGTGTCCGCATGTAGAAAAGAGCACAGTCCCGTATTTGTTAAGTTGAATGTCTAAGATTCTATTTTCATGTTGACCTAAATCATTGGTTCGTGAGGCAGCCGAAGCAACCAAACCATCAGCAAGTCCAAGTGAACTGTAAATGAAAAAAAAGAGTTATAAAAATGATTACCAATAAGCAATCATTAAATTGTATTATTAATAAATGGATCATTTTAACTGTTATTTGATAGTAAACAAGAAATAATAGGGTTAGGGGGAGGAGGAAAATGAAGAAGATAAAAGGTAAAGAGAGATGAATAAAAAGGATGAAAAATAGATGAAAAGGAGAGAAAGATATTAAATTGATTCTATTAATATTTTCATACTTTAAAATTTTTATACATCGTGCAGGGTTTTCCCTTGTATCCCAAACTTTAATTATCGATTTGGAAACAGAGAAAGCCAAACGAATGTATTCATTGTATGCAACCTTAACCACGGAATCGGGATGATCTTCGAGAGATTGAATTTCTCGGCCAGTATGTAGATCCCATATTTTAACGGTACAATCTTTGGATCCTGAGAACATAACATCATCCGTCAAAGCGACTGAAAGAACTGGCCTACTGTGACCTTCAGCAGTTGATGATAAGATGAGAGGTGAATATTTGTCATAACTTCGATTCGTGCATGGAACCATTATTCCCCTGAAATTGTTTTAAAAAAATAAAGAAATGTAAATTACATCATTGATTAGAGAAAAAAATATAAATATATTTGTATATTAATTATATCCAATTGAAAGAGCACAGTTGAGGTAATAATGAAATTCAACTAGATATTAGAATGGATATGTAAATGTTGATTTGAATGATAAAAAGGATGAGTGCGTGAGAAATAAATCTTTCTTTATATTGACTTATTACCTGTCGGGATTGTTTTGACCGTTAGTGTTGGTTCCACTTGTTAACCGGGAGAAAACATTTTCTTCCTTGTTTCGGCGAAAGATTTGTGGTGAAGAGGGAGGGGTCGTTTCATTGGTTTCACTTTAGAGGGAGAAGGTAAAGGGAGAGAGAGAGAGAGAGAAGTAAAAAAGTTAAATTAATAAAACAGTCGAATTGAGATGAAGGTGGAAAAGAGGGAGGAAGGAAGGGAAAGGGAGGGATAGCGATGGATGACATGAGTAAAGTAATGAAAGAAACAATTGAAAAAATGGTTCTACAGGATCAGACAAAGAAGGAAAAAAGATGATAATGAACGGATGATGATGGGCAAAAAAAGAGAAATAGAAGATGATGAAAGGTGATACAGAACGTAAGATAAGGTTACAAGTTGAGCAGAAAAGAGAGAGAGAGAGAAGGAGAGAGACGAAAATGAAAAGGTAAACAAAAGAATAGTCTAATGTAATAAGTGTTAGTTCAACAACATCATCATCAACATTTAGTCCAGATCATCACGATGAAGAGTAAAAGAAGATATTTAATGTGTGGTAGTGAATAAATAGAGAAGCTGATTAAGCTAATCACGATCACCATTCAATCACCGTTTTCTATTTCTTGCTCTCTCTCTTTCTTTCTCTTTTTAACATCCTTCTCTTCTTCTCTGAATAACAACAATTAACTTGCCATCATCAACTTGAGAGAATGAAAAAGATGATTACGTTTATAAAATTATATTTAAAAATATTATTGGGATATTTTTGACTGTGCAATCAATGAACTGGTCCTTGATGATGATGATGAGGATGATGATAACGGTGAAAGAGATGAGAGAGCGAAAGAAAAACATCAACATGCAATATTCACAATAAGGAAAAGGCTTTAGAAAAATAGACGTAAGTTTATCTTTTTTGGCCCATCATGTCAAAAAGATAAACTTGATGCGAAACGGTTAGCATAGAGGAGAAAAAGATATGGATAAGAAGAGGAGGGATAATGAGAGATTAACAGTAAGAAGCTCACGATGATATTTGGCGTGTAACATGAGTTTGTGCTGGACTGTTGCCGAAAACAGACAAGACACAACTTGGTTTGGTAAGACGTCTTGATTCGAGTAATTGATTTCTTTCGAAAGTTTTACGTTTAAGGATTGGAGAAGCTGCTTCGATCCTAGATGATGGTTTACACATATCCCTAAATATGGACAATTACAAATAAGAGACAAGTAAACGCATAAATATATAAATATATAAGTTATGGTTGAGGTTACAAGTAAAATGCTTATTATTATTTGCTCTTTTTGGATATATTTTAATGATGTGTGTGGCAAATAATCATTCATCCAAAAATTATTAGCAAGGTTAAGAAATAGAAAGTTTAAGAAAAAGCTGAGAGGTTGGAAATTCAAATGTTACTAAATAACAAACTAATCAACTAAATAAACTGAAAGATTAACTTTTGAAAAAGTACTGACATTTGTGTCGATATGAGAGAGGGAATTGTAAATGTAATAATTAATCAAGAAATTTATAATTGTAGGATAAGTACATATATTCAAGCTAATCAATCAATCATGTTTTAAGTTGAACACTTTAAAAACCTTCCTACAATCAATTAATATTGTTCAACTGTTATTGATAAAAACTACTAAAAAACATAAGAAAAATAAAGAGTAAAATCAGATGATAAAACAGAAGGAGAATAACAATGAGAGAGAGAGAAATTTGTTCAAATATGTTGACTGAGTGAGAAAAATGAGCAGAAAGTGAAAGGTTTAGAAGAGAATGATTAGTTGATTACTAATTTCATCTAACGAATAATATAAACAAGAAACTAAGAGAATGAACAAATATGATATAAATTAGACGAATATGAGATGAACAAAAAGAAGCGATTACATGAGGAACAATTTGGAACTTACTTTAAGGACGGAGCACTTGGAACTCGATGGAGATCAGAATTGTTTTTGGCTAATAGAGAGATAGGATTGACCAGAGATTGTGTCATTGGATCGTCAGCCAAATTTATCGAATTTCTTGACTGTTCGAATAAAAGTTCTTGAGGTGTTTTAGTTAATCGACGAGCTTTTTCAGGGCGACCTGATCCATTTTCGTTATTAACATTGGTGTTACCAGAGGTGGAGGTTGGTGTTACTGTCGATACAGGAGTTGTGTGGATTGATGAAATTGTATCTCCATTGTGATGTTTTTCGTAAGTGTTCAAAGCGCTGACCTTGTCCTTTGCTTCGTTATTCAAATTATGATTGTTATTACCGTTAACTGATCCTCCATTATTATTAGAGTTGATATTATTGCTATTGGTACTATTGGTTGTGGGCGGCCTTTTATTTGGGTCTTCAATGAACGTGGTATCCAAAAGAAGATTAAGTAGATTCTCTTGAGCAACTGAACTATCTTCAAGTTGATTGTATTTCATTTCATATTCGTGAGCTTCCTCTTCCTTTTGACAGGCAAGGAGACTTTGATTTATTGCCATTGTTAATACTTTCTCGAAAAGGTACTTCATTTCCTCCAATCCTACATCGACAAGTAAAGTGTTCACTTCTAATGTAGGTGTATCACCGGCAGTTTCTTCTAGTTGCATTATTGTTGATTGACATTCATCAATATTTGTATTCAGGTAAAGAATATTATCTTCAATGTTACCCAATTCTTCAGATAGTTCAGCAATTATATCTTCACTTTTACCAGTTCGCTTCGATTCTTGGAGTTTTGCTTTGGTTTCTTCTCTTTCACGAACTAATCGACGGCGTTGGGCAAGGAAACGATCCATTTGTAATTCATGTATTGCAATATTTTTCTTGTAAAGCATCACCTTATTGATATCTTGTTCAATCGATTGCCATCTTTGTTTGATCACTTTTGGAGATAGAATGACCGATGGTTTCTCAGATCCTTTTCTAACTCGACTAGATTTAACTCTTCCGGCAACTTTATCGCTCATTGGTTTTATCATTTTCTTCATGGCGACAACTTGATCTTCTTTCCGTTTTAAAAGTGATTTAACTCTATTGGCTTCAGTTTCCAAGTTTCTGATTTTAACATCTTTCAGTCTCTCTTGTTTAGCCAATTGTGAGAGTTTTTTATTCTGCCTTAATTCTGCTTCTTTATGACGCTGAGCTTCCTCTTTCATTTTCTTCAACAGGTTAACTTTTTGCTTTTTCATCTCACCTACTTCATTTTTCAAATTTCTCAATTGTGATTCATATTTTGATTGACTTTTCATAGCAGAGGCATGTTCCTTTTCGGCCATCTTTAGTTTTTTCATTTCCGTTTGCAGAGCATTCAACTTTGTTTGGTAATCATCTCGGACCTTTTTTGCTTTATCATTACCACCTGATCCAACGTTGGTCAGCTTTGCCAATACACGATCACGCTCAGTTTCAATTTCATTAATTTTGGTTTGCAATTGTGATAACTTTTCTTCATAATGATGTTTCATCGACATCATTTTACGCTGACTTTTCTCTAATTCAAGAATTAACTTTTCTTTAACTGAGATCTCATTGGATAATTCAACAAGTTGATATTCGGTATCAGATTCATCATCACTGGCATCACTTTCATCTGAAGCAGGAGATGATGAAGCACCATTAACACCTTCATCATCTTCTCCGGCATCAGTTGCACCATCGGTAGTACCACCGCCACATCCACTATCAGATTCACCATTTGTTGGTGAAGGATTTGAACCACCACTATTGGCACCATCACCATCACCATTATTATTACCATTAGTCTCACTAATTGTATCAATATCTTTATATGATTTACTTAAATTACGGCTTATCTTCTTTTGTTTGGCAAGATCTTTTTTAGCTTCTTTAAGAATAGTATCATATGATTCAGGTTCCTCAGAGAAGTTATAATTTCCAACCACGGCAACAGAAGTTGATGAAAAGGGTGACATTGACATTCGACTCATTGTTGACCGTTGAGCTTGTTTTCTCAATTGTGAACAAGTCTCTTCCATTTCGATTAATTTAGTTCTCAATTCTTCAATTTCACGAAGATATTTGACAACCATATCCTTAAGATCACTTGGTTGATCATCACCATTAACAATCCAACCACCAGTTTCTTTTTCTAATGTTAATTCGGTATTACGAGCTATCAATCTTTCATTAGTATCTTGAAGAGCTTTCACTCTCAATTTAAGATTTGCAATCTCTTTTTGTAACATCGTATTTTCATGGTACATATCGTTAATTTGTTCATTTCCATCTTCACCGATGATTCTTTTACCCTGCTTATACTCCATAAGCTCCAATTGTAACCTTTGAATCTCTTTACGAAGTAGAGTAATTGTTTCACTGGCCTTATCTTGATTAGCAGTAATCTTATTTTTGATGTTCTTGGCTCGATTGGCATACCTTAATGTATTTAAAGTCTCCATGAAATCTCTATCGGACGGTGAGATACAAGCAATCATCAAAGTTTGACTATTACCACCAAGGGAATCTTGTAATAAACGAGTTAACTTGGAATCACGATAAGGTACATGGCAACCTTGCTTCTTTTTATCACCCAGAGCAGATATAACGTTACCTAAAGCAAGAAGACCTGCATTAATGGAAACTGCTTCTTTAGCTCTATCACCCGTAGCTCCGGTTCTTTTTAATCTCTCTGAACCAGCGAGATCAACAAAATGGAATTTAGCTGTTAATGTTTCAAATTCATGGGAAGGCATTGGTCCATCTGTAGGAATACCTTTCAGATGTTCATCTAGAGACACTATTCTTTGCTGTTTTATGTACAATGTAAAGATAGCATGTGATCGAGATGATTGACTGTTCATATTGGTTGATGCGGTTGTTCGTGAAAGTGATCCTTTCTTTAAACAGTCTAATGTTGAATCAACTGAGGTAACACTTCGAGCACATGTATTAACAGTGTAAATACCTCCAGAGGCATCTTCGTGAATTTTAATTTGATTTGAATTGGTCCCAAGATCATCAGCTAGAAGATCAATTATTTGCTCATTATATAATTCCAAGAATTGAACGTTAACCTTAAATTCGGGTGGCGGGATACCCATTTCTTTGGCTTTACTTTGTTTGGCCTGAATACCTTGGAAAAGATGTTCAACGGCTCTTGGAATAATTCCTTTATTTTCATGGGTCACCCGAACATCGAAACCAGTTCCCATGGTGTAGGTTTTACCTGATCCGGTCTGACCATAAGCAAGAACCGTTGCATTATAACCATCTAGGCAACCCTCAATGAGAGAGGCAACACACTGTGAGTAAACCTCTTCTTGTTTAGAATCCATATTAAAAACATGATCAAATGTGAAAGCTTTGGTCGATCCAAGCCAAACTTGCGGCTCATTTGGAGTTATACTTGTACACACTTTACACATTTCAATTATCTCCTTAGATACCTGAGGACGAATCCGAACACTGACTTTAACACTTGTTTCGGCTTCCATTGTGTCTCAAAGGAGAGGAAAATGGAAACAGCTAAGAAACAGTAGTAGAAAGGAGATTAGAGAGACAGAGAAGCGAACAAAAAATCAGACACCGATTGGAATTGAAACAAAATAAATTTGACACAAATTGAGATGATAATTGGAAGCGATAACCAAGCGAATTACTATAGACACACGCACACAAACAAATTGCGAACAAAAAGAAAAACATAAAATACACTGAACACCAAAGCGAAAACGTCAGAAATAAACAACAGAAACTGGAATTAGAAGTGGAACAATGAAGAAGATGAAGAAAAAGGAGAGAACAAAATCTTTGTTCTCCTGGCGCGAAAATAGAATTTCAAGGGAACGTTTTCTAATTTAGAAGAGAAAATCAGTCAACTTTTTCCATTTTCTTTTCGACAATCAACTTTAATCTCCAATTATCTCTGGTCGATTGTCGTTTTAATTGATTATTTGAATGTCTCAAAGTTCGAATTTCCAATTGGTCTTTTGTATTTATTCGAATTCCAATGGAAATGATTAGTTGATTAGATTCGAATTTGGATTTTCAATGTGATGAAATTTTTTCGACTTTTTCGTGGTTTGGTTTTCTTTGATTTTCTTTTGTTTTTTTCAACTTTCGATTTATAGATTCTCTAAGTTTAATTATTCTTTTGCTTTTCAATAGTCTTTTATGATTCATATGATCTGTTTTCTTGGAATTTTTGTTAGACTTCAAGACTTGAACTCTCAGAACGAGTTTAACCTACTCGAGATTTTCAATTGATCTTTAACATCTATTCAAACGTTGGAATTGAATCTTTGATGATGTTGAATGGTAATTCGACGATGAATTGATAATTATATCAACTTATAAATAACAATTTGTTAAGAGAATTAAAAAAAAAGGTTAACCGGAATTGTAGTCAAGTAAATTTCATAATTTTCCCTTAAACTCGTTACCATGTCAACAGTTTGAAATCCAAGTGGAAATGTTAATTGTTTTGTTTTCAAAAGAAAGATCAACAATTAACCTCCAGAGAGACTTGATTTTAATGGGGAAAACAAAAGATACTTCATGTGAGAAATTTACAAGAGAAAAAAAAGAAAATTCCATCGACAGATTAATCCATTGACAAAGGAAAACAAATCAAGTTGATTCTTGAAAACAATTAACGGTTTACTTTTTTGCCGGTGAACTCTCATAGATGGCGTAACCTGAACGAAAACAAATTCGAAAATTCAAATGAACCAATAAGAGAGAAGAGAAAATAATTTTTTCGGCGATTTTGCTTCCATCTAACGGCCTCGAATTGCAACTTTTCGATAAGAAAACATCTGATTATAAACGATAATTGTTCCTTATGATGTTATTTTGATTTCTTCATTAATTTTAATTAATTAATTTTTTTGTGTTCCACTTCTTTTGGTTGATAGTTTTTTCGATTTTCAATAAATGGAAAGACAAGTTACTGATCACACATTGATATTCGAAAAGAATCGAGTCAAAAGCTTCACTAGATGGCCTCATAAATCAGTTAGTCTATCAAAAGAAAATGTAAGTGATTTTATTAGTTGTCATTTCTTTTCTCTTTATTTTTGATTGTTCTTTTATTAATTTTTCTTTTTCTGTGTCTTTTTTTTCTTTTTTTCTTTTGTTAATTTTGTTAACTTTCTTTCATGTTTTCTGTTAATAACTTAGATGGCTAAAGCAGGTTGGTTTAAATGTTGTGTTAACACCAATGATGATGCAGTTCAATGTTTTTGTTGTCTTAAACAATTGGACGGTTGGAAACCAGATGAAGATCCTTGGAAAGAGCATCTTGACCATAGTCCTGATTGTGAATTTGCAAAAATTGGCTTAGAACAGGATAAATTAACCTTACCACAATTTCTTGTCATTATGGAGAAAAGATCAATCAACTTAGTAGTAAGAAAATTACCCCTAACAATTTATCTCTATTGGTTTTTGCTCAATTATTACATTATTGGAATTCAAACCGGCTATTTTTCCTTAGAATCAATCATTTCATCAATTTTCAGTCTTGAATTGATCCGAAAATAACTCATAGTGTCAATGATAAACACGCAATTTCATCAGAATTATTGATGAATTACTTTCTCTGAATTACCGATAGTGTAATAAGAAGCTTTAATTTTATGGATTACAAAGTAACTAAAGTTTCATTTGTTATTCTTTTTTTTCCAATTTTCTTTTAGGAGAAGAAATTTAATGACGAGAAACATGAAGAGAAAAAATTATTAAAGAAATTAGGAATATATCAATACATTCGAGGAGATTCAAAGTCTGATACTGACGATGAATAGGAAGAGAGAGAGAGAGAGAGAGAGAGAGAGAGAGAAATGGAGGGAGAAAAGGAGAGAAATAAATTGAGATAAAGTTCTTTTTACATTTATAATCAAATTCATTAATATGTTTTATTATCATTTGCTTATTAATATTATAAATCCATCTTGTGTTTGCATCATTATTAAGTTTTTTTAATACTCAAATAAACCATTCAACATGCAAACAAACATTCACAAAGTCATTGAAAAGCAAATACAAAGGCCTTGAAATTAGTGCTGCCTAATTTTGTTTGTTACCTTAACTTTTTTCACCATCGTTTTTAGAGATGTGATTGTAATTGAAGAAAAAAATAGGCTAAGGGGAGACGAGAAACAAAATTGCATTGGAATAGGAATAAGAATCTCTAGTAAGAAATAAAAGAGTGAGAGTGAGAGAGAAGGGGAGAAGGAGAGAAGGAGAGTGAATAGAAGATTGGATGAATATGGAAGAAAAAGAGAAAAGCAAAGTGGGAGGAAGAGAGAAAAGGAGAGAAAGAGAGAGAGAGAGAAAAGGAGGTGGTGGTAATTGTGGTGTTGGTCTCGGTGTTGAATGAGTAGATTAAGTGAGTAAAGTGAATAAAGTAAAGGTAGTGAACAAGTGAAAGAAGAAAATAAAAGAAAAGGATAGTTTCAGGTTTTACAAGTTTCCACTTGGTTCATCATCTTTGGTTTCCTTTATTACGCTTTTATCCTCACATGAGATCGGACTTGCAAGCGCCGCCTCCAATTCATCTTTTAAAGAGTTTGCTGAATTAGGCATCAAATTTTTCTCTCTTTTGCTCGTAATTGCGTCAACGGGGGTGGAACAACTTGTTTTCTCCTCTCCTACTTGTTCACTACTGTAATTGCTACTACTTTCCACCGTCGATGTCATCATAGTGCTCACACTGCTGTTTCCTTCATCTCCTCCGGTCACTCCAACGGACGATGGAGATGCCGACGATGATTCATTTCTATTTTTCTCATCACCACTCATCTTTTTACCTCCTAATCTTGGTACAGCTACTTTATTGCTCGATGTTGTGCTTGTAGTTGATTTGGTTGGTTTGCTTGTTGAATTTTTACTTGCTAATGTCCGATTCGATGTACCACCAAGAGGAGCTCTTGATGCTGACGATGATGATGATGATAATAGACTGGAAGAAGTAGTTGATGGACGAGTCGATGATTTTGATAGTGTTGTTGTCCCAACACCAGGACGAGAATATGAAGACGATGAATTAGTTAATGAACGATTTAAAGCACTTGTGGTACTTTTATTAATTAATGAAGATGAGGCACCAGGTGAAGGTCGATTTAACATAGTACCAGTCGAGGCTCTTTTAGATGGAGCGACACTCTTACTAGTTGCTCCAATTCCAGTTCCAGTTCCAGTTCCAGTTCTAGTTGTAGTTGTAGTTTTCGAGATCGTTGAAGGTTTAGTTCCAGTGGTAGAAGACAAAGTAGACGAAGGATTAGTTCGAGATGTTGCCAATGTTGATCGTATTGGAGCTTTGACTGTTCCAATAGTCGAACTTGACATTCCAGTGGTGGTTTTGGTTCCAATGGTGGAAGAGGAAGTTCCTGGTCTCTTGGATAATCCAGAAGTTGCTGATGAAGTTCCGGTTGTAGTTCGAGTCAAAGGTTTTGAAGTAGTTGATGATGATAAAGAAGATGATGTTCCTCTTGATGATGATGATGTTGAGGTTGTTGTCCTAGAGGCTAAAGAAGATACTCTAGAAGTGGTTGATGATGTTCCTGTTGTTCCTGATGCTGTTAAAGTCTGTGTGGGCCTTTTGTTTAATGTTGATGCGCTTCCAACTCTTGATGTGCTCGTTGAGTTTCTGACATTTGATGTTAATGTTGATGTTGATGTGGGTTGACGAGAAGTTGCTAATTTACCGGTAGTTGAACTAGAACTTGATTTAACCGTTGAAGTTAATCTCGAACTAGAGGTTCCACTTGGAGCCAAAGGTTTTCTAGTATTAGAAACAGTTGATGTCGATTTTAACGCTGCTGTTCGAGATGAACTAGTAGTTGTACTACTTTTACTTGGAGGTAAAGTTGATTTTTTCGAAACATTAGTTTTACTAATTGTTTCCTTTTTAACCAATTCACAGCTTTTAGATCCAATTTCAGAAGCAGCGACAGCAACAGAACCCGAAATAACACCAACAGCAGCGGCAGCGGCGGTGACAGCAAGGTTAGAGGGATCAACTATTTCCACACCTTGAGATGAATTATCAGTTGATTGAGAAATAATATTTTCATCCTGATTGATCATTAAATCCTCACTTGTGATTACATTTGATGTAGACTTTTCTTCTTCTAAATTAAGTTGAGATGATTTATCGCCAATACTTGATGAATTTTCGGCTTTTATTTCTTCTGCTTCATAGATTCTCATTTCTTCTATTCCTTTTTCTATTCTTTCATCGTTTATATTTTCACTTTCTCCTTCTCCTTCTTTTTCTTTTTCTTTTTCTCTTTCCTCTAATTCTTCTTTTACTTTTACTTTATCATTTTCTGTTTCGTTTTCTTCTTTCATCTCATTATTCTCTTTCATTTCATTCTCGCCACTTAATTGCTCCATTTTCTCTCCCATTACATCTTCCGTTAATTTGCTTTCGTTCATAATATAATCACATGTTACATTTGGTGTAATGACTATAGTATTTACTTGATCATCTGAAAAATCAAGTAAACCACAACTATTATCTGGATTATCCTCATACAAAGTTGAGCCTTTTGTTTCATCACCTGTTGAAATGTCAACACTTTTATCAAAAGGATTTAATGATTCAAGTGGAATACTTTGAGTATCTTCAATGTTGATTTTTCCAGTATTTGTATTTTCCTCTTCGTTTCTCTCTGCTCTCTCTTCTTTCTCTTCTCTTTCTTTTTTCTCTTCTTTCTGCTCTTCTTTTTCCATTTTTTCTTCATTTATCTCGGAATAAGGATCAATAGCATGAGGTCCCGAACTAATCACATCGTTACTTTGATTAACGATAATCGATTGTGGTTCAATAGAATCTGCACCAAAGTAGCCACCATGATAAGGCTCAGAAACCATTCCATCTGAAACTGAAGTAATATATTGATTAACATCAATTCCGGAACCACTTAGTTGACTATCACAATCATTTTCTTTCAATTCTGGACGTAATTCTGATCCTGAAATTGTCACTGTTTCTGATGTTGTTCCTGTTGTTTCTGTTGTTGGGGATGATGGAATCTCATTTGGTGTTAAATTACTGACAAATGTTTCAGCCTGTGAAATTAAATTACTCTCCATGGTTGAATATTCTGATTCTTCAAGTTCTTGTAATTGTTGCAATTGTTCAAGTTGATGATTAAGTTGTTGTTGATGTTCACGCTGATCTTGTTGTTGTTCAAAATACACCAATTCAGGAGCAGAAGGTAATTGTTGAAAATCAGTTTTATTCTCGCCAATATCATGAATAATCATCTCCGATGAAAGATTATCTGAGTATTCGGATGACGATAAATTACTAATTGATTGTTGATTAATTAAATCACCATCATTATAACCATTATCATTATCATTATCATTATCATTACCATCACTAAAACCAACAACTTTAACACCACCAACATTACAAGAATTAAAGTTTTCTGAATCACTTAAAACATTATTATCCACTAGACCATCAAACATTTCAATCTTCTTGTTTTGTAGTTGTTGTTTTTGATCATCATCATACTGATCATGATAATCCTCTTGCTTATGTTGTTGCTCTTGTTGCTCTTGATGTTGTTGTTGTTGCTGTTGTTGATGATGCTCATGTTGGAGTTGATCGTTGTTCCCATCATCCTTAAATTCACTCATCCACAAATCTTTTTTATCCAATTTCTCGTTTTTATTTGACTCTTCGTCGTCCTTTCTTGGCTCATTTCCAACTTCATCACTTCCAATAATGTTACTGATATTTGGTTGAAATTCATCGGCAAAAGGATTCAAGGTTGAACCCAAATTGACTTTTTCTTTTTCTTTCTCTTTTTCTTTCTCTTCTTTTTCCTTTTCTGGTTCTATTTTAACTTTACCAGCATCTTCTTCTTCTTCTTCTTCTTGTTCTTTTTGATCACCATCATCATCATCTCCTCCTCCACCTCCCTCTGCACTTTGCTTCTTCTTCTCTTCCAATGATACACTAAATCCACCGGAACCAATCACTTCTTCACTCATTAATCCATTATCGATTCTTATTGGTGATCTTCCATCATCACCATTATTATCCAAATGATATTCCAAACCATTTCCATTATTAATAATAATATTGTTATTTCCATTGCCACAATCAATATGACCATTGTTATCCAAACCACTTTTAGTACTATTATTAATCGAACTGGATAGTTCACCACCACCGACACAATTTCCAATTGATTTAACAATCGATGAAACGTCTTTCAAGAAAATAACGATTGTAGTAACATTGTCACATGATCCATCTTTAATTGATTTATCGGAAAGTATTTGTGCTGTTGAATTTACCAATTCGTTTACACTTAAATCACTGTTTTTCTGTAAATGCTCATAAATTAATCCAATTGCATCTTCTGGTGTCATTCGGTCCCATAATCCATCACATCCCATGATCACAAAATCTTCAGTACCATCTAAATTGATAACCTCGAAATCAGGATCAGAAGTCACATAAGGTTTATAATCGGGATCTCCAATAGCTCGAGACACGCCAAGAGTACCATTAACTCTCCATGTATCTAAATAGAGGACAGTTCCTCCCATTTCCTCGACTCTTTCTTTTTCATCTTCTCTCTCCAAATTATGTGGATTTGTGATGAAAAAGGGTTTCCCATTACGAGACACAAGAGCCATCGAATCACCGGCCCAATGGATAAAAAGTCTCGATCTATTTTCTAAGACACATGTAACGGCGGTACAACCACTTCTACTTGCATGCTCTGCTAATGACTTGTCGGTATACTGAAAATCTGTTGCTGCGTAAGCCATTCTGATGGAATCTTCGATATAACCTGCTTTGAAGAAACGATTCTCAACCATATTCTTGTGTAAATTATCAGCAGCAAATTCTGCAGCATCTGATCCTCCATGACCATCAAATATCGCATAGTAAGAATAATGATTTTCGATATGGTTATAGTCATCACTCTAAAATAAATAAATAAATGAATAAATAAACATCATCGCTATTATAATATCATTAAGATAAAATAAACAAAATGCAGCGTATAACAAGCAGAGAAGAGATTAAGAAGGGAAATTGACAAGATGAGATATGGAGAATAGAAATCGGAAATAATTATCGGAATAAATAGAATCAAAAGAGGGACAGTGATGAGAAAAAGGAATAATAATTAACATAAGGCTCAACAAAAAGAGAAAAGAAAAAATGACAAACAAAGAGTAGGAATAAGAAAAAGATAATTTGTTTGTAAATTCGTTAATCAACTAACCTTATCTTTAAATTGACTAAGAAGATTTGGTATTACAACATGTCGATCCTCCATTGACCGGCGAGTATTTTTCACTGCATAAACAGAATATTCTGGAGACTCTTTTTCTCCCTCCATTGTGATTACACTTTAACAGATGATAAATAGATGATTATTCTGTTATATCCATTGGTTTATCCACATTGAGATTCAATCAATTCAACAGTTGAAACAAAAAAGAAAAGAGAACGAAAATAAAAAATGATTAGTTTTCAAGTGAAAAAAGTGATGAAAATGTAGAAAAGAATAAAAGAAACGAAAGAAACGAAAGAGATGATGATGACATTGAACAATCACAATATATAACAATTATTACAAAATTAACATTCAAAATAATCAAATTTACTAACAATTTAAACAACAGTAAAAAAGAACATTTTCTAAACAAAAAGCAACAGATTTTCCATGATCTGGCAAATCGGGCTTGGTCCTTGTTCTTTCTTTTTCTTTTCTATCTCTCTTTTTTTTCTCTTTTTTCTCTTCTTCTCTCTTTCTCCTTCTCTCTTTCTGTATAGAGCAAAGGCTTAAAAAACACACCCAACCAACTCCAAAAAGTGAATCTCTATTTCTTCCCTCACCCTTTTGTATATAAGAGAGAAAAAGAGAGAGAGAGAGAAAATAAAATAGAAAGACAAAAAGAAAGAAAAATAAAGAAAGAAAAGAAAAAGAAAGAGAAAAACTAATTCTGTATCACTCTAAACCCAAAAAGAAGATCACATTTAATAGAACATGATGATGAAGATAAAGATGAAAAGAACAACAACAACTAAAACATAAAAAAAAGAAGAAAGAAATAGATTATGAAAGGGAAGAGAAAAAATTGTTACTTCCGATGTGACATTAAAGTGATCGAGTAGAAAACACAAAACAAACAGTAAATTAAACACTCACATTAACATTAAATTAACATTGAGAAGAGAGAAAAGAGAAAAGAACAAAATTAATGTAAGAATTGAAGAAGAACAGATGAAAATTACCTTGTTGTTTTCTTCTTCTTCGCCGTGAAGGAGGAAAGGAAAATGGAAAGATTTTTGATTATTATGATGAATTAAACTTAATTGTCAAGTAAATTATCCTTCAGATTGCTAATGGTACTTGTGAGGAAGTTAATGTCGCACTTTAAATGAGGTTGTTGAATGATAAGAATAAAAATTTGGTATTGTTACTCTAATGATGACAATTTTTATTGTTAATGAAAAGGAAATATAAATGACGAGAGAAAACAAATTTGAAAATATTCAATATAACAAAAAGGAAGGTAAGTCTCTAAATGTTAATCACTTCAACATAAACACTAAATTATATTTAATCAACGAATAAACAAAATTAAATTAATCAAATCACTCTGACTATTAACAAGATTTGATTGTTTGGGTGTTTAGAATGAAAGAAAAGTTTCTCTTTCTTTCTCTTTCTTTCCTTAGGGTTGGGTCTTTTTCTCTAAAGGCGCGACTTTCAAATCGAGAGAAAATTAAATTTTCCAATCAACATTGCAAACAATTTATTCTAATTACAATTTAGATTAGTAGGCGTTGGAAAATTAAGTTAATTGTTATCTGATTTTTCTCATCACTGTTTCATCGACAATTGTCTGAATATTAAATCAGTCGAAAATGATTCTAAATGATAACAATTAAACTCTCACGATAAATATTAATTATCTTCTGTCTCGATCAATCAACATGCAACTTTAGTCTAACAATTAAAATTGTCTCTAAATTGTAATACCAATTTGATTATCTCTCTTTGTACAATCAATTCTTTTCATCAACTCAACTAACAATCTAACAAATCTACAGATTCGTTGGGTAACAACTAATTGTTAATAGAACCAAATTGATTCTAATTGTTTCATTTGGTTTAATAATCTCGGGACAATTTACCTTTGGTTTAATCACAATTATCTTTTTACTATTAAACTTTTTTTTTTTTTCTTTTTCATATTTCCAACCAATTTCAGTGATTAATGATTCGTCTGATTGATCAGTAAAGTAGAATCGTTTTAATCATCCTAATATTGATTTGATTTGTTTAGCACGAAGTATTAATTTAATATCTACTTACCATTTGTTGTTATTGTTGTTGGTTGATTGTGATTGTTGATCAAAACCTGTCTACCTTTTTTGTTTGTTTCATTCAGCAATTTGATCAATTTGATAAATCTGATCACTTTTGATCAACTTTGATTTTTCAATGAAGTTCTTAAAGTTATCTAATTGTCTTGTCATTCAATTGAAAAATTGACTAACCAAACTTAAGAATTGATTAAGAACAACTTTTGATTGACTTTCTTTTTCCCCTATTGTATTTACTGATTTTTTCACTATTATTATCATTGTTTTTCCGTGCGACCTTTTCACCTCCGTTCAATTTTTCATGATCGACAATTTAATCCACAAAATTTATATTTATTCAATTTTGCAACAACAAAAAGGTCATTAAACTTGTAAACACGATATTCAATTGAATTTAATTGCGTGAGGAATTTTGAAAACATTTCAAACAATTAAAGATGAAGAAATTAAAAGAGTCACAAAATCTCACCCTTGATGCACGATAATCACTTCAATTAACACTTTTCCATTCTCTTAATCAGCTAATTAACCAACTATTATCTAAAACCACTAAAAGTCTATTGTGATGATAATTAATTTCTCATTGCTCATTAACAAGAAAACTTTTATAATTATTATTATTTAGATAAATTGTTCGGCGCCCGATAGATGGCGCTCAATGTTCGAATTTATAATTAATCGAATTGCTGTTTAGTTAATTGTTATAATCGACTTTTTATTTAATTTTTTAATAGAAGAAAAGTTCACACAAGCTATTGGATCAATCGGAAATTAAAATTGTTGTAAATTAAAATAGATTAACAATTAAATGATTTTCGTATTTTCGGCGTTCAACTAGCGACATCTGTTGGAAAAGAATATTAGTTTAGAAAAGAAAACGGTTTTTGTTTTTAATTCGTTTTGATTATTTGATTTGGTTGTTTTGTTTATTTCTATTAATGTTTTTTTCTAAATTGTTTTTATTTAATTGTTGTTCTAAATAGTTTATTGGTAACGTTGGAACCTCTAAAATTAACTGTAAGTAAATTGTGGTAAATTTGTGTTAACCTTTGGTGACTTTTTGTTTTCCAATCATGTGATGTAACTATTAATACATTGACATTGAATCTTTTGATAAGTTGAGGTTTTTTGATTCTTTTTTTCTTCTATTCTATTTGGCGAACAATTTAAGTTTAATTTAATCGATTATTTTTGATTAAATTAGGTTATTGGTTGTTGTTCCATGTTTAGTGTTTACTATTTTTGAAAATTATTCTAGTGTTAAGCATCAGAAGATTTATCTTTCATATGTATTATTAGCGTTAACCTTATGGTTTCACCGGTAAAAAGTATCCATTTGACTCTTAACAAACCGTATCTTTAATTGTAATTGTTACTTTTAAAGATGGAGATAGAGATGGAGAGAGACTGTGTTGACAGATTATTACGCTTTTTGTTACAAAAACAAAAATAAGTGTTGGTGTCATTTAGATTAGCGATCAATCAATTCAATTGAAAAAGTGATTTTTGAATTAATTAGTTTCCTCAATTGTGTGTTCCAATTGATTTACATCTCTTCATCAATCCATCAGGAGAGAGGCGATTCTCTCTCTCTCTTACTTTATCTCTATCTTTCTATTTATCTATCTCTTTCTCATTCAAATAAGTGTCATCTTACTGTAAATCAATCCGATCGACAGATCTAATATCATGTATTGATGTCGTTGCACCATTTGTTTAGAGAGTGTGAAACATATAAGATCTTTGGTGCGTGGAGACGTGATTATAATTAAGTTCTCAAAGAGAAAGAAAGAGAAAGAGAGAAAAAATGTGCTCTAATGGCGGAACGATGTCGTAATGAATGCAAAGAACAATAATTCACTTGCTTGAAGCCATTTGAGAGGAAGAAGGTTGTTCCTTACGAGTGGAAGGGGCCACTTACTCTTACATGTGGTGGGAGTTGTTGAGTCACCGAGTGTTTGGTGTGTGTGAGTGTAGACGTTCAAGTCTACAAATGACTCAAATTAATCTTATTTTCATGCGATAATAATGATCATTAATTTTCTGTTATTTTCGTTAATTGATTCAATTTAATTTACTTTTTTTCTGTATTTATATCAAGTGATTTACATTTTATTACGAATTTTTCTCTCTCTTTCTTTTTTCTCTTTCTTCCCTTTTTAATTTATTTTACTAATTTTCTCTCTCTTTCTATTTCTTTTTTCTCTTTTAGCTGAATTGCTCTCACTCACCATTTATGTTTCCTTTTCCATTAACAATATTATAATCATCGTCATTAACGAAAACATCAAATTTAACTTATCATCAACGTCCAACAACAATCATCTTTAAGAGCAACAGTGAATATCCTCATCAACACAATTACCATTTCTCAAGATATTAAGTCGTTTCTTTGTTGAATATTTACTTGACAATTAAGTTTAATTCATCATAATAATCAAAAATCTATTCGTTTTCCTTTCCTCATTCACAGAAGAAAACAACAAGGTAATTTTCATCTGTTCTTCTTCAATTCTTACATTAATTTTGTTCTTTTCTCTTTTCTCTCTTCTCAATGTTAATTTAATGTTAATGTGAGTGTTTAATTTACTGTTTGTTTTGTGTTTTCTACTCGATCACTTTAATGTCACACATCGGAAGTAACAATTTTTTCTCTTCCCTTTCATAATCTATTTCTTTCTTCTTTTTTTGTTTTAGTTGTTGTTGTTCTTTTCATCTTTATCTTCATCTTTATCTTCATCATCATGTTCTATTAAATGTGATCTTCTTTTTGGGTTTAGAGTGATACAGAATTAGTTTTTCTCTTTCTTTTTCTTTTTCTTTCTTTATTTTTCTTTATTTTTGTCTTTCTATTTTATTCTCTCTCTCTCTCTCTTTTTCTCTCTTATATACAAAAGGGTGAGGGAAGAAATAGAGATTCACTTTTTGGAGTTAGTTGGGTGTGTTTTTTAAGCCTTTGCTCTATACAGAAAGAGAGAAGGAGAAAGAGAGAAGAAGAGAAAAAAGAGAAAAAAAGAGAGATAGAAAAGAAAAAGAAAGAACAAGAACCAAGCCCGATTTGCCAGATCATGGAAAATCTGTTGCTTTTTGTTTAGAAAATGTTCTTTTTTACTCTCGTTTAAATTGTTAGTAAATTTGATTATTTTGAATGTTAATTTTGTAATAATTGTTATATTGTGATTGTTCAATGTCATCATCATCTCTTTCGTTTCTTTTGTTTCTTTTATTCTTTTCTACATTTTCATCACTTTTTTCACTTGAAAACTAATCGTTTTTTATTTTCGTTCTCTTTTCTTTTTTGTTTCAACTGTTGAATTGATTGAATTTCAATGTGGATAAACCAATGGATATAACAGAATAATCATAATCATAATCATAAACATCTATTTATCATCTGTTAAAGTGTAATCACAATGGAGGGAGAAAAAGAGTCTCCAGAATATTCTGTTTATGCAGTGAAAAATACTCGCCGGTCAATGGAGGACCGACATGTTGTAATACCAAATCTTCTTAGTCAATTTAAAGATAAGGTTAGTTGATTAACGAATTTACAAACAAATTATCTTTTTCCTATTCCTATTCTTTATTTGTCATTTTTTCTTTCCTCTTTTTGTTGAATCTTATGTTAATTATTATTCCTTTTTCTCATCACTGTCCCTCTTTTGATTCTATTTATTCCGATAATTATTTCTGATTTTCTAATTTATCTAAATTTCCGATCTCATGCTCTCCATATCTCATCTTGTCAATTTTCTTTCTCATTCTCATTCTCTTTATTTTTGTTTATTTTTATCTTAATGTTAATTATGGTGATGATAATGTTTATTTATTCATTCATTTGTTTATTTTAGAGTGATGACTGTAACCATATCGAAAACCATTACTCTTACTTTGCGATATTCGATGGTCATGCCGGACCGGATGCTGCAGAATTTGCTGCTGATCATTTGCATAAGAATATGGTTGAGAATCGTTGGTTTAAATCAGGTTATATTGCAGATGCAGTCAGAATGGCTTATGCGTTGACAGATTTGCAATACACAGAAAAAGCAGAGGAAGACCATGCAAGTAGAAGTGGTTGTACCGCCGTTACATGTGTCTTAGAAATAGATCGAAACTTTTTATCCATTGGGCCGGTGATTCGATGGCTCTTGTGTCTCGTAATGGGAAACCCTTTTTCATCACAAATCCACATAATTTGGAGAGAGAAGATGAAAAAGAAAGAGTCGAGGAAATGGGAGGAACTGTTCTCTATTTAGATACATGGAGAGTTAATGGTACTCTTGGTGTGTCTCGAGCTATTGGAGATCCCGATTATAAACCTTATGTGACTTCTGATCCCGATTTCGAGGTTATCAATTTAGATGGTACTGAAGATTTTGTGATCATGGGATGTGATGGATTATGGGACCGAATGACACCAGAAGATGCAATTGGATTAATTTATGAGCATTTACAGAAAAACAGTGATTTAAGTGTAAACGAATTGGTAAATTCAACAGCACAAATACTTTCCGATAAATCAATTAAAGATGGATCATGTGACAATGTTACTACAATCGTTATTTTCTTGAAAGACGTTTCATCGATTGTTAAATCAATTGGAAATTGTGGTGGTGGTGGTGAACTATCCAGTTCGATTAATAATAGTACTAAAAGTGGTTTGGATAACAATGGTCATATCGATTGTGGCAATGGAAATAACAATATTATTATTAATAATGGAAATGGTTTGGAATATCATTTGGATAATAATGGTGATGATGGAAGATCACCAATAAGAATCGATAATGGATTAATGAGTGAAGAAGTGATTGGTTCCGGTGGATTTAGTGTATCATTGGAAGAGAAGAAGAAGCAAAGTGCAGAGGGAGGTGGAGGAGGAGATGATGATGATGGTGATCAAAAAGAAGAAGAAGAAGAAGAAGAAGAAGATGCTGGTAAAGTTAAAATAGAACCAGAAAAGGAAAAAGAAGAGAAAGAAAAAGAAAAAGTCAATTTGGGTTCAACCTTGAATCCTTTTGCCGATGAATTTCAACCAAATATCAGTAACATTATTGGAAGTGATGAAGTTGGAAATGAGCCAAGAAAGGACGACGAAGAGTCAAATAAAAACGAGAAATTGGATAAAAAAGATTTGTGGATGAGTGAATTTAAGGATGATGGGAACAACGATCAACTCCAACATGAGCATCATCATCAACAACAACAGCAGCAACAACAACAACATCAAGAGCAACAAGAGCAACAACATAAACAAGAGGATTATCATGATCAGTATGATGATGATCAAAAACAACAACTACAAAACAAGAAGATTGAAATGTTTGATGGTCTAGTGGATAATAATGTTTTAAGTGATTCAGAAAACTTTAATTCTTGTAATGTTGGTGGTGTTAAAGTTGTTGGTTTTAGTGATGGTAATGATAATGATAATGATAATGATAATGGTTATAATGATGGTGATTTAATTAATCAACAATCAATTAGTAATTTATCGTCATCCGAATACTCAGATAATCTTTCATCGGAGATGATTATTCATGATATTGGCGAGAATAAAACTGATTTTCAACAATTACCTTCTGCTCCTGAATTGGTGTATTTTGAACAACAACAAGATCAGCGTGAACATCAACAACAACTTAATCATCAACTTGAACAATTGCAACAATTACAAGAACTTGAAGAATCAGAATATTCAACCATGGAGAGTAATTTAATTTCACAGGCTGAAACATTTGTCAGTAATTTAACACCAAATGAGATTCCATCATCCCCAACAACAGGAGCAACAGGAACAACATCAGAAAGATTGACAATTTCAGGATCAGAATTACGTCCAGAATTGAAAGAAAATGATTGTGATAGTCAACTAAGTGGTTCAGGAATTGATGTTAATCAATATATTACTTCAGTTTCAGATGGAATGGTTTCTGAGCCTTATCATGGTGGCTACTTTGGTGCAGATTCTATTGAACCACAATCGATTATCGTTAATCAAAGTAACGATGTGATTAGTTCGGGACCTCATGCCATTGATCCTTATTCCGAGATAAATGAAGAAAAAATGGAAAAAGAAGAGCAGAAAGAAGAGAAAAAAGAAAGAGAAGAGAGAAACGAAGAGGAAAATACAAATACTGGAAAAATCAACATTGAAGATACTCAAAGTATTCCACTTGAATCATTAAATCCTTTTGATAAAAGTGTTGACATTTCAACAGGTGATGAAACAAAAGGCTCAACTTTGTATGAGGATAATCCAGATAATAGTTGTGGTTTACTTGATTTTTCAGATGATCAAGTAAATACTATAGTCATTACACCAAATGTAACATCTGATTATATTATGAACGAAAGCAAATTAACGGAAGATGTAATGGGAGAGAAAATGGAGCAATTAAGTGGAGAGAATGAAATGAAAGAGAATAATGAGATGAAAGAAGAAAACGAAACAGAAAATGATAAAGTAAAAGTAAAAGAAGAAATAGAGGAAAGAGAAAAAGAAAAAGAAAAAGAAGGAGAAAGTGAAAATATAAACGATGAAAGAATAGAAAAAGGAATAGAAGAAATGAGAATCTATGAAGCAGAAGAAATAAAAGCCGAAAATTCATCAAGTATTGGCGATAAATCATCTCAACTTAATTTAGAAGAAGAAAAGTCTACATCAAATGTAATCACAAGTGAGGATTTAATGATCAATCAGGATGAAAATATTATTTCTCAATCAACTGATAATTCATCTCAAAGTGTGGAAATAGATGATTCCTCTAACCTTGCTGTCACCGTCACCGCCGCTGCCACTGCCGCTGCCGCTGCTGTTGGTGTTGGTGTTATTTCGGGTTCTGTTGCTGTCGCTGCTTCTGGAATTGAATCTAAAAGCTGTGAATTGGTTAAAAAGGAAACAATTAGTAAAACTAATGTTTCGAAAAAATCAACTTTACCTCCAAGTAAAAGTAGTACAACTACTAGTTCATCTCGAACAGCAGCGTTAAAATCGACATCAACTGTTTCTAATACTAGAAAACCTTTGGCTCCAAGTGGAACCTCTAGTTCGAGATTAACTTCAACGGTTAAATCAAGTTCTAGTTCAACTACCGGTAAATTAGCAACTTCTCGTCAACCCACATCAACATCAACATTAACATCAAATGTCAGAAACTCAACGAGCACATCAAGAGTTGGAAGCGCATCAACATTAAACAAAAGGCCCACACAGACTTTAACAGCATCAGGAGCAACAGGAACATCATCAACCACTTCTAGAGTATCTTCTTTAGCCTCTAGGACAACAACCTCATCATCAAGAGGAACATCATCTTCTTTATCATCATCAACTACTTCAAAACCTTTGACTCGAACTACAACTGGAACTTCATCAGCAACTTCTGGATTATCCAAGAGACCAGGAACTTCCTCTTCTACCATTGGAACCAAAACCACCACTGGAATGTCAAGTTCTACTATTGGAACAGTCAAAGCTCCAATACGATCAACATTAACAAGTCGATCAACATTGGCAACATCTCGAACTAATCCTTCGTCTACTTTGTCTTCTACCACTGGAACTAAACCTTCAACGATCTCGAAAACTACAACTACAACTAGAACTGGAACTGGAACTGGAATTGGAACTGGAATTGGAGCAACTAGTAAGAGTGTCGCTCCATCTAAAAGAGCCTCGACTGGTACTATGTTAAATCGACCTTCACCTGGTGCCTCATCTTCATTAATCAATAAAAGTACCACAAGTGCTTTAAATCGTTCATTAACTAATTCATCGTCTTCATCTTCTCGTCCTGGTGTTGGGACAACAACACTATCAAAATCATCGACTCGTCCATCAACTACTTCTTCCAGTTTATTATCATCATCATCGAATCGGACATTAGCAAGTAAAAATTCAATAAGCAAACCAACCAAATCAACTACAAGCACAACATCGAGCAATAAAGTAGCTGTACCAAGATTAGGAGGTAAAAAGATGAGTGGTGATGAGAAAAGTAGAAATGAATCATCGTCGGCATCTCCATCGTCAGTTGGAGCGACCGGAGGAGATGAAGGAAACAGCAGTGTGAGCACTATGATGACATCGACGGTGGAAAGTAGTAGCAATTACAGTAGTGAACAAGTAGGAGAAGAGAAAACAAGTTGTTCCACCCCCGTTGACGCAATTACGAGCAAAAGAGAGAAAAATTTGATGCCTAATTCAGCAAACTCTTTAAAAGATGAATTGGAGGCGGCGCTTGCAAGTCCGATCTCATGTGAGGATAAAAGCGTAATAAAGGAAACCAAAGATGATGAACCAAGTGGAAACTTGTAAAACCTGAAACTATCCTTTTCTTTTATTTTCTTCTTTCACTTGTTCACTACCTTTACTTTATTCACTTTACTCACTTAATCTACTCATTCAACACCGAGACCAACACCACAATTACCACCACCTCCTTTTTTCTCCCTCTCTCTCTTTCTCTCCTTTTCTCTCTTCCTCCCACTTTGCTTTTCTCTTTTTCTTCCATATTCATCCAATCTTCTATTCACTCTCCTTCTCCCCTTCTCTCTCACTCTCACTCTCACTCTTTTATTTCTTACTAGAGATTCTTATTCCTATTCCAATGCAATTTTGTTTCTCGTCTCCCCTTAGCCTATTTTTTCTTCAATTACAATCACATCTCTAAAAACGATGGTGAAAAAAGTTAAGGTAACAAACAAAATTAGGCAGCACTAATTTCAAGGCCTTTGTATTTGCTTTTCAATGACTTTGTGAATGTTTGTTTGCATGTTGAATGGTTTATTTGAGTATTAAAAAAACTTAATAATGATGCAAACACAAGATGGATTTATAATATTAATAAGCAAATGATAATAAAACATATTAATGAATTTGATTATAAATGTAAAAAGAACTTTATCTCAATTTATTTCTCTCCTTTTCTCCCTCCATTTCTCTCTCTCTCTCTCTCTTTCTCTCTTCCTATTCATCGTCAGTATCAGACTTTGAATCTCCTCGAATGTATTGATATATTCCTAATTTCTTTAATAATTTTTTCTCTTCATGTTTCTCGTCATTAAATTTCTTCTCCTAAAAGAAAATTGAAAAAAAAAGAATAACAAATGAAACTTTAGTTACTTTGTAATCCATAAAATTAAAGCTTCTTATTACACTATCGGTAATTCAGAAAAAGTAATTCATATCAGCCATTACATTACATTGATCGGCATTAAATCAACATGATAAGTTTGATTGTTACAAACGAAAAGTTAAAAATTAGAGATGAGATTGAAAATTGGCATCAGTAGATTGGGATCAAAGAAAAGTTCAATAAATTGATCAATAGCAAGTAAGAAATGAAATCAAACTGCTGCTCAAATCGTGAAACTTATTGAGATGTAGCAATTACCAGGTAAGGTTAATCATTTATTTGATTACAATTTATCATGAACGATAAAACTTTCCAAGTTTAATCGTTCAACACAATGTAATGATTTATTATTTCCTAATACAGGACAAGTGCTGCAAACCTCGTGAAGTAAATTGTGCCAAACAATATAGAGAATAGAATCTAAATTACAGTAAACAATTCGTCAAATCAGATTAATAGTTTAATCACCCAAAGTTGATCAACAAATTTATCCAAAGGAAACAAAACTGGTTCAAGTTATTACGATAGTTTCAGTTTCGAGATTTCGAGCAACAATAGCAATTTTCCTTCAACTTTTCAATTAGCATCTCAACTCAAAATTAGCAGTAATAACTTAGTGTTTAATTTTAAATTTACAGGTAAAGTTAATCAAATTAAATTCTCGAACTATCAAAAGTTAGAACATCTACTTTGGTGCCATCTACCGTAATGGTTAAATACTTTTCCCTTTAAAGTTTCGTGAGAACATCGAAAGCGCCATCTAGGGTCAGCTGGAAGAACTAAAAAGAAAACAAAACTGAAAAGAAATCAAATTTTTCTGATCAATAAGATTCATCAGTTTGTATTGTCACTTGTTTTAATTGAATTGTAAATGTCAAGTGTTAATTTAATTGTATCTTTTTAACCTTAATTGTAACTGGTCTTGGATGCGAATTTGAATTGATTCTTATTTAAATTGTAATTATTTCGGTTGTTCAATGTTTGCGCTTAGAATTATTTCAATTTCTGGCGCCTGAGCATCTTTTTCTTTTATCTTCCTCTTCTTCTTCTTCTTTCTCTTCTTTCTCTTCTTTCTTTGTTTCTGGTTTATCTTCCTCTCTCTCTTTTTCTCTTTTTCTCTTTCTTTCTCAATCATCTTCTTTCTTTTTTCATCTCCCCTTCTCTTAATCTCTTTCTCTTTTTTAAAGAGAGACTCTTTCTTTTCCTCTCTTACTGAGTCTCTTTCACCCCCGTGTATTGATTTGATTCTCTTCTCTTTTACTTCTTCTTGTCAAACATTTTCTTTTTAATTTAATTGTGTTCACCCGAGATTATTTTCTCAGTCTTCAATTCGGATGGATCAGAACGGCCAGAAAATTAAGAATGTGCCTTGCCAACAATGTGGTAAATTGTTTGTCTCTGCGGAAAGGGCTAAGATCCATATGAGAAAAGTCCATGGTCCAAAGACCAGTGCATGTGAAATATGTGGAACTGCTTTTTCTGATCGATGTAAACTGGTTGGCCATATGAGGACCCATACAGGTAACAGAATCCATTTTCTTTGTGAATTCCAACAACCAAATTAAACAACAGTTGATCAAATTACAAGAAAAATTCTTCAAAAAGAATTCAAAGTCGCTCTCTTTCTCTTTTCGTTTAAAATTCTATTCTCTTTTTCGAATAATCTAAAACACACCAAGTTGATACATTCGATGTTCTTTTCTCTTTTAATTTTCTTCTCTCTTTTCTCTTTCTTTCTTTCTTTCTTTAATTTAAATTTCTTTTTACTTTGTCTTTGTTTTTTCTTCTCTTTTCTCTAAATTTCCTTTACTATCCAACTATTTGTTTCTTTTTCATCTGTAACTTAATTGAAATTCGTAGTTTTTATTAGAAATTAAGTAACTGCTGCTCATCCTTTACCTCTTCTTGTCATTCCCTTTTTGTATATAGTGTATGTTCAATGTTCAGTTTACTATATGCTAACTCACTGCCTTCCTTGGTTTTGCCTTCTCTTGCCATGTTCAGTTCTAATGCTTCTCTGATTCTCTCCCCTTAGGTGACAAGCCGTTTACCTGTGATACATGTGGTCGAGCTTTTTCTCAAGGATATCATTTACGTCGTCATCAAATGATCCATACCGGAGAAAGACCATTCGCTTGTGAAATTTGTAACAGAGCTTTCTATCGAAAAGATAAATTAAGTAAGTTTATCTGTTGGTTATCATGGAAAAAAAATTGGGCGAAATAATTATATAGAAATTCATATGAAGCATAAAATTCTCTACCTTTAATTTTTTCCTTCTCTTGTTTTTTTTTCTCTCTTCTTTCATTGTCTTTTTTGTTATTGTTTTTTAATCAATCATTTATTTTTCTTCGAAACTTTGTTCATTCAGGTCGCCATCGTCGTGTTCATATGAATCCTGCTGCTAAAGCGAATGCTAATAACGCTAAGCAAGCAACTAGCACTGTTGCCACTGTGAATAATCCACTTCTCAACAATCGATTACCACAAACTGTTGGCCAAACACAAATTCACGCCAATCTTTCCACTTTTGCGCCAACTACCAATCACATTCAGGTTCGTTTATTTTTCATCTTAATCAAGATCGAACCTGGAAAATTACCTTTTATCAAAGTCAATTATTTTTCGATAATCTTTGATAGAGGAAAAACATTATCATAATTTTCGATCAATTTTTTTTTTCATTTCTTTTTGGTCATTTGTCCACTTATTCTCTCTTCGTTTCTCACTTATTTAGACACAGATCTTCCCAGTTTCGATAGACGCTCATGTGGCAGCTCGACTTCAGAGCCAACAAGCTTTACTCTCAATGATCAGCAAACAACAACAACAGCAACAGCAACAGCAGCAGCAACAACAACCCAGGGCAATCTCTGGAACATCAACAATGACTAATTGATCTCAAAAGAGTCTCATAAATTGGAATTAATCTCTCTCATTCCTGAATCGTATATCTAGAGGATTGATGATAAATTTCACTCTTCGAATCTTGATACTTCTCATCCAATCTCATTTTTTTTCGCTCTCACTTCTCTCACACTCTTCTAATTAATTTTTCTCTTTAAATCTCACTTCTTCCTCTAATCGACAAGAATTTTTTGCTTTAAAGAAAAGTACATAATCCACCGAATTTTTTTTTTCGTATATATATGTGACAATTTTGATTTTTTTGTTCGTTTTGACATTTTTTGTTTCTACCCTCAACTACCTTTGCTATATACACATCAATACACCACCAACTTAAACACACACACACAAAAAACACCACATACACATAAAAGCATTACAAGCATTACCTCATCAACTTTAATTGCTAATTAATCACATCATGAAATACAACTCCTGCTTTGAAATGATAAAATGCTTTGACAAATCCATGTTTACAATTAAGAAAATAATTATTACAGTAAAATGTACCCAATAACTAATTTGAACGAAAAGGATAAATTTTCGCATCTCAATACAATCAAATTAATAATTAAATGTCTTGATTCACCGTTGATACGAAAGCGCAAACAATTAACCCCCCAATCATTTGAGATGATTTTTTTATTGTCACCAATTTAAGTCAATATAAAATGAGTCGTTTTAATAAATTAGATAATATTGAAAATGTATCGATTTAAATCAATGTTACTTTAATTGGCTTAGAGTTACACTGAAATTGGTTGATTGTAGTGAGTTAATTGTCTTAATGTGTGAGGTTTGAGAGAGAAAGAGAGAAAAGAGAGAGGGAGAGAGAGATGGAGAGGAGAGAGAGAGAGAGAAAGGAAGAGTTAGAAATAAAAAAGAAATGCAAAATAATCTAATTGTAATTTGCATCTGTTATTTGCATATGAGAGTAAAAAAGAGAAGATTAATTAGTTAATTGTGATCATAGTTTTTCGATACCAAAATCATATTCTTCAGCAATTCTCCAAATAGAATTATTATCACATTTTCTAAGCACAATTCCGTATAGATTTTCTCCATTTGTCTTTGCTCCATGTTCATTGCACGTTTCATTCCAAGAGATACAACAATGATCGAATCCATTAACTATAATCGAGGTGAAAGGTACTTCTTTAGGGTCATTGGTTTCGACTAATTTGGCCAACTCTTTGATTAAGGTTTGAACGTCATTGGGTGAGAAAAATCCACTCATTTGAATGCATAGTAATTGTTTAAGTAAACTAGTATCACTTTCATTTAGATAGAATGAAGTTACTTCGGGGTCAACTAGACTTGCGGTCATTTCTACTCCAGAAAAAATACTTCCAATCCAATCGATTGTGTCCAAAAATGGGCAATCAGCTGGATCTTGTTTCTCAATTTTAGTTGATTGTTTACTTGTTGTTGATTTTTTCTCCTCCATATTGATATCTTCTTGTTCAACAGCATCTTCGCCAACAGCTCGGTGTTCATCTGGCAAACATTCATCTCCAATCAGATCTTTTGGAGCTTGTAAATTTGATCGGTCGAAAATTTTGATTGAAGGATGACAAAGATGAAGATGAATTTGGCTCACTTCCAATTGACACAAAAGATAACCACCTCGATGTCCAGGAGTACATTTTAAATGTTCAAAAAATTTGAGTAATGAAGCTGGAGAAGGATTTTTTGTTAGTGCTGGATTAGGTTCCCATTTCATGATAAGGTCAAACTTTAAATTACTATTTCGAAGCTTTCGAAAAGTTGATTGATAAACACGTTTTTCCACCTCAATATCTTGTCCATAAGATAGTTTGATGTTGATGATGTACTTTTGCTTTACTTTCTTATTTCTGACCATAATTGATTTTGTACCCGTAAGACCAAGACGTCGATATGTTTGCTCAGTGACTGAAAGGGTGAGCGTTTTGGATGAAAGGGCAACACAATCATCCAAATGAACTTGAGTATCAATTGACATTGCATAAAGTGATCCTTTTTTAACATAATATTCAATAAGAACAGGATGAATTAGAAGATGAAGAGGAATTGATTTAACTATAAAATAATTGTAAGGATCATCTTTAGTTCCTACACCAAATCCAGAGAAAATTTTACCCAATGTTGGATAAAGTCTGGATTCCATTCTGGGTCCAACTCTTTCAGATGGATCTTTTGGCTTTGATGGATTGTTGGGAATCATTATTTGTATTGTTTGGTTGAATGGATGATTCATTATAGTTTTGTTGAGATTTGAATAATCCATCAGGTTAGCAAGAGGAACTGATGTATCAATCAGCAAGGAAGATTTAACGGAAGGAAATTTAGGCCACGACATTGAAGCTTCTTCGAAAACACAGTGAAGAGAAAAAAAACACTCAAATAAAAAGCGAAGATGAATCTCAATAAATAAACACAGAGAATCAGAGAGAGAAAAAATTATCACTCTTCTAGGAGTGACTCCAAGCGGGAGGGGTTCGTTATGACCCTGGCGCTAATTTTAATCAAAAGAGGCACGTAATCTTTGATTATTTCAATGATTTCTTCGTCGAGTTCCTCAGGTATTACAAGTTGTAGCTCAAGGTTTCCACGGTCGATGATTAAAAACTCATTTATCTCCCAGTCCATTATTATCTCCTTGATTTTTTCCATTACATATCTATTATCCGTATCTCCGGTAAATATAACATAGGGATGGAAACCAAGTATATTGCAGTATGTGTTGTCGTTGATACTTTCAATCATTAACTTATCAATCTGGTTTAGTCTCATCATTTCTAATTTCATAGCCATGATAATTAGATTTTCATCACTAATTGTTTTTAACCATATATTATATGGTGGTAAGGGTAGGTTGCTTTTTTCACAGAATAGGTAGAAAATTTTGTTGATATTTTTAAGTTGGAGAATCAATTTTTCATTTTGATAATTCATTTTTGAGTTTGAAAAGCTTAAAAGTTTTGATTTCAAAGTTTCTTTCGAAATTCCAATTGGTAATGAATTTCTTCATTAGAGGGCATGAGCTGTAGTGTTGGTTGCTCATTGGTTCTTTACATCGGTGGTACTTGTAGTTTTTAGTCGCCAATTTAAGTTTTGTAATATTTTCAATAAACAAGGATGGATATTTGATATCTTTTTTTAAGAAATATTTATTTTCGTTCGGGAACCATTCAGTTAAATAGCTTGGAGCATATTGTTTGTATAGCTGTGACTGTAATTTGTTTATTTTATTTTTAATTATGTTTCGTAGCATTGGTTTTGTAATCGAATTACTGTTGATTTGATTAATTTTTAATTTGTCTAAACATTTACTTTGGTTTGTTACATTATCTAACTTAATGTATATTTTGTTTTTATTTGCTATATGATTAATATAGCTTTCAATGGACTGTGCATAACTTTTGTTGAAGGTTATATAAAGGTCATTCTTTTGATTAGCTAGTTCTTCTATTATTTGAATGATACTAATTGTTCCTTGTTTATTTTCGTAGTGGTCATGTTTATTAATATTTGGATACTTGTTGGCTTTAACACATATCTCTGTTTTATCCGTAATTATATTTATATAAACAAGATCATTAACTTGTTTTACTACTAAGTTTCTATTTTTTGTATAAATATGGTTAATAGGTTTTATCCAATTAATGATTGGAAAATCTTTTTCATCATTCTCATTGTTTAAAAGGCTCGTTAGGATCTCACAGAGATAATTAATAATAGGATTAATTAAGTTTAGATTATGGGCAAACCAGAAAGAAATTGCTCTCCGATGGTGTATTGACGTAAAAATGATCTTAAGGCCTGTGATGGTTAGTAATTTGATTCTGTATTCATATAGTTTGTTTAGTCTAAAGGGTGATAGTCCAAACTGATGGAGATGAGAAGAGAAATAAGCATCAATTATGATTTTGCTATTTTTAAGGTCGAGATTTGTTATATAGTTTCTGACTTCCGGAATTATGTATTTGTTTTTAATACTGTTAAGAGTAAACAGATTTTTAAATCCAAGATATTCAACGGATTTTATTTTATCATTATTCTTTAGAATTTTTGTTTTATTGGGATTTATTTTTAAATTGATATTTTTAAGTTTTTCTTGGAGTTTTTCAAGGACTATTTCTATTTTTTCATTTGTTAGTATGAAAATATCATCAGCATAAGTTAGCACTAAGGTCGAAATATTATTCATTTGTCTGATTGTGTCATCAATCCCTATGTTGAATAATAGAGGTGATATTGATGTCCCTTGAATAATTGCTTCTCCGTCTTTTTCTATTTTGAAGTTATCATAATCCCTCGTTCTTATTTTTCTGTTCTCAAAAAACTCAAAAGTCATTTCCAACGTTTGTTGATCAATTTTCTTACTAAGTTTTTGGAGTATGATTTTTTTATCAATTTCATCGAAAGCTTTGTTTATATCTACTGTAAAAACGATTTTGTAATTTTTATAATTTTCTTCGATTGTTGCTAAGAGGTCAAATCTTGATTTGTTTTTCATAAAAGCGAAATGATAGTGATTATCTATGATATTTTCTAAGTTATTTGTTATTCTATTGAAGATAATTTCATCTATTAGTTTAGTTAAGTATGATTGACATCTGATCATTCTGAAGCTCCCGTTGGATTTGGGAATAAGAGTACCACCACTAATCTTGAGTAGTTCTGGTATGTGTGCGCATTTGAAAATGTCATCAATTAGTTTGATTATTGTTCTTATATTCATATTTTTGAAATCATTCCATTTGTAATAGTTGTAGGGGTCAGCTAAACCTGAACTTTGAGTTGCTCTATGTTTTTTAATTAAGTTTTTCTCTTCTTCATTAATACCTTCCTTGTATTTGAAGGAGTAAGGTGCTTGTTTTATATTGAAGGTATGTATGTTGAGAGGAGTTGGTGGTATCATGTTTTCTAGATCGTTTTGATTTTTGATTTGATCAATATTCTTCCAATGATTAATAATATGCTCATTATGATTATTAGTTTCCATAAGGAAAGATTTGCCCTGAAATCTAGTTCTAATGGGGAGACATAATATTTTCTGAGTGGTAATATTTATTTCTTCGTAATCTACTTTTTTGTTCTTGAAGTTATAATGATTAATTTTAATTTGGTTCATTGGTAGATTTTCAAGGCAACAGTTGATGATCCGATGATCACTTAAATTGGTATCAATTAGTTTAGATTTCGTTCTACACTCGAAGTTGATTAGAATAAGATCAATGACTGTTTTAGTACCTGTTCTTTTATCTTCTCTTGTAAAGTTTGTATGTCTGTCTTTTGAATTTACTGACTTAAAATTAAACTTATTAAGTTTAGAAAAAATTTTTTCCGCCATGATTTTACTACTAATAATTCTTGGATTATCACACCAAATCTTTGTTTCATAGTTTACATCCCCAGCTATGATTATGTGATAATTTCCTATTTTGTTTAAGATTTCGAATATTCTATCCCAGAAAATTTCATTCTTAGTCTTTATATTGTAAACAGCAATGATGAAGAAATGATAGTGATATAATCTGGCCAAGCAAACAATTATGTTTTCAAAATTAAAATTAATACTTATCTTCTTTATTTTAGTGGGCAGTCCTAGAGCTATTTTGTTGTTTTTATAAACGTTGGTGATAAAGTTCATCTTGTTGGTTATTTCACTCATCACTAGTATAAAATCATTTTTAGTTTGAAACTTGTTGACGTAGTGTTCATAAGTTTTGTTTTTCCTTTGTAAGTTAATTACTTTGATAAACATTTTATAAGATCAGTTATTTATGGCAAAGAGAAAAAGTGATGTCGACCTTTTTGAAGGAGAGACTTGTCGTGATTTGGAAGCTTCTCTTTTTGTGATCGAAAAGTTTATGGTTGATTACGAGGGAGTCAATCTGGTGAGGGAGATGGTCAAGTGTTATGGTAATCAGGACATTTCTGAAATGGTTGCTCTTTTACGTGATTTCTTGGAGAATGATGAGTTGAATTTGTTGGATGATGCAAAGAGGAAGTTGATCATCAATTTTATATCTCTACATGATCATTATTCAGCAGTTGATGTTCCTGAAGCTGAGGTCGAGATTTCTATTGATTCAGTGGGGACCATTGACGTAAGTGAAAAGAGATCGAAAAGGGATTTTGAAAGTAAAATTTTTCTACGATATAATACACCAGTTTCGAGAGATAATTGGTTGAATGTTGAAGATGTTCCAATTAGGCCTGTTCTTTTATTATTCGCTCTAAATGAGAGTATTGTCGGACCTGATTTAAACAATAAATTTCGATCGTATTTGGAATGTCATCCTGATATTGTTCCTTATTTGGATGAGATCAAGATGGGGAAATTTTGTTTAAAGATTCATGTCGAAAAGGATGCTGATCGTTATGTTTTGAAGGAAAAATTTCTTTCACATGAAGATTTTACTCGTACTTTTACACTGAAATTTCCGGCTTTGAGTGATCCATTAATCAGGTTGTCAAACTGTCGTGTTGATCTTAATGAAGATGAAGAAAAAATTAAAGATTTTGTAAAAAATTTATTTCTTTGGAATCGTTGGAGCGACAATCTTCGTGTCGTTTGGAAAGCAAATCTATTGTCAAGAGGATCTTATTGTGACATTTTATTACAAGTTGAGTCCCGAATAAGAGTGTTGATTGAAGAAAGTGGTGGTTTTGTAAAAACTCCAAGTGGTAAGGTGGCCGTGACTGATTACTTTCCAATTCTGATGTGCCAAAATTGTTGTAGGTACGGACATAAGAGAGGGAATTGTTTCCGTTTGTCTTTATGTGGTTACTGTTGTGCAGGACATTTGTCAAAGGATTGCCGTTTACGACTAAAATTGGATCAACAAAAATGTCCAAATTGTAATAAAGAGGGTGAGAACGCTTTTGATCGCAAGTGTTCATCTTATCAGAAACTTTTAGGTGCTGAACTTGAAAGAGTTAACCATCGATACCGTTTTATAATTTTCTAATTATCTGTATGAAGATGACTATTTTGATGCTTTTTTCCCTTTAGGGTTTTTTTAACGCAAATTTTAGATTCATCTTTCCCGCTTTTAAGTCAGTCATTGAATTGTAGTCATGACAACTAATTTTTCCTGTAGAAAACACAAAGAGAAATAAAGAAAATATTTTTATTTTGAAGTGAATTGTTTTATTTTATTTAATTTGTGAATTTTAAAAATAGAGACAAGAAATGGGTAAGTAGTAATTTGTTGATTATCCTTGAAACTTTTGTAAAGTGTAAAGGAAAAAATTATTGACATGCGTTTTTTAAAACAAATCTCCCTTTTCTAGATGTCTTTTTGGAGCAAATGGCAAAGGGTTTGACGTTGGGTAATGATGATTTAATTTATTCATACGATAAGCAGATGGATTTACTTTTGAGATTCCAGGCTTATTCTGGTCCGTTGACTGAGGAGCAACAGAGATTAAAAGAGCTATTTTGTTATCGATTAGACGATGTGGTTCCTGAGATGTTTCCTTTAATTAGAAGACCTATGGTAATGAAGGTTGATTGTACCCGATATTGGAGTTTATTGGTAAAATCGAAGATGAGAAAGGCTAATCGAAATGATTATCTTAACCTAAGAGAATTGCTACCCGAGTTAAAAGGCAGAGGATATTCAGTAGATCAAGGTGTTTCTTGTCTAAAGATTCGTTTCGGTACTCAACAGGAGAGGTGGTCAGAGTGTCAAAAATTGGTTTCTCAATTTCCTCAATTTGATTGGTATATTCCGAAACTTGTAAATCCAGTGATAAAATTATTGGTTCCGAGATGTAATGGTGTAAACAATTATGTAAAGAAAGGTGATCTACTTTCTAGATTGGCGAAAGAGAATCCGTGGTTTGATGCAGATCAAGTTAAAGTGGATTTTTATATTTTTAAGGCTCGTAATGATGTTCTCTTGTTGAGTATGACTCCTGAGATGTATAGTTTTGTGGCGAAGATGACAGATCGTTCTATGATGTTGGATGGTAAAAGATATTATATTTATGATAATTTAAATGTAAAGTTCTGCATTAATTGTAGTCAGTACGGTCATTTGGAGAAGAGTTGTAATAACGAGTTGAGATGCTATAAGTGTAGCGAAAATCATTCTTCTTTGAGTTGTACATCTATTAATTTACTTTGTCCTTCTTGTGGGAATCAAGGTCATTCTGGATTGGATCATTCCTGTAAGGTTTTTACTTCAAGAGTAAATTTGGCACTTGAAAGAATCAATTTCAATTATGATAAACTTGTTCTAGAACCTGCTTGTGAATCCTGTTGACAAAACGCGCCAATGAAAATTCAAAAGTTATTTACTAAGGGGACCATAAGGTGGAGCTTTAACATGAGTCAGAAGGTAATTTTCTTGTTCCGGTTGACATTTTGTTTTTCTTATAAAAAGGTTCATTTTCTAAAAAAATTAAATAAAGTATAAAATGGATTCTAATACTTTCCTTGTTTATTATTATACTGAGTTAAGTTTCAATACTGATTTTGAGTATTTTGCTTTAATGTTATGTTCTTCTAATGGTCAACCTCCTTCAGCTATAAAAAAATATGATTTTATTAAACAAAAGGACAAGATCAAAGTAGATTTGGTGATAAGTGAAAAATTCAGAAGAGTTCTGTCTGAGAATTGTATGTATTTATGCTACAAAAATAAAATTCATCCAGTTTTCGACGCTCCTTACTTCATTCAAGATAGTGATTGGACTTGTTCTCTGACACTGCCCCAAGGTCCAAAAGGAATATATGCTTCTTTAAAGTTAATCTACTTGGAGATTTTCATTGAATTGGATGAAGATGAGTGCGAGATTTATCCTAATGGCACACGGAGAATAAGCTTGAAGTGGTAGAAAATCGGAAGTGTTGGTCTAAAGTGTCTCCATCTATGATCGATTTATTAAGTGTGGAGACTCTTCTTCCGTTTAGTTTCTTTCAACCGTTTATTTGAAATTGTTTTCTTTTGTCTCATTTTGGATTTGTTTTTGTTTTTGGTCTTTTTGAAAATTTCAATCTTTTATTTTATTTTCTTTTGATTTTGACTATTTTATCTATTTTATTCAATTTCAAAGATGTCAATTCATAATTATTCTATAAAAGTGAATTTTGGATGTTTCTACCCTTATCGTTACTGGAAGTTGATCCCAAATCCTGATTTTTCTTTGGTCGAATTGGAGAGTGAATTTGATCGTATGGGTGAATATTTTGTCAATCGTGATTTGATTAAATTATACCCTGATGACACTTTTGGCATAAATTTGTTTTCTTCTAATGCGACAAATTTTATTGAGAAATTGAAAGAGGAGGAATTCGTTATGGACATTGTACCTATATCTTATTTGGAAAATGAAATTTGTTTCTTTAAACCAGTCGGTGTACGTTCAATCGATTTAATGTTGGCACATATGACAGGTTCTATTGGGCTTTCAAGTGACAGTTTTGTGTTCAAGGAGATAGTAAATAACTCAATTGGAGAGATGGTTGTCGTTAAATGCAATTTGGGTGTTTACAAATTGCTTCATCAAGCAGGTAAGTTTTGTCTTAAAAAATATGTTTTATATTAAAAACTTAAACATATTTGTTTCGACTTTTAGGAATGGTTTTAACATTTAATGGGAAGCCCGTTTATTGTTTTGATAACACTGGTATCTTACAGTGTCCGTTTTGTAAACAATATTACGTTGGTAATCACGAATGTAACTTGGACATCATATGTCGTCATTGTGCAAGAGTTTTCCATACACTTGAGTGTCGGAGGCGTCGGAGATGTTGTCAATGTGGTGAGGTCCATCTTCGTGCAAGTTTTTGTAATAGACTTTTAGAGATGGTAAGGGAAGGGTCTTCCCCATTTCTCGTTGATTTAACTAGTATCTATGTACACAATTCTGATGTATAATAATTTCACGTTCAAGTAAAATTTGATTTTGAAGATTCGATTTCTTTTTTAATTTAATTTATTTGTCTGTTAAAAGGAAAATGTCTGTACATTTAATTTATCTTTTTTCTTTTACATTTTTCTTAAGATATTGAGAATTATTTTAATAGATTCACTTCCGAATCAATAGTTCTCTTTCCTCAATGATTAGTGCATATTCATGGTTATCATTTAAGTGGTTAAGATCAATTGTTTTGAAGTTGGGAATTGCTTGTATCGTGAAGTCATTGTCAAGTAGTTGAACCAAAAAATCAAAATTACGGTGAATATTGTGTTTGTTAATTCGTATTATCACTTCGCACTTGTTTCCATCTACATGAATCCAGGAATCACCTTTGTCCTCCATTGGCAAGTTTAACAAGTCACCTTCGAATATGATGAAAATTTCACTATTTATAATGTTTAGTAACAACCTAGGGTGGATAAACAAAACCATTATGAAAATTTAAAATTCAACCAGTCCAAACGAGAGAGAAACTCAGAGTGAAAACAGGAATCAAGAAAGGAAAAAAAAAAGAAGAAAAAAGGAAAGGAAGAGAAACCAGAAACAAAGAATAGAAAGAGAAGAGAGAGAAAAGAGAGAGAGAGGGAGAGAAGAGAAGGAAGAAAAAGATGCTCAGGCGCCAGAAATTGAAATAATTCTAAACGCAAACATTAATCAACCCAAGTGTTAACAGAAGAATAAGAAATAATTAAAATCTGACAATAAAAGTAAAAAGAAACAATTAAATTACTAGAAATTAACAATTCGATCCAAGAAAAACAAAGTGACAACTCAAACTGGTGAATAATTAAAAAAAAGAATTTCCAATTTTGTTGTTCCATCGAACACCAGATGTCGTTCGATGTTCTTTTTGACACTTTTTTGGAAAATTTTTTGTCTTTGTTTCTAATATTTGTGAAAATGTTTTTGCTTGAAAGGGATTTTATTTAATCTTTGTTTTATATAATTGTTTGTTTATTTTTCTATTTAGTGATATTATTTGATGAACATGATGCCAAATCAACAGGGTCCACAACAAGGACCACAATCAACTCAATTGAAAGTGACTGTCCAACAACAGCAACAACAAATTCATCAACAACTTCAACAGCAGCAGCAACAACAACAACAACAACAACAGTTAGTTCAACATCAGCAACAATTACAACAACCAGGGTCCCAATCATCTCAACAACAGTCACAATCTCAACAGCCTACACAACCATCACAAGCTATTTATTTACCTCAATCGGTTGGTCCATTGATACCTCAACAGATTATGATTCAACCAAATACTCATCCTTTTACTGCGATGCCAAATAGTGGGAATCTCATTCAAATGGCACAATTTGGCAAAAAGCCTGTCATTTTACCCAATGATATTAAAGGACCAAGAAGTAAAATGCAGCTAATTTCATCAGGAGGTCCTCATCTTCAATCAATTAACAATTTTGTCACTGGTCAATCGCCTCAAACTATTGGTAATCAATATTATACATTGCAAACCTTTCCAAGTCCAGGAGGACCAGTTCAACAAGTAAACTCTGCCACTTTATTATCTCCAAATAATCAACACCAATACTTACTTCAAAGATCATCAGACCTTCAATTTATTGCTGTTTCAAATAACGCTTTTCCAAATCAGCAAATTGTAATGAATGGTGTTCCAATCTCAGTGGGTAACAATGCTACTCCAGTCATCTCATTAGCATCCAATCACGCTCGCACTGCCACAAAAACGACTTCATCAGGTCCAAACACTGGCCAACCATGTTTGATTGCTCCAGCCACCAATATAACAGCTCAAAATACTATACAAAGACTGAAAGCCATTAAACCAGCAACAGAAAACAATCGAACCTCGATAGGAACCCAAACAGCTCCAGGACAATCAATTGTACAAGGATCATCAACACCGGTCGCTATACCAATCCACCTACCACAGCAACAATTTCAACTTCAATTAGCACCTCAACCACATCCAGCGAAAAAATCTTCAAAAAACAATTTTGATACAATGACAACAGTTACTCTTGTCTCACAGCGTAACAATACCATCACTGGTAATACCAACAACAACAACATCAACATCAACAATAACAACAACAACAACACTCCAATCAACAATGTCACTCCCAATAATATGATCAACAAATCAACAACTAAAAGTAATAAATTAACTACTACAAATGCTCCATTGAAAGAGAAAGTAATTCAATCTCCTAAAAAGAAAGCGACTACAACAGGTACTGATACTGGTGATTTAGTTGATCATTGTTCAGAGAGCAACAATTTAACCAATGGAGTTAATAAATCAACTGGTTCCAAAAGTCCTCAAAGAGCAATCGTTAAACCTTATATTAATGATCCAAATGTTTTAACTCATGTAATTGATGGATTTGTTATCCAGGAAAGTCCATCGCCATTTGTAGTTAATGCTGATGGATTAGAAGTTGGTTCAGACGAAACAATAATTGATTCTATTGATGAGAGAGAAAATAAGGAAGATACGATTATGTTGGATACTTCGGATAATAATAATTTGTCAACAGAAACTCAGACTATTAAAACTAAACCTAAAGGTGAATCTACTTGTGAAACTTGCAAGAAAACTATAAGCAAGTTTAATAAGAAAAAGAAATTGAAACGTTTTTGTTCAAACGTTTGTGCCAAGAAATCAAATAACAATTTGCACAATAATTCAAATAATATCAATAATCGAGGTGATGAAATCAATGGTGATATAATAACTGAATCAACCAAACAATCAAGTCAACCGGCATCTAAGAAGGTAAAACAATTAATCTTTTATTTAAATTTTATTTTAATTTTGTGATCAACTTTATTAATTATCTTTTTTTTTGTCTCAATTTCCTTTATACTAATTAGCTTAAAACCGATGTGTCACCAAATTGTAAAGTCACCGAAACAACTGAACCACTTGATTCAAGTATCGATGGTGGTTATATCCCCCCAGGCGGTACCAATCCTAATCTATGGAGTGTAAGTATTTCAATTGATTATTAATTAGAATGGAAATTAACTAATTGTCTTCTTTCGTTTTCGTCTTCGTCTTAATCTTCATCTTCATCTTCTCAGGTCCAAGATGTTTATGATTTCGTCCGTCATTTACCTGGATGCCAAGAATATGCAGATGAATTTAAATCACAGGAGATCGATGGTCAAGCGCTAATGTTATTGAAAGAAGACCATCTAATGTCCGCAATGAGCATGAAACTTGGACCCGCTTTGAAAATCTGCTCGAGAATAACATCGCTGTTCAAAGCGGAGGCCAATAAATCTCAAGCTTGAATCTTTTTTCCCTCTTCTTTTTTATACTTTTATTTTAGTGAATTTCTTACTTATCTGATTGAGAAGAAATTTAATCAATTTTTTCTCTTCTCTCTAATTCCAGTTCTCTCTCTCTCTCTCTCTCTCTCTCTTCTTTCTTTCTTTCTTTCTTTCTTTCTTTCTTTCTTTCTTTCTAAGTATCAATTGAGTTCCCGTCATCTTATCCCCAATATAATTTATTGACCATCGATTCCAATCCCTTATATAACTATGGTTACAATAATCAGCTCTGTTAGTTTCAACAATATGATTTAGATAATTTTTCTCGTCCATAAAATTCAATAATCATCGATACATTAATCATCCTCATCTCTATGACCCAAGTCACCCCTGAATTGCATGAAAATTGCTCAATGTACAACAATATCAACTTTTAATTGTACTATCATCCAAATATTATCATTATAATATAAATTAACTAAAAAAATGATAATTCACTTCTTTTAAATGATCTAATTTTGAATACTTAATCTATTCCATGATGATCATGATTCTTAAAAATAAAGTAACAATTTTCAATAGAAATTTAATTTCAAGTTATTATCATGTTGTAAGAGACAAAATTTACAAAATATTTAAAACATTTAATAAAAATGATCAAAATACAAGAAAAATTGAATTAAATTTGACCAGTGATTGAGTTTGATTAATAAAGAAAAGGGAAAGAGAGCAAATTTTGAGGAGAAAAACGATTTGAATCAATAGATTTCTTTTGGTTTTCTCAGAAAAAAAGTAAATACTGTTTCTATCCGTCAATTGTTCAAACAGTTGTTTCACGATTTAAATTCTGTAACAATGGATAACTACTAATTACTGGATTAACTATATCACAGGAAAGGTTTCCTCTTGAATTAATAACTTCTTCAGATGAATTGTGTCTCTTGTGTCCGATATTTTCTCGTTTCATTTCACTTATTGGATCGTTAATTGGTTGGAAAGCCAGACTTAAACGCTAAAATTGAATAGAAGAAAAAAAAGGAAGTGAGAATTTAGAATAAACTGAATCAGAGAGAAAAAAAAGGAAAGAGAATCAACATGATCAATTCGGCAAATTAATAGACAACCTTGAAGAATCCAGAGGAATCATTTTCTTTCCTTCTTAATTCATGACAAGCAAGTAACGGAATAGGAAGTAAAACAATCATTGCGATGAATGGACCCAAAAGATCAACAGTAAATGAATCTTTGATTCCTCGAAAATTGATCTCCTCAAAGTAATACAAGTTACACATTAAAATAATCTGTTAAACAAAGAGAAAGGGTAAAATTAATTGCTAAGATAATTAATCATATGGATGACAATTAATAATAACAAACCAATAAAGTACAAGGAGTAACAAACTTCCAACAAAATGAAAAATAAAATCCAGGAGCTTTATAAGTGATCAGTCTTATTGCATTAACCATGTTTCTTGCTCCTGAAAGAAAATAATAAGACAATTAAGATGATAATCAAATGATGAATCATAAACAGTTATAAAGAGTTGTAAATTAATTTACCATAGAAATTACTAACTACTAAGACTTCGAGTAAGGCCAAAATTGTTGATAGTATTACGGTTATGTAATGTTCAGTGACTCGGATGAAAACGATTCCTTTCTGTTGGATAAAGAGAAAAATAAATTTAAAATTGATTAGTTGATTGTCTGAACTGTTTAGTTTGATTGTGATTTACCTGAGTGAGAATATTAAACTTAAACAGAAGAAAACACATGGAACGCAAAAGACTACAAGTTGATGGGAGATTTTACTGGAAAACTGTGATCTCCAAATATCTTTGATACAATCAACTACTGTGGCCACGATTGCGATCTAAAAAAATGACAATTAGATTATAACAATTAGATGAAATCGAAAATCGAATTCATGTCGATTTTACCTGATAATCTATTCCAAGACAAAATATGAGGAAGAAAAAGAAACAAGACCACAAAGTTCTCATCGGCATTAGTGATAAAAGTTCAGATATAACTACGAAAGCTAAACCAGGTTCTGTGATTAAATGAGAATGGAACAATTAATCAAATTGTCTAGAGTAAATTGAATCGTAATTTACCTTTGGTTACCACTTGTGTTATATCCATTTGTCGTTTATAAGCTAAATGACCAATTGTTGAAAAATAGATTGACCCAATTGCATAAATGACTAGAAAGTTAATTGAACAGGTAAGAATTGCATCTCTCATTAGATTATTACGATTTCGATGATATTTTGCCATTCGCAAACTAAGACCAGTAATAGAACCTGAATAAAAAGAATAAACATCCAAATGGTTAAATTAATTAGTTTCACTGATTAAATTTCTAAAGTTTTGATATCTGTTACCCAAAGAGTGAATCGTAAATCCTGATGCATATAACCAAATCTAATCGATTGAAAAATATAAAATAAATAATTTGTCAAATGAGTTAATTGGAGCAATTGACAACTTACTTCTGGTTGACAAAGTCCCTCCCAAGTTGGTTTAAAAAAGTAAACTAAACCCTTTTGGGCTCCAGGTAAGAAGATCGCTTTAAAAAAGAGTATGGTGAATACTGTTGAGGGGACAATCGCCAAGCAGAATGTTGGATTGGACGAGAATACGACAGGTTTACGAAGAGAAATGAAGACAATTAACCAAATGAAAAAGAGACAAATAGCTAAATCCCAACGAATTCCACCAAGAAGAGAAACATTGTTATCAAAATGTAATAAACGATTACTAGGAAAAGAAGAAGAAGAAAACAATTAGTAAATCAGTTAGATCTTATTTATGATATTAGAAAAAAGAAACTTACTCAAAGAATTGTTGTGATGCATATTGTGATGAAATGATTGATGATGATGATGATGATGATAAATATGAGGATGGAGATGAAGATGATGGTGATACTGAAAAGGATAAACTAATTGTATGAACCATTGAAGATTCATTTGGACTTATGGTTGATGATTGAATGATTGTTGATGGTGATGTTTGATTAGTGGTATTGTTTATCATTGAGGATGAAAAATGATTTTCAGTAATTAAAGATGAGAATGAATTGTTCCTTGTGCTATTGATAATGTTAACTATTGGATTGGTTAAATGATTAACCATTGATTTGGTGATATTTTGTTGATAACTATTAACAGGTGATGATGTGATTAATTGATTGGGTCTATCATTAAGTTGACATGGTTCTGTGTTCCATTTGTTTGTGCACCTTGACCAGGGGGCAATTTGATGAAATGATTTGAAAAAATATAACATTGACCAGGTATTGATTGTGCTGTAAAGTGGTATTAAAATGCTTGTCGTTAAAGCTAAAGAGATGACGATTCCTGTAATGATTAAGAATTAATGAAAAAGAGAATTAAAATTTTTGTTATATTTTGTGTTCCAATTCAAGGCTCATTTCAATTCTTTCTCAGGAAAATGAAATGAAATTTGTCATGAAATATACACAAAAGGATGTATCATAATAACCATAATCATAATAAACAATTAAGTTATCACAACTTGTAAAGATCAATTCAACTTAATCGCAGGTTCACATCATCAAAGACCTTGGTTTCCAATTGATTGTAAAAAAGCAGCTTAAATTGCTTTGAAACAATTTGATAATTATGATTTCTTAAACATAATAATATCAACAATCTTGATATAACTATCAAAATGATTATATTAATGGTTTAGCGAATCTAAACAATTAGACAAGGAGATGATAAGTTTATGTTATATCAAAGGAAAATGAAATTGAAATATGAGTTGAATTTAAATTGTTTGCAGTACAAAAGACATTAATGGAGTTGTTAATATAATTGAATTAGTAAATTGTGGTGAAGAAAATTTTCTTTCAGTTTTCTTTCATGTTGATTGTTAATTATTATCATTATAATGGATCCTAACCTTTGGTTAAAGGGCAGAGATGAGCAAATACAATTAAATTACGATGGGTAAGTTGACCAATGGCATAATCCATACAAAGTAATGGTAGTCCAATGAATATCATTAAAAAAGTGTAAGCCATGAGAAAGGAACCTGTTAATTAAATCAAGATAATTGATATGAAATATAAGAATGATTAATATTAAAATAACATTAAAAAAACAATTTAGATAATATCAAAGAAGTGGTAAAGTTAAGGAAAAGTAGAATTAAATTATTGTTGTGATTTAGCAATTTGATTTGTGAGTATTTACTTAATTATCTACTTGATGATTTGCAAAAAAAATCACATTGATAATCGTAAATGACAAAACTGTATCTGGGAGATTGAGAAGACAAGTGTCTTGTCAATAAGGTGAAATTAGCTAATTGAAAGTTAAGAGAGTTTAGTTAATGACGACAAACCTCCGTCATTAATGTAAGCATAGTATGGAAATCGCCAGAATGTATTAATTGCCAGAGAAAATCCTAAAATACTAAGGAAAAAGTCTGATTTTGATGACCAGGCTGGTTGAAAATCGGTATCGGTGGCAATACATGAGCTTATATTATGCTCTTCATCTTCATCTTGATCTGATTCAAATATCACATTGTATTGATTAGCGGCTTCCACAAAATGAGGTAAAATACGTAACTGATTTAATTCAGGTAAAGATTTTGAGAGACGACGAGCTCCTTGAAATGGTAACAAATCTTCATCCTCTTCATTGGTCACTAATCCGGAAGCAAATGAGGCTTGAATATTTTTCCTATGACGACCAACATCTTGGTGTGTAAACGAATTTGATCTTATTATCGCACCGGAAGTTGAATTAAATGAACTCGCTAGGTAATCATAAACTGTTGACTTATTTTGATCATAATAAATAACGGAATCATCGACACTCCCAATTCTAACTGTAACTCTTTTGGGTAATAAATTGGAAACACTTTCTTTAACCTCAGTCAACGTATCTACACATCCAGAATCCTCGGTGGGTTCACATCTTGTTGTTGCCATGCTGGTTAACTTTACACTCACTTTTCGGGTTAAGTTTAAAAGTGATTTCCACTTAAATTATATCTATTTAAGAGTAATTAACACTTGACAATAAATTTCTCTTTAATTATAAATAAAACACTTAATTGGTTAATCTAAAGGGAGAAACTGGAGGGTAAAAACTAAAAGAATTAAAAAAGAACTTGAAAGTGTCTCCATCTATTGGAAAGAAGAACAAGTAACATGTGAATTGACCTGACTGAAAGTCGCTTATTTTGTGCTCCGTTAAAAAACTAATTTAATTATTAAAAAAGTGATTTATAAATTATAATTTTTGTGTTAAACTGTCAACCTCAAGACACTCGACAACAATCCACAAAAAATTGGCTCTAAAATGTCAATGGTTAGTGAAATTCATCGATCTTCTTCAGACCTACGCAAACTGAGTAAGTATCTGCTACACTATGGTGTATATTTAAACATTAACATTTAAAACCAAAGAAATTTAAAATCTTTTGATACTAAAATACTCTAATTTAAAATTGTTATCATTTAAAAACTTTATCATTTAAAACACTAACTTAAATCAATCAGAAGACAAAAAGGTACCAAAGAAGACAAAGTTCAACATCGTAAAATTATATGCTGAATTCAACCAGGACAAAAACCTCAACACCGAAACCATCAACACCGAACTCATAGCTTTCCCCATCATCAAGACTCTTCAAGATGCAATCAAAGACCAAAAGTTCTGCTCAACCTTAAGTGACGATGAAATTTTAAAACTGGTTAAATTTACCGATCGCCTTATAACGATTCAATTGAACGGTGATAAGAATGAAATGGAAGATGAAGAGCCAATCGAAGTTCAGAGTCTCTCAAATAACCAAATAAAAAATACACTTTCGGTTCAATTCGACACTAAACAAGGCCCTCCATCAACATGGTACAGCGTTGCACATCTAATTGTTCACCACACTATCATCGTTAAGATCCCAGGATTGAAAAATCAACTAGATAAAAAAATAGGTGAACTGACCACCGAACAAGTTGAAAATTTACTCGAAATGGCAGATGAAGAAATAGGCTCAGCGGAGGAGGTACAACCTGGTTTCGATTCGGCGAAAGTTAAATGCTCAAATATAGCCGACAGAACAAAAATATTCAACTACATCAGGAAAATGAAACCAGATTGGGATACCAAAATCCCACCGATACACGATCCTCAAATTAAACTCCTTGGTGTAAAATTCGATGAGGATGATAAAGTTCAATGGGTACAGAGACTATTTCTGAAAAATAGATGGAAGAAATGTTGGAAGGTAAACATAAAACATTACTATCGAAGTGGTAAATCGTTTGAAGTAATCATTGAGATCGACCCGGCGTTACGAGAATGGTTAGAACTACATGATGGGATGGTATCTGTCGGCTATCGTCGAGTACGTGCAGTCGATCACTTCGACATCAAACAATGTCGCCGCTGCACCAAATTTGGCCACTTATCGAATAGGTGCACTCAGTTAAGTATTTGTCCATTCTGCGGTGACAAGAGTCACATTCACGAACAATGTCCAATCAAGGAACACAGAAACAAATGGAGGTGTCCAAATTGCCAAAAAAGAGGAGAAAGCGCCTTCGATATTCAATGCGAAAAGTTTCAAGAAAAACTCTTATTCGAGTTAGAGAAAAGAAACTTCCAGTACAAGATGATAATGGCCTAAAGAAAGATATCAACAAAGAAAAATTACCAAAAGATAATCGTTAAAACTAATACACCAGTAATCTAAACAAACAAACTTAATCTCACCTTTCAACTAATTAAATCACAACTAACAATTACCAATTATCCTTCTTTTCATAACAATAATAACTCTCGCTAATTACTAATTATAATCATCCACATGATCATTAACATACAATTTAACTTTAATAATTAACACACTAACCATTAAGCGAATACTTGAACCCTGCAGACAACATCTAACAATTAAAACAAACATAATAACACTTAATTAACAATGAATAGCTAAATTAATCATCAGATTTCAACCCTTAATTAACTAACAACGAAAAGTTCACAAACAAACAAAACAATTTACAATTACCACTCCAATCAAAGAGGGTTACTCATGAAAACAGTTAAAACAAAAACAATTAATCATCTTTTCACTCGCTTAATTTAGAAACAAAAATCTTAATCATCAGCCAGTAGAAAACTTAGTCATGGACAAAGTACATCGAGAACTACAGTCGCTCCGATTAAACTGGATAAAAGTACCCCCCATGATCGACAAATCATTATCTTTCCAAGTTGAACCCGCCGGTGTCACGGATTACTCTTCGTTTATATCTTTCTTAATGTGTAATCTCTCCAATTCGTCGAAAAAAGTGCTTAAAATAAGACTACGAAAAAACGGAAGAGTCGAAATCATTCCAATCTCACTGGAGGTTAAAGATGAGATGATATCGACCATCAAGAGATTTTTCAGTGGTTCCATTTTCTACGATTTTGTTCCCTTGACATCGTCCGTTTACTTCAAAGTTAAGGGCTTAAGAGCAACTAATTTCAACATTGTGCTAAACAACATAATAATATCAAATCAGTTCATCGAAGACAATGAAACCAATGTCTTTGAGGTAAAAGTGATAAATAACCTGACAACCGTAAAATTAAACATCAGCAACCAAAATAGAGAAAAGATTCTCGACAACGACGGATATCTAAAATTCATGGGAAAGACATTCAAGGTCTATGATAATTTTAACTTGAAGTTAAATTCGTGTCTATTAACTGAACCTTCTCCTCATGATAATTGTGTTCCAAGATGTGTAAATTGTTCACAAATACATCAAGATCAATGCACTTCTGAACCCCTGTGTTTTCATTGTGACAATAATCATTCTTCCTACTCATCCTCTTGTTCTGTGATTAGAAACCGATTAATAGAAGCGTCTAAATACCATAGCATTAATTATGAGTGGCTACTTCCAACCGAAGATAAACCTCAACTACCTAAATGCGAGGAAGGAGAAAGAAACTACTATGAACTTTATCGCCAGAACCATGAAAGCCAAAGCCACGGTGTTAATTCTGACTGAGGCTAATAGATTCGTCTCAATAAAACACATTGGTAAAGATCTTATAATTAATGATCAAACAATAATGATACCCTCACCTGATATTCAAATAAATCCAATCAGCACAACAACAAAAAACTGTATTATCGCTATCATCACCCACCTGAAAAAACAAATAGTATTAGTGGCTTCTTACATCGCTCACAATGAACAATTAAAAAACATCCGTGACTTCATCGACCTCATCTCACCAATCACCCACCTCCCGTTATTAATTGCAATGGACTCGAATTGTGAAAATCCTGCCTGGTCAATGCGAACAAATCTTCCTCAATTCTCCACACCTTTGGCTTCCTTTTTAACTACACACGAACTAGAGGTGGTAAACAAACCGACGAGTGAGAACTTCTCCTATCAGCACGCTGGAAATCGAACCTGGATTGACTTGATTGCAACCAACATTCAAAATGTGAAACTAATTGAGGGAAAAATCATAACCGATCACAGGGAATTCACGGTAATAGTACCAATGCAGCATCCATTTAACAGTAGAAACAATAACAAGAGAATAGAATTTTTGGTTAAATATAAATTAGACTTCTTAGAATCAGATCCTGACAAATTTTTTGAAAAAGTAACAGAATTTCAGAAAAAATACAGTAGAATAAAAACAGTTCAAAACGTGACATCGAACAGGAGAATCAGTAGGTTACGAACAAAAATTCAGAGAATGAAAAGAGCAAAAGCCCCAAGAGAAGTTATCAGATCACTAGAAGAGGAATGTGTTAGGCTAAGAATAAACAAGAAAAAAGGGACATACAAATACTTATTTAGATTCAGAAAAAACTCAGGAGAAATGTGGAGATTTATAAATAGATTACTCAATATCAATAAACAATCAACAATCATGAATAAACAAGCTCAACCAGATCTCAGCTCCTTTAACAAGAATTATGCTAATAGAGAATTAGAATCAGGTCACCAATCGAGTCTAAGCGTGCTGGAGAGAACCTCAATCTCGTCGATGACATTTAAGAAAACCTCTGGTAATTCCGATGATTTCACGTTAAAAACTTGGAAAAAATTCTGGTCTATCAACAAAGAACAAATCATAACAGCAATTGAAAACTCTTTTAACATTGGACTTATACCTGCAACAGTCAAAATTTTCGGTGCTCATTATCTACCCAAACCTGATGGTAATCTCCGGCTCATTAAAATATCAAACTTCATTCTCAAAATATTCGACAAAGTGTTAACAAAAAGAATACAAAATGTTCTAGGAGAAATTCTAGTTCCTTATTCACAATTTGCCTACCAATCAAAAATCAGTAGCGTCGACCTTCATGTAATCTTACGACAACATCTCGAAGATGGTATCGCTGTCTCAATTGATGCTACGAAAGCTTTCGACTTTATCTCAATGGAAATAATTTATCAGGAACTAGTTAATCACATCGACAAAGGTACACTCTCAATGATCAAATCCTTCCACACAAATCGCTATCTTCGTTACAAAACTGAAAGTGAAACGCTTTACAAAAAGGACGATCAAGGAACAGCGGCTGGTTCGTCACTTGGACCAATTCTATTCATCGTCGGCCTCAACAAAGCAATAAGAGCCCTCAAAGAACTTAACATCAAAGTACTCGCATTCGCTGATGATATGATCATCTTAAGTGATGAATCAAACTACAAAGATCATTTAAAATTAACCATCGACGAACTCCAAAAAATAAACCTTCAAATTAATCAAAGCAAAACAAAAATAATTAAACATCCACAATTGTCACATGAAAAAATCGTAGGAAAAGTTGTCTCTTATGCACTAAGTGAAAAAGAACTGACTGAAACAATTAACCTCTTCTCATCCAAAATCACATCACAACTCAGAGTAATCAACAGATTACCCATTCATTATCAAAGATCCATAATCTCGGCTCATTACTCACATTTGCTATATCATCTTGGTCCTCACTCGCTATACAAAAATCACAATTTTCTCAATCTCATCAATAATCTACAATTCGCAGTCGATACCAAACTAAAAAGCGCCTTTGGGCTATTGAGAAGGGTACCGAAGTGGATTCCGATCTTGGTCTTTAGGTGTAAAAATCCGGTCGCAATTTGGTTACAAAATAACATCGAAGCGATTGAAAGATCAGCAACAGACAAATCTAAATGGCCAATAATGCAAATCGTTAAGGAAAAAATCACCTTCGCACCACCATCAGCAGATGAAATCACGAGCTTTTGGAATAGAAAATGTACAAATTCAATTTTAAAACAAGTCAAGGTAAAAGTTGGAAAAGATCATTTATCACTCGATGATGAAGATACAGTCTACAAAGTAAACTCATCCCTCTACAAAAAAATGTTATTAGCCATATTCTTGCTAGTAAATAAACACAAGGATGAACGAGTCAATTACCAACTGCCTGTTCACATGGTTAAATTTCCAAATTCTGAGACCACCAAAACAATCATTAGAATTCTGGCACAACATAGAACAACTTACACTTGGTCATCCGAACCGCTCGACACACGAACACCAGAAAACCCTACGAGAACCATCGAAATCAACAACAGAATCAACCTGGAGAAAGATGTAAAAGAACATATCAGCGAAAAAATCGAAACAATGACAACAAGAATCCGAACACCATCAATATTCACACTTTGCTTTCCAATCAAACTACCGATAATATACAACAGCATTGATGGCATCAGCTTGAAAAGAATAATCAACACTTGCTCACACATAACCATACTTACACAAAATCTAAACGAAGCAAAAGGGAAACATGGAAGAAACGTAACCCACTACCTCAGAGAATGTAGAAGTACCGTGAACTACTGGAACGACGATTGGGACCTAACAACAAATAGAGACACCAAAAAGAAGATTGACAGTCTAATTAATATATGTAAAATCTTAAAAGAAAAAACAGATAATGTAAACTGAACGATTAGTTCGGTGCCCATGGGCAAAAAATGCATAAGGCATTTGCCACTTTCTGGCGGAAATAAAATTAAATTCTATTCTTTTGGTTTCGGTTTGCTTATTGTTAACTTGTCGCTTTTAATTGTTACATCTCTTTGATTAATATTTACTTTCAATATGCGATTAACTAATTCAGTTTTACGAAATGTTCGTTTAGTTATTCTTGGTCCACCGGGATCTGGAAAGGGAACAATTAGTCAGAAATTGGTTTCTAACTTTAAATTGTCTTATATTTCCTGTGGTGATGTGCTGCGAAATAAGATTGCCCAAGGAACAGGTTGGTTCATTTGATTTGATTTAATTTAGTTTTTGATTTTTTCTCCTTATTTTCCATTAGTTATCATTTTCTAGTTGTTCTTTTGTTTAAATTGTATGTTAAAATTTAGCTGTCAATTAACATGTTTTCTTTTTAATTTATCTGTCTTTTTGTTGGTCATCATGGTGTTGGTGTTGATGGTTTTTTAATGTATTGTTTGTATGCCCTTTGTATATGTTAATTATTAGATGAAGGTAAAGTTGCTGCTACCTACATTTCTCGTGGTGATTTGGTCCCTAATGAATTAGTTACCAAATTAATGGTTGATACAATTAATGGTGATTTCAAGGGTAACTCATGGTTAATGGACGGTTTTCCTCGGACAGTATTACAAGCTCAATCTCTATTAACCTGTACTACTATTAATAAGGTTATCAATCTAAATGTACCAGATGATGAGATAATCAATCGTATCAAGCATCGTTGGATTCACCTAAGTTCTGGTCGTATCTATAATCTTGAATATAATCCTCCCAAGGTTCCATTTAAAGATGATATAACCGGAGATGATTTGATCCAACGAGAAGATGATAAACCTGAAGCTGTTAAACAAAGACTTGATACTTACAATGCATCAACTTTACCAGTTCTTGAGTTTTTCGGGTAAATATTTTCCTTCCTAACCATTCATATTGATAAACAATTATTCTAATCAATATATCATATCTTATCTATGTTTATATTTCTCAATTAACCATATTAATTAATCGTTTACACCTTTAACATCATTTTAATCTTTTATCCATTTATCTTTATTATCTTTTATATTATCACAGGAAAAAAGGACTTCTCGTTGAATTTACTGGAAGAGAATCAAATGTTCTCTATCCTAAAATCCATAGTTATCTAGAAGATTATCTCAACCTGAAGTCATCTTAAACCGGATAGCAACTCAATTAATGTGCCGATCAAAGTCATTTACATGACTTTTGCCATGTCTCAGAATTTTCGCCAAAATTTGTTCCGCCATTAATTTAATCAAGATAAAAGAGATGTGCCTTCACAAACTAAAAGCCCCACGAGCTTGGATTTCAAAGTGATTTTTTCCTCATCTGTTAACATTCCTAATTATGGATTTACAATTTAAACTTTTTTTTTCTCTCTCATCAGGTAAATTTGCAATCAAATCATTATAAATTATAACAATGTAACTAGTTTCCTTCTCATCTTACAATCAAAGTAATCAATCCTATTATAATATGTACATTACTTTAATACTAGTATCTCAATCACTATTGTGTAATCATCAACTGTTGAATTAATTGCTGATTTATTGCTGTTTCAAATAGAATTGAAAAACATGATCATTGTTTAACTGTAAACATGAAGTGTTAATCATGAACAAACAACAACAATTTATTTCATCTCAATTTTCAAACTGATTGATTGTTGTAAATTGATTGAGCAATTGGTTTACGTTTTAATGAAAATGAAATGATTCAGACCAAAAGACGAGATTAATATGAGATTGAATTGTAATGTCATGAAATTGATTGTGTTTACATGGGAAGAAAAAAAAATCGTCTGGATTAAAAAGAAACATCAATTGATTCTGTCGATTATTATTTTATATTAACTTTGAGAGAGAGAGAGAGAACACATTCTGAGAAAGAGAGATCGTAGTGAAAAAAAAGAATTGTGAATGAATGATTATATGTATAGAGAAATTGTTATGCACCGGAATTGATGAGTGTGAATAAATTAAGTTTTGGAGTAGATTAACAAACGAATGCAAAAAATGTCCAATAATTTTGTGAGAAGAGAAAAAATTGATTAAATTTCATCTCAATCAGATAAGTAAGAAATTCACTAAAATAAAAGTATAAAAAAGAAGAGGGAAAAAAGATTCAAGCTTGAGATTTATTGGCCTCCGCTTTGAACAGCGATGTTATTCTCGAGCAGATTTTCAAAGCGGGTCCAAGTTTCATGCTCATTGCGGACATTAGATGGTCTTCTTTCAATAACATTAGCGCTTGACCATCGATCTCCTGTGATTTAAATTCGTCTGCATATTCTTGGCATCCAGGTAAATGACGGACGAAATCATAAACATCTTGGACCTGAGAAGATGAAGATGAAGACGAAAGAAGACAATTAGTTAATTTCCATTCTAATTAATAATCAATTGAAATACTTACACTCCATAGATTAGGATTGGTACCGCCTGGGGGGATATAACCACCATCGATACTTGAATCAAGTGGTTCAGTTGTTTCGGTGACTTTACAATTTGGTGACACATCGGTTTTAAGCTAATTAGTATAAAGGAAATTGAGACAAAAAAAAGATAATTAATAAAGTTGATCACAAAATTAAAATAAAATTAAAGTAAAAGATTAATTGTTTTACCTTCTTAGATGCCGGTTGACTTGATTGTTTGGTTGATTCAATAACTTCACCTTGGCGTGAATTTGTCATCTCATAATCTTCATTACCATTTTTATTATTATCATTATCGGTGAGATTGTTATTATTATTGTTATTTGATTTTTTGGCACAAAGATTTGAACAGAAACGTTTCAATTTCTTTTTCTTGTTGAATTTAGTGATTGATTTGTGACAATTTTCGCAAACAGCATCACCTTTAGTCGCTTTTATTTTGGTCATTTGTGTTTCCATTGAGAGATTATTATTCTCTGATGAGTCCAAGATAATTGAATCTTCTTTGTTTTCTCTCTCATCAAGTGTATCGCAAATTGTTTCATCTGAATTGTTTTCAATTCCATCAGCATTAACTACAAATGGAGATTGACTTTCCTGGATAACAAATCCATCAATTACATGAGTTAAAACATTTGGATCATTAATATAAGGTTTAACGATTGCTCTTTGAGGACTTTTGGAACCAGTTGATTTATTAACTCCATTGGTTAAATTGTTGCTCTCTGAACAATGATCAACTAAATCACCAGTATCAGTACCTGTTGTAGTCGCTTTCTTTTTAGGAGATTGAATTACTTTCTCTTTTAATGGAGCATTTGTAGTGGTTAATTTATTACTTTTAGTTGTTGATTTGTTGATCATATTATTGGGAGTGACATTGTTGATTGGAGTGTTGTTGTTGTTGTTGTTGTTGTTGTTGTTGATGTTGATGTTGTTGTTGTTGGTATTACCAGTGATGGTATTGTTACGCTGTGAGACAAGAGTAACTGTTGTCATTGTATCAAAATTGTTTTTTGAACATTTTGTTTGTTGGTGAGATTGAGGTTGTGCTTGTGCTTGTGGTTGAAGTTGAATTTGAAATTGTTGCTGTTGATGAATTTGTTGATTTGGTAGGTGGATTGGTATAGTGATTGGTGTTGATGATCCTTGTACAATTGATTGTCCTGGAGCTGTTTGGGTTCCTATTGAGGTTCGATTGTTTTCTGTTGCTGGTTTAATTGTCTTCAATCTCTGTGTTGTAATTGGTGTTGTTGTTGATATTGTTGCAGTGTTTGAACCGGAAGGTGTTGTTTTGGTAACAGTGCGAGCGTGATTTTGAGCTTGAGCTAATGAAATGACAGGAGTAGCATTGTTGCCCACTGAGATTGGAACATTGTTTGGATTGAAGACAATTTGTTGGTTCTGAAAATTGTTTGGTACAGCAATGAATTGAAGATCAGGTCTTTGTAGTAAATATTGATTACTTGGAGATAGAAGAGCAGAATTGACGTGTTGAACTTGTCCAGCCGGACTTGGATATGAGAGGGTATAATATTGATTACCAATTGTCTGTGGTGATTGACCAGTCACAAAATTGTTGATTGATTGAAGTTGAGGGGCTGCCGATGAAATTAACTGCATTTTACTTCTTGGTCCTTTAGCATCATTAGGTAAAAGCATTGGACCCTTTTTAATGGGTGTCATTTGAATTAGATTCCCACCATTGGGCATCGCAGCAAAAGCCTGAGCATTGGGTTGAAGCATAATTTGTTGAGGTAAATAAATAGCTGATGAGGGATGAGGAGAAGCCTGTGCTTGTTGAGATGACTGTTGTTGTTGCTGAGGAAGCTGTAGTTGCTGTTGTTGTTGTAATTGTTGCTGTAATTGTTGTTGAAGTTGTTGTTGTTGTTGTTGAACTAAATGATTTTGTTGAAGTTGTTGTTGTTGGATTTGTTGTTGCTGTTGAACAGCAGCTTTCAGTTGAGCTTGGGTTGGTTGTGGGCCTTGTTGTGGACCCTGTTGATTGGGCATCATGTTCATGCAATAATATCACATAAAAAATGCAAACAATCAATCAATTAATTAGGAAGAATTAAAAAAATCCCTGCAAATAATAAACAACAAACCGAGAAAAAATAAACTCAGGACAAAGGAAATTCTATCCAGTGACATCTATCGGAGAATAGGAAAACTAATATTCTACTTTTTTTTATTTTTTTTTCGTTTTTAATTGTTGTTGATTATTTTTCTTTCTCTTAATTTAATTTAATTTTTTCTATTTGAGATTCTTCCTTTTAATGAATTTTGATTGTTAGAATTAATTTTTAGGTGAATTTTGCTTTTTTTCCTAATTTAGGTCATCTGAACAATGGAAGTTAATGTTTAGCGGTCAAATTTTTTCGCTCTTCTTTTTTTTCTGTGTTATTATTTGTCATTGATTCAGTGAAATTATTGAAGATTTAAATGTGTCAATATAATCATGGATTGATTTATATTTTTCCATGATTTAATTGATTTATTATCAAAATGTTGAGATACTAATCAGTTAGATCTGATGCAATCTCCAACAATTGTGATTGCTAAGGCGACACTGTCTTGTTTGTTTGTTACCAGAACGTTTTTGTTTCCATCATTTCATTTTCTCAAATAATTGTGTTAATTGTTTTTATATCAATTTTTATTAAGTGATAAGAACAAAATTATCCTTGTAATTAGTTACTAATGCAAAAAGCAATTAGCTTTGGAAAATATAAATTGATCAAAATTGGATCCATCGTCTTGGTTGTTGGGTTTGTTTTCATTTTTTTCCTCTTGTTTACAATCTCAACTTTTCATTATTTTTACTCTTTTCCATTTTCTATTAATCTCTTATCTTTTTAATTGTTCAATCTAATTACAGAGGTGGACTGGCAGGAACCAAGAGATATTTGAAAAAAGAGGATGTCCGAAAATCATCATCACCACCAACATCCAACGAGGAAGATTATATTTACTTGGCTCCATTGGTTGAAGGCTATGATGTTGACGAGAGCGAGAAAAGATTGCGAAAAAGTCTTAATTACTTGAGATTTGGACGGTCAAACAACCCTAAATTGAGAAACTTTAGCCTCAACAATTTAGCTAAAATGAAAATCTAGAAGGTAATCATTGGGAATTTAATCAATTTCTTATCGGTTCTTTGTTACTCTTGTTTACCTTTTTATTTATTTTTTTCTTCTTCTCTTTTAGATTATCATTGTCAACGAATTGCAATGTTATGTGATTATCAAATTAGCGTAGCTTTGGCCCGAATTAAAGATGTCGATTTGCGATTATTTAGGCCACCATTGAACATTCATCTTCGCCGAGGAGAGATTTTCACTATTCTAAATGATTTGTATAAAACTTTTCCCGAATCTTCATGTGCCAGTTTTTTCGCTTTGATGGCCTTTCGAACACGAGAACGATTAAAAACCGTTGAATCAGTTTTAGAAGAGGAATTGCGAGAAAGCTATTTATCTAAACAAGGAATCAATTTACTTTGTCTTCAATCACTAATCCGTTATGCTATGATTAGTGAAGAGATTTGTTCATTCATGGTTGACAAAGGATTAATGTCTTGTTTACTTAATCTACGAGATAAATTTATCGATGATTTTGAGATTAATGCCACAATAGTTAAACTATTGGCCCAATTAAGTGAACATCAATTTAGTCAATATCATTTCTATTCAACTGGTTGGATTGGGATTCTTGCAGGATGGTTAAGATCTGATGTTCCCATTGAATTACGTTTACCTGCAGCTAAAATCCTTCACAATTTAGATAATAAGGAAACTATTTTAGGTAATCATCTTTACCTTTTACATCCTATTTATATTGGCGAAACCTTTGATTACGATGTGGTCTTTATTCACGGCCTAATGGGAGGCGTTTATCGAACCTGGAGACAATATACCGGAAGTTTAACGGAAGGAAATCAGGTGACTCGATGTTGGCCTCAAGATTGGCTTCCTCAAGATGTGCCCAATTTAAGGATAATCGCTGTTGATTATTATTCATCTCTATTTGAAAGGAAATCAACTTGTATTCCTGAAGCGAGATCATTAGAGGAAAGAGCTGATTTGTTAATCAATGAATTGATAAAAGCAGGTTTAGGTCAAAGACCAATCATTTTCATCGGCCACTCAATGGGAGGCCTTTTAATTAAACAAATTCTTGTTAATTGTGATAAAAAAGATAATCCTGATCGTCGTTTGTTACTCGATAATGTCAAAGGATTGGTTTTCTATTCGGTTCCTCATAGAGGATCAGAGGCAACTAAATTATCTCTTAATTTACAAAGGATTTTCGTTCCATCTCAAGAAATACGAGAATTAATCAAAGGTATTCATCAGTTAATTAACTTTAACTCAGTTAATTCCATCTAATTAAATCTTCTCTCTCTCCCTTATCCAATTCTCTCCTTTTTAGATTCACCAAAATTGCTCAATCTTCATGAATCTTTCATTTCATTATTGGCAATCAAACCAATAGATTTAATCAGTTTCGGTGAGAAGGAACAAGTTCAAGTTAATATCAAAGGCGTTAAAATCAATACTCTTCTAGTTCCAACTGAATCATCTTACTTGGATATCGGACAATTTCATGTTCTTGATACAAATCATTTTCTCACTTGTAAACCATCCGATAAATCATCACCATCCTATTCAATTGTTAAAGATTTCATCCAATCAATAATTGATAAAACATCAACACCACCAAAAAGCATCAACACTTCAAACAACCTCAACATTTAACTTTACCAATGTAATAAAATTAACTCAAAGACTATTTTTAAAAACAATATTTAAACATGAACATGAATAAAAAAATAAAAGAAACTTAAATCCTATCAAATGGTAAGAAAAACTTTTAACATCAAAACAAATTCACATGAACAATTAACCAAATCACAGACAATTGGATAATATCAAAGTTCTGACATGAGTTTGATTATCCATGGGGATGTAGCTCAGTGGTAGAGCATTCGACTGCAGATCGAGAGGTCCCTGGTTCAATCCCGGGCGTCCCCTAATCTTTTTATTTTTTTTTAATTTCGATTAATTAAATTTCACTTATGTTAATTGTCCTCTGTTGATCCAGGCTGTTGATTTTAAGGTTAATTGTTAATTTTTGGATGAACATATTTATGTAAATGAAAATATGTTCATTTACTAGAATTAATTTCATTTGGTTTGATTATGATTTTGATTATTGTCTCTTGGTGTCTGGAAAATTAATTCAATATTCAATTTATGTTTGATAATTAACCAAATTTTAGATGCAAGTTAATTGTTATTCTGTATTGTTTGGTGTATTTTCACTTTTGGGCCACAGATAGTGAATTAAAAACACACTTACAATTGAAATCGACAAGTTAATTAACTTAGTTAATTGAACAGCAACAGATTGAATCTTTTGTTCCTAGTTGATTGTTGGCTTGGTTGGACGTAACAATTAACGGAATTAATCATGTTTTCAGTACCGATGATCTTGATTTTGGCGAGTCTTTTAGTAACAAGTAAGTTGATTCTACTAATTAATGAGAATTTAATTTTTTCGATTTTTGGGTTAATTGTTTTCTTTTCTCTCTCTCTACAGGTGAAGCAATTATAATCTCTGGATTGTTATTGAAGGCATTTTGTGAGTTCTCTCAGCACTTAGCTCGATTAGGAAAAGATCCACTTTCGATCACGAAAAATTTATTCCCCACCAGTGAACCGATTGAAAGTTTACTGATCCAAGCGATGGCCAAAAGTTACGATTGTGCGGCCAAAGGTTCAGTTTATAACATTGTGGACACGACGAACACTTTACTGGTCGTTGTCGATGTACCTGATTGGGCTTCTTCGAACCCATGTAAAGGTCCAAACTCGAATCCAAGTCCAAGTCCAGGTCCAGGTCCAGCAGCGGACGCTCTTCGGTTCACCGATAAAAATATTTGCAATCTAATTGAATTCCCTAATTTCCTTGATCCATTTGATGACAATCAAGTGAAAAATTTTCTCAAAAGTTTCCAAAATCAAGTAACCTCATTGGCAGAAAGTATGAAAAACAATCAAACCAATCAACTAAATTAAATTGTAATAGTTAATCAATCGTTTGATGAGACAGTTAAACCTTTCTCCGAATCTAATTGTTAAATCAATCATTAAATTAACTAATAATGATAATAATGAACGCAAATCTATTTGTAACATTTGTAGTTTAGGATCAATTTTAAACTAGAATTTAGCAAATTATCAATCACTAATTAAATGATTTACATTAATATATAATTGAAATATGGTTCTTGTTGATTGTTACAAAATTAATTTCCAATTTAGTTGAAACTTGCAACGAAAAGTTTTGTTAACTTTTATTTATCAATTAAAGTTTCAATGGTTAACAATTATCACAGAGTTAATGAGAGTATTGAACAGTAGTTAGTTAATTGTTTGTTTTTACAACACAATTAGAGTATTTAATTAATATATGATTCGTTTGAATTGATTGATTGATTATCGTGCTGATGATTGTGTTGTTGTTGTTGTGAACAAATTGATGAATTACATTGAGATCCAATTGAATCGTAATCACAGCTTAATGATGGTGATGATGATCCATCATTAAAATGATTATCGTTATGATTAAATTGTAAATCATCTTTAATTGTTGATGATCTCAATCCACCATAACCAGAAAATGGAACCAGAAGAGATGAAAAAATTAGAACCAAATGAGTACCGAAATCAAGGTAATTGGGTGAACCTGATGATCGGGTTTCTCCTTCTTTGGCCAATATAAGAGTTTGTAAGATAATCAATGGTCGTAAGATAATTAACCACATTAGATTAAAGTATAAGCTCAATAGAACTGGAAAATCACGGTGACAATTACATGACAATTCTGTGGAAAACAAACAATTAGTGACAATTAAAGATCACAATGAAACGAGTGACTCTCAATGGATAAAATTTTCCAATTGATTTTCATTATGGTTAATTTAACAATCAAGAGAAAATTAATTTTCACCTAATTTTTGGTTCTACAAATTTCATTAATTTCATTAACTCCATTTGATTTTAAATCAACCATAACAATTTAAGAATTAGCTGATTACATGATTAAGATTGATGTAACTATTATTATATTCATCTAACCTGAAATTAACAATTGCCCTCGATTCTGGTTGATGATTAAACTTAGCGTGTTGGTTTTAATTTTAATCAACTAAATTCAACCAATTCAATTAAATCTCTTCACTTGTAATGATAAGGTTGAAGTAAATTTATTTTTCAGTTGATTAATTGAAGAGTAGTAGGAAAATCAATTGATTGTAACAGCAATTATATCAAACACAATGGGAAAAGATTTGATTGTTTCTCTAGCTTTTGGATTAATTTTGCTTATTTAAAGATTAATCAACTTACCAGATTTAGATGATTTTTGCTTAATTGCTTCAGCAACTGATGATACAAAGATTATCGCTGTTAATGGTATAACAATTACTAAATAGTGCCAAGATAATTGAGCCACTACTGGTGATTCTAATCGGGTGATACAAACCATGAACCCAATATGATTAGAGTGTGAGGCTCCGTTAATTGTTAGGTGATTAGGTGTATACAATAATCTATCAGCAAATTGGTGAGATGATTTTTCTGGACTAATCAGATCGATGAGAGTTAAATAAAGTGCTTGTGGGATAATCCATCCAAAGATTAAGGCTAATCCAAGAAGACGAGCTCGTTGGGTTGGGAAAATGTCGTAAAGTTTAAGGATTGATAATATAGTCAAGAACAGGGTGGTTACATGATTAATTGTTGAATTTTGAATGATACAGTGTTCACGAGACGAGAGGAAAGGCCAAATCCCGTTGAACGTTGACCAAATAAGATAAGGTAACCAAGTTGAGAGATACGTTAAATTGGAGATGAGTATTAATCCAGTTACAATCCGATGGACACAAAAATCTGATAACCAATCTGATCTTTGACCAAAGATCAATTTAATCAAACTGATAAAATTAACTAATAGAACACCGGTAATTAAAAATAAACGAATATAAGATGTTATATTTACGAGCAGCTCGAAATCTTGTCTCATTCGAGACATAATCCACTTTGTCGAGAGACTTAATCTCAAAGTCACGTTAATCCATTTTCCAAGGTTAATCACTTATTGGGTTGAATCACAAGTGAACATATGATTAGATTAACTTTTCCCATGGAAATTAACTAATTAGAAAGGTGATTGGAGACAATTAATAGTATTAATCATAGTTAGAGAGCAATGAGTTCTCCTTTATTGATGTTCACTTGAATAGAGCAAAAGGGAAACTGAAAAAAAAGAAGATGAAAGAAAAAAAAAGATGAAGAAAATGAGAAAGGATGAAGATGATGATAATTCTAATGATGTTGATGTAGTTAATGATGAAGATGAAGATGATGAAGATAACGATGTTTACCTGATGCTCTCAATCTTTGATTTCTTATCCCAGTTTATGAAACACGAGGCTCACAATGAATGAGAGAGCGAGAGACTTGATCAGTTAACCCATTTTCTAGTTGTTATCCTTTATCATCCTCATTATCATCATCATCATCATCTTTAACTGGACTTGGATGATGAGGGAGCGTCAACAATGATAAACAGTATCAATTTGTTTCTTTGTTTTGTTTATTTCATTGTCTTCATCTTCATCATGATCATGATGCTGGTGATTATCATCAAGGGATAAATATGATCACCATTGAACCGGTTTCATGCCCTTGACCCGTTACCTTAATTCAATTTGTAATCCAAATGATTAAAATAAATTGTATCTTCACCACCATCACTTACTCATCTTCTTCATTCTGGTTAACTCTCCCTCGGGCGTAATTATCATGATCCATGTTCACGAAACGGGTTTCATATTAACCTTAATATTTTTTTTTTCTTTCGGTCAATTTAATGTTCGTAACCGTTGACCCTTTTTCTGTAGTAAAAAAAAAGGTTTCCTTTCATTTGGATATAAACTATTAAACAATTAAGTCCAGTTTGTTTTCATCACAATCAAAAGTTTAATCATCGATATCAAATGTATTTGACAAAATGGTCAACGTTGTTTGCACCATTGGTCAAGATGATGAATTTTAACAATCAACAAGTAATCAATTAGACCTAAATGAGTGAGTGATGTTGACCTAACATTAGATTGACCATTATAATCAGTGAGACGGATTTGAATAAATCGAAATGTATCCTTATGATAATCAACTTCGCACTCGGAACAATAAAGAACCGTTAAGAAAATTGGGATGAGAAACAATAAGATAATTAAAGAAATCAAGGATGGAACTAAATTAAATCAATTATCTTAATTCATCTTCTTAACGATAACCTGAATTTAAAGACAAACAATTAACGTTTTTCTAGGCAGTTAGGTGATCCTATTTAGTTGGCTGAGCGATGAATTTTAATTGTAATAGAAAATTTTGTAATCAATAGATGACAATTAATCTTTAGATGATAATCATTGATTAACAATCAGTGTAAATAATTGATTTAAAGAAAATAAACAAAAGGATTGATTGAGAGAAGATTCTTAATCGAAACAATCGAATTAACTTTTTGATAATTGATTAAGAGGACGAAATTGAATCTTACCTTGATTTAGATTATTTTAATATCGATGATTGTTGGAAAATCTAATAAAAACAAAGTAGAATTAAAGTTAATTTAGTTTCGATTGTTTCATTGTTTTCCTTTGAAAGAAAACTAATGAATAAATAAAAAGAATAAAAAAATAACGGTAAAAAAAATAGAAAAGAATATTACTAAAATTCGATTCTTTTTTTCCATGGTAACGGTGACATTCTCTCTCACTCTCGTTCTCACTTCGAATTCATTTCTCATTTCTTCATTTCGACAATAAATTGTTAGCTAATCATCGTTATTCTTCAGCTGATTTATTCCTTAATCTTAATCTTCTTCTAATCTGTGATAATCTTCATTTTCGTTTGTTTTTTTTTTCTTCTTCTTCATCAACGATTTGATTATTTTTCTCTATTCTAATTAACTGTTACGATTTATTGAATAATCTCTGTTCGTAAAAGTTAATTGTTGATGATTAACTAGATTATTATGTCACAAGATGAAGGTAAAATTAACTTTGCCGCCGTTGAAGGTAAGTTTCAATTGATGCTAACGAAATGGTTAATTGATTATCTGAATATTTTTAATTGTTTCATTTGTTGACTGAATCAGTTGACTTTTATTTTCGTTGATTAGTTAATCAGCTGATGATAAACAATCAATCAGAAAAAGAAATTAAGTTAATCTGTTAATCAAATTGATCATGATAATTGTCTGATTAGTTAATATAAATTTTTCATTTTTATCAATCAATTTGAAGTCCAATGATTAACCATTAATTTCAACACTCAACTGATTAAACAACAACGATTAAACTGAGTAGATTAACTGGATTAACTTAACTAGTTATCAAGTTTTCATTGGTGATTAACTTTTAATTTCTCAATAATTATTAATTGCTCGTTGATTGTCATTTTCTTTCAGCTAATCGACTTTCATCTAAATTATCTTAATCACGCACAATCGATTAACTTTTCATCGTTAATTTTAAATCAGCGTTTCCATTGATGATTAAATATGAAAACGATCAATGAAATTAACTTTCCGTCTATTTATTACTTGATAATCAATGATCATCATGATCAACTGATTCTTAATTTAATAACAACTCAATAATTTATCAATTCATTAACGATCATAAATAACAATTCAAATAAATTTAAGGTCAATATCATCAATATCTAACTATGTTTAGATTATGATGATTTAGGCTAATTGTAAATCAATATTAACAATTGGTTAAAACGTTAACTTAAATGTTAAAAGATAATAAATTAGTAAATTAGTTCAATGATAATCTTAATGATAGAAACTCAAATAAACTTAAAAGTTAAACATTGAACTAATTGCTATCAGAATATTAATCAATCAATATCAGTATATTTTCCGTTGGTTGGTAAAAATCATCTCATCAACAATTAACTGATTGTGATTTTGTTTTCTTCTTCCATTCTATTAGAATCAAGCAGTTCAGGTCAAAATTTTTTCGGCTTTGTACTAACTGGCATTTCGATAACAGTGTTTCTGTTGACGTTCCCGCTTTCGCTATTTGTGACCCTTAAAGTTGTCCAAGAATATGAAAGAGCCGTTATCTTCCGATTGGGACGATTATTACATGGAGGGGCCAAAGGACCGGGAATATTTTTCATTCTACCCTGTATTGAGAATTATACTAAAGTTGACCTGAGAACATTAACTTTCGATGTCCCTCCACAAGAGGTTTTAACGAAAGATTCAGTTACCGTTTCCGTGGATGCGGTCGTTTATTATAGAGTCCGAAATGCGACAGTTTCCGTCGCTAATGTTGAAAATGCTCATCACTCAACTCGACTTCTTGCTCAGACCACATTGAGAAATATGCTTGGAACTCATAATCTCCATGAAATCCTTTCTGATCGAGAATCAATTTCAAGCTCAATGCAGGTTAATCTCTTTTTAAATGGTCTAAACACTTTAATCACAATTAAATGACCTCAATTTATGTTAATCTTTTTCTTTCCTCTCTTCGATTCGTAGCAATATTTGGATAATGTGACAGATTTTTGGGGAATCAAAGTTGAAAGAGTTGAGATGTAAGAATATCATGAATTACACTTAATTACAATTAACAACATTTACCCAACAATTAACGTTGTTAACTAATTACTTGTGATTTACAGTAAAGATGTTCGATTACCAGTCCAACTTCAACGAGCTATGGCAGCCGAAGCTGAAGCTGCTCGAGAAGCTCGAGCAAAGGTAAGAATGATAAATCGTAAAAACAATGAAACGAAAAAATTAAAACTCGAAATGAATCAAATAATAGATAATTAGCCAACTGTCAATTAGTATCTTCATGTTCATTAGCACTCTTGGATGAATGCATGACAATTAGTTGTATTGATCAACAATATTGATGTTGATTGTTACCACCTTATGTATGGATTGATAGATATGAATGAATATCCAATCAATATGGTTAATTATTTAGGTAGATTAATGGATTGGAATGACAATTTATTTCTGTTGTCAATGTTATCGTTGATTATCTAGGTGATCGCCGCCGAGGGTGAACATCGTGCATCTCGAGCGCTAAAGGAAGCAGCGGAAATAATTACCCAAAGTCCAGCGGCTCTTCAGCTTCGCTATTTGCAAACCCTGAATACAATTTCGGCGGAAAAAAATTCAACAATTGTTTTCCCGGTTCCAATTGATATGTTGTCCTATTTAGCGAAACAGAAAAATATCCAAACAGTTAATTAGCTGATCAGTTGATTAACTTTGGGATTGAGAAAAAAATCTAATAGAAATTGATATTTTTCTCCTGTAAAGTGATTATCAATTCTGATCGATAATAATTAGATTATTGATAAAATCAAAATGAACGAAAACTTTTACAAAACTAATCAAATCGAAAAGTTTTAATTTTCTCTCCAAATTGATTGTTAATTGTTTCACAATTTGTATTTCCTCATATTTATCATTATCCTTAATCTTGTATTTCTGTACAACAATTAGCTAATTGTGTACTTGTTTATGTTTCTATTTGTCTGCTAATGCACAAATTTGTTTCTTTAATTAATCACTTGCACGTTGAGATTTAATTGTTGCAAAATAATTACTTAATTACTCTGAATGTTGTCCAATGGTTACTAACAATTAATATTTTATTTGAAGTAAATTTTCTGCAAAAGATTAATATTTAGATGGATTAACGTTTTAATTTGATAATTTGAAACAATTTTCTACAAAGTTAATCTAAATTGTTGACAATTTTATCCAACAATTAAGACAAAAATAAACATAAGGAAAAAGAGTTGACAGTTTAAGTGAAAGAAAAGTTTTCGAGGTTAAAGGTTATTGAGGTGAAACTTTCGATGTAGATTGAATTGATTGATTGTGTTGATCAAAGAGACTAATTGTTGACCAAATTTACTAATTGCTACTTTTTTGTCCAGGTAATCGCGGCGGAAGGTGAACAGAAATCATCTCGAGCTTTAAGAGATGCAGGTAATATGCTCGCCTCTTCCGGTTCGGCGATACAATTACGATATCTTCAAACATTAGCTTCGATTTGTACCGAAAAAAATTCGACGATCATTTTTCCCGTTCCAATAGATTTAAGTTTAGGTTCGACAAGAAGATGAAACAATAGAAAAAAGTTCGAAACTTTTATCGAATAAGAAAACATAAGAGGCGAAAGAAAAAAAATTCTATTTACAAAATGTTCTCCTCACAAACTGACAACAATTTATTTCCTTTAATTACTTGATTGTTTTACTATTTCATCATTTAATTGTAATCAATCAAATGTCAGTGTTCTTCTTGATTGTTAATTGTCTTCTCTTGACATCTTTTCACTTGGAGAAAGAGTTGTCTTTGTGAATTTTATTTCTACCAAGTATCAACAATCAATTGGTAAAATGAGAGAGACTGATGAAGATAAAATGAATTCTCATCCTATTATTAATACAACAATTAGTAGTGAACCAATTTATTGCAATTTAGTTGATTGTGGTGACGATTTTGATCATCATGTTCAACTTGAACAAACTTTGTCTCTACCAAATGGACAACCAGTCGTCAATTTGATTCAACAATTAGTTCAACTCTCAACATCCTTTTATTTAAATCTTACAATCAACAAATTGTTAATTTCATCCTTTGCTATTCTTCAAATTTGCTTCTTAATCAGTTAATAGAACTTTAGAAATTTAAATTGTAACTATTTTCGTTTCAATAAAGTTTCTCTTAAAATAGCAAAAGTCTATTCTCACTACTCTCATTTGGAACAAAAAAGAAAGAGAATTTTTTTTCTTTCTTTTTGTGTTTCTTTCTCTCAGCTGATTAATGAATCAACAGAATCAACAATTTAAATAATTTTCTAAATTGGGTTAAAAGTAATTAGAATTTTAAATTGTGTCCATTTAATGGTAATCCAAATGATCCAAATTCTAAAATGTTTTCATTTGTTTATTGTGATTCTTTGAATTTCGTTGGGCCTAAATCAGAAAAATATTGATTCTTTTCTCACCTTTACTTTTATTTATTTTTTAATCGAATATAAATTTTGATGATTCTCGAAGGTCTTGGAATTCCTTTGTTTAAGTTGATTGGTGGTTATTTCGATTAGTTGAATCCTTGGATTGGAATCAATGTTTCAAAGTCATTACTCTGTTCTCGGTGCAACAATTTTCAACTATTTCATCAAGTGACATTTCATAATCTTGCTATTCAACATTTTCTATTCTAGATTATTCTCTTGAATAATTGATTCCAAAGGTATAAATATAACTTACTATCCAACTGGTTAGCTCATTTCAATCATGGAGTTTCCTGATTTGGGTAAAAATTGTTCCAATCCAAATTGCAAGCAACTTGGTAAGTAATTGTTGTGATATTTTCATCTCTTGACCGATAGTTTGGTGAATGTCATTTTAACCTTTTCTTTATTTTCTTCATTCTTTTCAGATTTTCTACCTGTTGTTTGTGACTCATGTAATAAGGTCTTTTGTATCACTCATTATCCATACGAAAGTCATTCGTGTCCCAATTCATTCCAGAGAGATAATCAAGTTCCCGTTTGTCCATTATGTAATCAACCTGTTCCATTGCGAAAAGGTGAATCACCGGATATAAGGGTCAATTCTCATATTGAAGATGAATGTCAGGATGGTAGAGCAGTTAGAAAACGATCAACCATTTACAAGAATCGATGTTCTTTCGAGAAATGTAAAAAGAAGGAATTAATTCCGATTACCTGTGATGTGTGTAGGAAAAATTTCTGTCTTAAACATCGTAATCCATTGGATCATAAGTGTACAACAAGGAGAGAATAAACCAAATGGATCTAATACCGGAAATTGGAGTAATTGGAGTAACTTATCGAAATCTGGTGAGGCCGCTTTACGTCGTATACAAGCGGCCACTTCTAGTGTAACAAATAGTACATTTGGACATAGTGAAAATCGTACCAGTGGTATTGCTAATCAACAGAAATCATCTTCAAGAGTTAAATCAGTTCAAGGTGATTATACTGAGGACGAAGCATTAGCTTGGGCCCTACAACAATCTCTCAACGATCAATCATCAAGAGCAGCGTTAAGAGGATCAACCAGATCGAATCGAACCAATGAAACCAGTGATTTCGCTCGAAGCAAAGACAAATGTTCAGTCACATAGAATTGACAATGATCGTGGTCAATTTCATTATCGATAATGATACAATTGTACAAAGGAAATGATTCAAACTAAATTGTAGCGAATGATTTTGTTGAATGTTCTAATTTCTATTCTTTACCTATTTTCTATCTCAACTAATTGCACCTTTTCTTGGAAAATTTATTTAATCATTACAATTTTAATCCATTATTATTACCACATAATCTATGACAATCAAGCAATTTAATCTTTTCAGTTATATTATTTATTGGTAATTCTCATTGTAACTAAGTAACTAACTGATCTAAAAGTGTAACAAACTTACAATAATCAACTCAAATCAAGATTATTGATTAAACCTGAAAATGAACGATTAGTTTCAACGAAAATTGATCAACATGAAAACATTTGTTCTTTACTTTATTTTGAAATAATTCACCGATTGATTTAATTTTCTGTTCCAAAAAAGTCAATCACAATTTCCCTATTTCCTTAATTTCTCAACGATAGACGAAAACTTCACCTTAATTCAGTTTTAATTAAGTTAATTAACCGTTGGAAATTCTTGAAATAAAAGTCTATTCTCAATACTCTTTAATTAAACGATTCTGATACAGAACTTGAAGATTTGATAAATTTTACTCTCGATTTAATAACAAGACGATAACTTTTAAATTCAATTGTAAAGACAATTAACTAATGGCGATGATCAGTAAACCATTTGGACGGAAACAAAATTGATTCAATTGGAAGTTAATATTTCCACTGTTTCAATTTCAATTCCATATCAACACACAAGAAAATCAAACAATTAACATGATGGGAAACATGAGAATTAGTTAATTGTAAAAGAGAGAAAAAAAAATCGAGAAATTAAAGTTAATCAATTTACAAAAGAAACAAACTTTTTAATTGATAAAAGTTAATTGTTTTTCCTCTGAACAAAATGAATCATTTGTTTACCTTAATTGTTTCGACTTTGATATAACTGAATTATCTTGATTGATTAACTTGATTGTTAATTGCTCTTAATCATTCAAAGGTGAGTCGACTCCCCATAAAGGAGCTGCTTCTTGAGGGAGCAAAGTGAGTCAATGGAGATGCTCAATTCTCATTCTCACTTTTGTCTCTCTCTCTCTCTCTCAGCTGGTTCATCAACAGAATCAACACTTTGGAGTGAAAATATTTCTTTCTAAATTGTGTTCGTAATTACAATTAATTGGTGTCCATTTAATGGTGACAATTATCATCTATCATCTATGATGTTATCTGTTCATTTATTTAATTGTTTATTGTGATTCTTTAAACATCAACATTCATTTAATTGAAGATAAACAATCAGATTGATTTTTACACTTTTCTATTTTTCTCTTGTTTTTGTTTAGCTTTTCTCTCTCTCTCTCTCTCCTTTATTTGTTTCATCGTATTTAAATTTAATTGTAGTCATTTGTTGAAGGCCTTTCACTTTTAATTGTTCCTGTTTAATATTATTGCCAAGCAAATATTGTTATTCTGTTAAACAATTTACTCCAGTTTAGTGGTGACTTTTACTCTGTTGATGTAGCAACACTTTTCCACTAATTGATATTTACCATCAAGTGACATCCATTTTGTTTTATTTATATCGCAATTAATGTGCTCCAATTTGACCATTATTTTCTATTCTAAATTTATATTTATTCTATCAACTTAATGATGAATCCTTCATCCACCACAGCTCCTGGAGGCTCAGCTAATGCTCCAAGTTATGATGATCTGTATGGAAACGATAAGCCACCTCCAAGCTATTTAGAAGGTTTGAAAAATTTTCTATTCTAAATAACCTTTGCTATTTTCTTTGTTTAATCTTCTCTTTCGGTTGATTTTTTTTTTCTCTCTCTCTCTCTCTAGCAATTAGCTCAGGCCCTCCACCACCCTACTTGGAAAACCGATCTGCAATTCCTGGTACTTCGGTTCCATTATCATCTATACCAAGACAGTCTACCAACTATTTGAGGTCACCCGCTAATCTATCAACACCAAATGCTACAACAACTAACCAGCAACCTAATTTAAATCTTCCTATCATGATGAACGATGTCTGTCCAATATGTCAAGTATGCTAACAGATAGTTGATCATTACGATTAACAATTTATACGACCATTAACATTAATTGATTCCAGTTGATTGAGTTGTTCCCTTTGATTTATATTTATTGTCAATAACCAACAAATAGTCAAACTCTATAAACCTTTTCAAGGCCTGACAAATTTTTCCAACAAATTAGACTAATTTCAATGGATTTTGTTTCTTTTGTCATCTATCACTAATTGTCTTCTCTTTTTGTTTTGTTTTCTTCTATTCACTTTCAGGGCACACTGATTACTGATTTTCCATTCCTATGTTGGGTTCTTGCTTTATGCTGGTTTCCAATTGGAGTCTTATGTTGTCTTATGTCAGCTCGAAAACGATGTGATCAATGTGGATTAACCTTCGGCTGATCTCAAAACCCAAGTGCTTAAAACCAATCTCAGAATTGTCCATTACCTCAACGGCAGCAACAAACACTCTTGACCAACCATCAACCCAAGAAATGTCCATTCGATATCTCAACTCATGAAATTTCTCATCATCATCATCATCATAAATTAATGTTCTTCTCAAACACTTTTTTTCTATTCTCCAATTTAAATTCTGTATAAAATGGTGTATTTTTGTTCCCTCTCATCCTCATATTCATCATCATCAATCTCTCCAACTCCAAGTTGTGACCTTACATGTAAATCGATTTCATTTCTCAATTTTAAAGTCAATCAATCAATTAAATCGCTGAGACCAATTAATCTAAATTGAAAGAAATGATCACAATCTAATTACCATCTAATTGTTTCCAATTTGAAATAAAGTGAAAATAATAAGTAAACAATTTTTGTTTTTTTCTTGTGAAGAAAACAAATTATGTAAATTAATCCAAAGGAAATTGGAAAATATTAGATTAATTATCACGAGAAGAATTAAAATTGATCAAATAGAAAATATGAGAAGAATAAACAATTAGATGAATCATCGGATTACATTTCCATTAAAGAGAAATGTTATTTTCGATCAGCTGATTTTCGCTTTGTTTTTCTTTCTCTTTCCTTGTTTACCATTTATTTTGTTTTCTTTTTGTTTATCTCTTGAAATTCAATTTACTTGGTTTGTGAAATTTTCTTTTTAATTAACAATTAACTCATTTGTTATTCTCACCTTGATCACATCATCATCTCTAATTGTGCCTTTGTCATGTCAATTTGTGCCTCTCCTAATCTAAATCAGTTAATCTAATCCATTGAATTTGTCATTTTCTCAATAGAAAATCAAAATTTTTCTATCAATTGTAATTCTTTTCATTATGGTTTATTATAGATCTTTATTAACCAGCTGATTAATATTAATTGTAACACTTTCTTTAATTGTTCTGCAACCATTGGTTTACTGTTTTATTGGAGATTCTAATTTGATTGTTAAAAAGACAAACAGACAATTACACTCACTTGGATCTCGACGCTTTATTTTCCCTATATAAAAGGCCTATGGTTTGTTTGTGATTCTCTGGATGAATCATGACTCAAGTCAAATCAATTTCATCAATTACACTAATTAAGAAGAAACTTAACGATTTTAATGAAGCCATTGAATCGACAATCAATATACTGGATGAACATTCTCGAAAATTTGAGAAGGTAATTTGTATTCTCTTTGTTTTCTTCTCATTTTCTATTCTGCTAATTTGAATTACATTTTGTTTTTTCTTCTTCTTTGTTCTCAATTAGATTGATATTGTTGGAGATGCTCGATTATTACGAAAGGAAACATTTAAAAGTAGTAATACTATGAAAAAATTGGACATTCTGCTTAAAGATCTACAAAATTTTGAATCCACTTGGATCGATTTACCTGAGGCTGGACATCTTTACAACGAGGTTCAAATGCTTAAATTAAGAGTTTCACATTCGAAAGAATCTTTTGCCAATCTAATTGATCGTAAAGTGATCATAAATACTGCACCAAATGACTTAAATACTGAAGAAACTCCTGTTATATCTGACAATCAATCGGAACAATTAATGCTACAACATGAGCTAATTGAAGATATAAAAAACAAGAAGCGGATCTGTGACTCGTATTTACAATTACAAAGAGACATTCGTGATCTCGATGAAACCATGAGAACTTTTGCTAATTTGGTTACGGTAAGTTAATTTTTTCCTTTGTTCAATCAATTGTAATCCTTACAATTTCTATCCATTCACGATTTAGGAACAAGATGAAACCATTGACAATATCGAGGCAAACATTGAAACTGCTCTGGTCAGCATGGCTCAGGGAACAAGAGATTTGTCCAAGGTTCGGATAAGCACCTTTAATTGTAATTCAATCGTTTAATTTGATTTTTAACCCTTTTTTTCATCCTCAGGCTGCGAAACTTAAAAGGGCATTTGTCCCTGTAACGAGTGCGGTTGTCGCAGGATGTGTCGGTGGTCCTGTCGGAGCGATAATGGGTCTAAAAGTGGGCATCCTAGCGGCCATCGGGTCGGCTGCAGTGGGCTATGGAGGAGGAAAGCTAATCCAAAAAGTTAATTCAAAGACAATTTCTGAAGCGGATTCTTGTTTAGCTGAATCCGATTCTGTTGTTGAAAGTGTTAACAGCAAGAGAATTGAATCAAATGACAGAAAACAGAAATAAATTGACTCTATTTATGTTCCTTGTGATTAATTCTCTATCTAAACACTTAATCATGTTGTTTAATTTCACAGTTTCAATTGTTATTAACGTTAATTTAAAATCAATTGTATCCATTCAATTTAAAGAAGAAAAAAACAATTATTTTCCATAATAACAATTTCATAAAATTAGTGTGAATACTGTACTTAAATTTCACTTTTTACCTTAAAATTAATTGATATTCTTAGCAATCAAAATTTCATTAAATTTATTTAATCCATAAAATCGTAAAATCAAAAAATCGAATCAAAAGTTTTTATTTCGATCAAACCAAACAGACGAAATTGATACAATTCCAAGTCGAATCAAAATTAAATCGATTGTAATAAAATTTAACACAAGAAAATAGAACAATAATTGATGAGAAATTACCTCACAATTAGATGTTAATTGTGAACAATTTACTAATTCGCAGGGGTGGAGTTCGAATAAGTCACGTGATGGAAAAAAAGAAAAGCGGAAAATTCATTTTCTTTTTTTCATCAAACCAGAGAAGAGAAAAAAGTAAACAATGTCTCTGATATTCTAATTTAATTCTCATTGTATTAACCTAATTGTTCTGTTAATTGTGATCATGTTCACTTGTTAATCTTCTACTTGAGGTGAAGATTATCTTTCGATCATCTAATTGTTATTGTGATCTTTTCTTAGAAATTCAATGTTACTCTCTTACAATGTAAACATTTCATTTTCTATTGAAAATTAATTCAATGGAAATTACATAGAACATGTAAATGTTTTCTATTCTATTTAATTAATTCTTATTACCTTTTACACTCATCTTGTTTCTCACTAATCTGTGATCCTGATTAAACAAAGAGAAATAAGTGAGCTAATAATCTAATAAGGTTGTGAATATGGTACCTGATTGAAGTCTTTGGGTTGGAGAGAGAATTGTTTTTGTCACCATGAAGCGTTTCTGTAAAAATCTTAATCAAACTTTCCCTGATCATGGAACTACAATTACATTCATTGCCTACATTGTGCTCTTTGTATTTCAAGGTAATTAAATATTCTGTTAATCAGTTGTTTCTACCTTTCCCTGTCCAGTGGAGTATTGAAAATCCAAGTGACTCAATGGAGATTCCCATTCAATTGTCAATGAGTAGACCAATTTGGTAGAGATACAAATCTACTAATAGAAAATTAAATTCTACTAATTTATCCATTGAAGGAATAACCCAATTGAATGGCTGATTAAATGAATGATTTCTCTATGTGATTACTAATAATTGCTTTTGTTTTTTCTCTCTCTTTTCCTCAGGTATTCTCATGAAATCATCGCAAACATCGGACAATACTTATGATTACAGTACAATTGGAGCAGTTCTGGTAACCGAATTTGTTAAATTAATCACATCAATTTGTTGGTACTTGAAAAATAGCTCAATCAAAGATTTTACCATTGATCTGAAAAGCAATATAAAACTTTTGGCTCTCTATTTTATCCCATCGTTACTCTACTGCAGTTACAACAATTTAACTTATATTAATCTTCGTAATTTTGATCCAACAACATACAATTTATTATTACAATTTAGAGTTGTACTTACTGGAATTATCTATCAAAGTATTTTTCGTCAAAAGTTAACCAAATGGCAATGGTTCTCATTGATTGTCTTAACCACTGGATGTGTAATCAAAAATTTAGGATCTCATGGATCAAATCAGTCAAATCCAATAACATTGAGCCATTTTCTTCAGAATTTACTTCTTCTACTCTTTCAGCTCAGCTGTTCCTGTGTCGCCGGTGTTTTCAATGAATATTTGCTTAAAATCACCGGAGCTCAATTGAACATTGGAATGCACAATATTTTCATGTACATCGATTCAATTATTTGCAATATTGTCGCTTTAATCTATTTCGATGGCACCGAATCAAAGTATCCCAATCTTGATTCTTTCGTCTCTCTACTCAAACCAACTGTGATCATTGTGATAATCAATAATGCTGCTTCCGGTATCGTTACTAGTATTTTCTTGAAGAAACTTAATTCGATCCTGAAAACCTTTGCCTCCGCAATTGAATTGATTCTAATCGCTTGCCTGTGTTGGATATTATTTTCCATTCCAATTGATATTTATACAGCAATTTCCATTGGAATTATATTCTATGCCATTTATTTACAGTTTAAACATCCAATTAAACTTAATTTAAGTCCACATCATCAGGATTCATCAATCAAATCACATTCAAAAACTCACCATTCAATAGACAATAAAAATATCAATTACACTGAATTAAAAAATCTCGATGAAGATGAACTAGTTAATCAAAAGGCTAAAAATAATAACAATATTCACATTGTCTAAATCTAATATAATCATAAACAATTATATTGTTGTAATTTAATTCGTATTAATTGTTGTTTTTGTTTCTCTTATCTAATAAATCATCATAAAAATATTAAATCTGATCAATTGTTATTTTTCATTGTAATTAAATTATCATCAGAGAGAGAGAGAGAGAGAGAGAGAGAGAGAGAGAGAGAGAGAGAGAGAGAGAGAGATTATCATTGACTTAATTTGATTAGTTCTCAATCGGTGATTAGTTGATTTTCCAAGTGGAAATTTAATAACAATCAAGGTAAAACTGAGAACAAGTTTCGATCATATTTAGTTCGTTAATTTATTGTATATAAATGATTGCATTTCGTTGAAAAAACTATCAATCAATTTAAAGTGAAAGTCAATCAGTAGTTAATTAAAGAATTAAAAATGAAAGTTATCGCCGTTGTACTTTTAATTGTCTCTTCAAGTGCTGCCTTTACCATTAAAGGTTCAGGCTGTCCAAGTCCATATCCACCAACAAAAGGATTTGATGTCAACAAGGTAAGTTAATTGTTCACCTTGACTATCCAAATTTACTGATTGTGATTGTGATTCTAATTATCCTTTTAGTATCTTGGTAATTGGTATGAAATTGAACGATCACAAACTCCCCACGAAGATGGAGTAAGATGTAACACTGCTAATTATGTTCTTAATTCAGTTGGTGGAATCAACATTACCAATTCTGGAATCGATAATACGTAAGTCAATTTAATTTTGATCATAATATCATATTGATTAACTAATTTCTCTCTCCATCAGTGGACATGAAACAGCAATCGCCTTAGTCGCTTCCCAAGTTCGAGCTGATATTCCTAATTACTTTTCCGTCATTCTTGCTCCTCGTAAGTACTATGGATTACAATTGATTATCATTTCCATTGTTTGGAACTAGAAAATCAACTGATTTTAATAACTCTTAATTGTTAATTGTAACCAGAATTACCTCCAGCAACTTATTGGATTGTCGATACCGATTATGAAAACTATTCTGCTGTCGCTTGTTGTTACCAAATCACTCAAGATGTTCAAATTTGTAAGTAAATTAATTGATCAAAGTTACTAATAATTAACTTAATTTCTTTTCAAAATGTTTGATCTTTAATTCAGTCCTTGGATATGTTTTGTCTCGAGAGCGAACCATTGATTCCAGTGTAAGAAGTGCATTGGAAAAAACTTTATACGACATTGGAGTTAATCAAATGTATGAAACTGATCAAACTAATTGTGATTCCATGTAATTAACAATCTGAAATAATAATATTCTGAATAAAATTAATAACTATCAATTCATGTATTCTAATAATTATCCGGAAGTTGTTCAATATTACATCGAGTATCGAAATGGTTGAGGATTAACAAGATTGGATTATCGTTCCAATTTCAGTTTAATTGTATGAATTTTTCTATCTCGGTTGAATAAATCAGTCGGTCGCATCCCAACTAATATGATCAGTAATAATTAATTATTTATTATTATTCTTTTTTCTTTCATCCACTCTTTCTTTTGAAGTAATACAAACTTGATTTTAATTACAAAATTCTAACAAGATTTGTAAAATTAATTAATAATTTGCCTTCTTCCTTTGGTTCCTAAGATTATTTAAACCTTTGAAAATTTTAAATTGGTCATTTAATTATTGTAATGTATCGGGTGACCGAAAATGAGTGAGCATCTCACGAACCTTAAGTTTTGGACTCATGTTTCTATACATTTAAGAAAGTAAATTTGACGCTGAGTCCAAAAATGTTCGGCTTTTTTTATAGAACGCACGGTTCTCGAGAAATCGAGTGGCCTGAAAAGCGAACGGTTGACTTTGGACTCAAAATTTTTGGTCAAAAGTTATACTTTTTTACCCTTTATCTTATATACCTAAGCTCATCATTATCTGAAGTAAGGTTATTGAGATCCAACATGGCCGAAATCAACGAAAATTGCTCTTTAACTTTCCCATTATAAATTTCTCATAGAGAAAATCGCGATTTCGGCCTTTTAATAAGAACCACAGTTGCATTTGAGCTTCGAAAATTTTGAAAAAATTACTCATTTATATTTGATCAATGGCGCTTTCAATGACGTTTGAAACTTTATTCTAGGACCTATCATTCTTGAGATGCTCACTTATTTTCGGTCACCCGATAGTTTTTGATCGACGTTGTTTGGATGTTTGGTTTGGTTGTTTGTATAATTTTCTCAAAATTTGAATTTTCTTATTGTAAATCATTTAACCAGAATAATTGCTCCTAGAAAACAAAAGCCAATCAACAAAAGCCCAAGTCGCCATTAACTTTAACATCTAGGACGCAGCGGACTCCGTTGAACGGACGACAACAGCGACGATTGGAAAATCTAAAATCGCATATAATTACATTGAATTATTCCAATGCATTTATGAATATTTTTTAGATGTGCCTACTAGAATAATTAAACGATTTCGAATTTTCAAATAAGAATCTGTTACTTCCTGAGTCCTCACTCGCTCGCCGTTCGTTGAACCATAGATGTTAAAGTTAATGGTGATTTGGATATTTGGATGATTCCAATACTGATCATCTAATGGACGATAAAATTTTAGTTACGCTGAACTGAACAATCGGGTGAAGATGAACCAATCAAAAGACTATAAATAACAGTATTCACAATATCTAAATTTAATGTAATCATAAACAATTAACATTTGTTGTTTCTCTAATCTAATAAATCATCACAATTGTGCTAAGATATTGAATCTGATCAATTATCATTTTTCACTGGAATTGAGTTATCATGGGAGGGAGATTACGATTCAATCGCAATTGGCAATTTGATTAGTTCTTAGTTGTTGATTAGTTGATTTTTCAAGTGGAAATTAATAATATTCAATTTCAAAAATGAGAACAAGTTTCGATCATATTTAGTTCTTCGATTAGTTGTATATAAGCAATTGCATTTCGATGGAAAAAACCACCAACCAATTGACTGTTAATTAGTGAAAGTCAATCAGTAGTTAATTAAAGAATTAAAAATGAAAGTTATCGCCGTTGTACTTTTAATTGTCTCTTCAAGTTTCGCCCTTATAATTAAAGGTCCAGGTTGTCCGAGTCCATACCCACCTAAAAAAGGATTTAAGGTTAACAAGGTAAGTTAATTGTTAACCTTGACTATCCAAATTTACTAATTGTGATTGCGGTTCTAATTATCCTTTTAGTATCTTGGTAATTGGTATGAAATTGAACGATCACAAACTCCCCACGAAGATGGAGTAAGATGTAACACTGCTAATTATGTTCTTAATTCAGTTGGTGGAATCAACATTACCAATTCTGGAATCGATAATACGTAAGTCAATTTAATTGTGATCATAATATCATATTGATTAACTAATTTCTCTCTCCATCAGTGGACATGAAACAGCAACAACTTTAATCGCTACTCAAATTCTGCCAAATATTCCTAATTACTTTGCCGTTTTTCTAGATCCTCGTAAGTACCAATAAATATTTATATTAATATTTTCGTTTAAAAATCAACTCAAATTAATCACTGATAATTGTTAATTGTAATTAGAATTACCTCCAGCATCTTATTGGATTGTCGATACTGATTATGAAAACTATGCTGCTGTCGCTTGTTGTTATCAAATTTCTCAATATGTTCAAGTTTGTAAGTAAATTAATTGATCAAAGTTTCATTAGCTAACAATTAACTTAATTTCTTTTCAAAATCTTTCATCTTTCACAATTAATTCAGTCCTTGGATATGTTTTATCTCGAGAGCGAACCATTGATTCCAGTGTAAGAAGTGCATTGGAAAAAACTTTATACGACATTGGAGTTAATCAAATGTATGAAACTGATCAAACTAATTGTGATTCCATGTAATTAACAATCTGAAATAATAATATTCTGAATAAAATTAATAACTATCAATTCATGTATTCTAATAATTATCCGGAAGTTGTTCAATATTACATCGAGTATTGAAATGGTTGAGGATTAACAAGATTGGATTATCGTTCCAATCTCAGTTTAATTGTTTTGTGTTTTAGGAGATTTTCAAATGATTTACAATTGAGGACGAAATGTTGGTGTACAATCTATGCTTGCATTACGGGCTTTTGGATCTTCGATTCGAGATTATTTGTACTCGAATAACCAGTTCCGCCTCTTTGAAGTGGAATAATATCTTTATCCTTAAGAGGTTTTCCATTGGTTGGATCAATCATATCTTTTCGAATAATTTTCACAATACAATCCATGGTTACAACACTTCCCCTGAAAAAGAAAATCAAACATTAAAATCACCGGTGAAAAATAGAAGACCATAATTGCTATCGACAAGAAACTCACGATGTTCTGAGAACGGCACATGGAACAGAATTACCGAGAACATCTCGAGTTACCGGACATAAATATCGCTCCTGAAAAGAAAAAGATGAGAAAATGAATGATCACAAATTCGAATTGAATTTTCTATTTTCTTAATCATTTTACCTGTTTGGTGATCAGTTGTTCTCGAGTTAAATTAGGGTCAACTGGAATAAATTTAACTGGAATTAGATCCTTGGCTTTCAATGGTTTACCGCTCATTGGACAGGTAATTGTTGTGTCTGGTGGTTTAACTGATTCTTTACCTTCATCTTTGGGTGTTAACGATGGAATCCAAAAGCTTGGTAACTTTTTCTCTAAACCAGCGGCCATATTGGAAACGGATTTCTCTTCTGATGTTCCAGGTTGATTTAAATCTCTTTTAGGATTAGATTTGTTTGGATTGATTAAACCTCTTTCCATGTTGATGAATTTCTCAGCCTTTGTTTGCTCTTCGGCGTCGGCAAGTTCAGCCATTTCCATTTCTTGGCGTTTCCTTTCCTTCTCATATTGTTTCAATTTCCGAGCATTTTCAGCCTTCTTATGGATTATATATTCCAAAATGGCTTCTTTGTCAAATAAATATCCATTTGGGCTGATATAGAAAAGGTAAACAAAGCAAAAAAGGGAAGACAGCAAAAAAATTTCGTAAAATGGTAAGACTTAAAGAAATATCTTGACGATTGAAATTTGGATTTTCAGGCCTTACGTGACAACTGGATTTCGACAGGGTTGTAGTGTCAAACAACAAGCATCGAAATCACCAATTGAGTCCTTAGCTAATCGCTCTCGGATTGTTCCATACCCACTGTTCGCCGTGTCTCTTTGCCGTTCATGGTAAGTGTAACAGGCAGAGGCTGTGTTGTTCCTCGCATGTCGAGTCATCTAATTAACTATAATATGTAGAAAAAGGTCCAAATTAAATAAGAAGAGAAGGCGAATTATCGAGAAAAAAAAGTTCTATTTGATGATATGATCCGTCGGTGATAAAATTCCGACAAATTGTTGATGAATAAGATAGACCAAGATTAAGAATAAAAATGAAGCAGCAACGAGCAACCAAAAGAAAACAATATGATCAGACATTGATGTTATTCTTAATCATTTGCAATCAAACCAAACAAACACACAGATAAACAATTAAATTAATTGAGAAAATTGTAAAAAAGAAGAAAAAACAAAACAATCAAATGAAATCAAAAGAGTCAATTGGATTGAAAATTTTTCTTCAACTTCAGCTGTTTGAATTGCGAGGGAAAAATAACCAAATTCAAATGGAAACAATTAATTTGATTCTAATTGTTGGAGAATGATGAAAGATGAACTAATGAGAAATGTGATTACGATGATTTTTAACATTTGATGTGAACTTTGTGCCAAAAGATTAACAATCGAATCGAGGAAATTTGATCAATAATTTAAAATGAGTTGGAATTTAAAATCGTTACTTAATCGTTTTGAATATTGATCAGGTATTGATTGTTACTTGGTTACAATTAACTGTTTAAGATTATTGGTAAGGTGATTTTCTTTATTGATTTAGATATGATTCTTAAATTGTGTTTACTCTTAATTGTTGTTATGTTTCCGTTCTTCGGGATTCCGGTCATTATTTTCGTTTGTACTGTTCTGGCCTTCGTCCTTTGGCAGTTCACGATTTTCTGTCGGACTGTCCGACTCGTGATTCGAGTGACAAAATTGTTACTTTGGATTATTCTAGTTCCTTGTATTTTAATTTATTCATATAATTGGTGCTTATCCATTTTCTCAGTGAAAAATGACCAAACTGACCAACCAAGTGACCAACAAGAGCTTCTTGATGATATCTTTTTATATGATCTTTAGTGGACTGACAATTAGTTAATTGTATTCACTGATAAAGGAATAAAACAAAAATTTAACTAATCATTTGAATATCAATTTGATCTCGTGTGTGTAAACTAATCCACTTTATCAATTAAGATGGTTAATTAATTGATCTTAAATGTCACAAATATCGACAGTTAATTATTTCTGGTTAATGACAGTGGATTTAATTGATAACAGTAATTAACTAGACATTTATTTTACAGTTTCCATTTTATCAATATAAATTGTCATTCGAGACTCTGAATGGCCATGTAAATAAATCTTTAATTGTAAAGACAATTAACTTTAATTCTGTTGAAATTATTAGACTAATCAATCTATGAAGACAATGTAATTATAATCAACTTTTCCAATCAATTGATTAATCGTTTTGTAATTTACAAAATGATAATAGAATGAGAAACAATATCAAACTAAATTGCAGCTGATTGATTGTTCCAATTGTTAATTGGTTGAAATAAATAAACAACAATTAATTACAAGTCATCAAAGTTGATTAGTTGATTAGTTGATTACTTCACCTGAAAACTCATTGTGAAAACTTACAAAAATGTTCACTACTACAATTGAATTAGTTAATCGTCGTGAATTTTTAGTCTTTCAATATCTTACTAATCTATTAATTAGAATAATTATCAATCAATTGCAATTCGGTTGACAATTAAATAAAAGCTCTCGAAGTGTTTCATTCTGATTGTTCAACTTTTCCCGGTGAATATTTTGAAAGAATCTAAAAGAACCTCAACCAGATGGAGCCACTGAAATCGCGCTTCCCGATTGGTTGGAATGAAAATTGATCGAAAGTATTGTACTCGAAAAATAGTATCGATATTATCGTGCAAGTGAGTGTTACTTGGAATTTACTGATTGAATTAATTATGTGGAGAACATTGGATGGCAATTAAAGGAATCTCAAACCATTGAAATTCTCGAACTGAACTTGTTTCGCTCTCCGTTGAACGAGGTGGAAACATCGAAAGCTCCATCACAAAGTATCGAGTATCGAAGATGGAGTATCGATACTCAAGAGTAAAGTATCTCTGGTTTTCTCAATCTCATTCTGGTTCTTTGGTTATAATTCACAATTGAATTGAATTGTTCTTCATTTGTTTAATTAAATTAAATTTCTAATTCCAACATCATCATGGCTTTGACAAATTCTGTAAAAGGAGACGAGGTAAGTCACAGTTTAATTTAATCAATTGGAATTCTATTTATTCCCTCGATTCGCAAGTTTGACATTTTATTTGTATTCATGCTTCTCTCATTTTCTTTTCCCTCTCTGCCTTTCATTTCTATTTTTTCTATCTTTTCTATGTGTCTCTGTCTTTTTTTTACTGTTCCTCTTACTCGCTCCTATCTCTTCATCTTTCTCGTTCTCTGTGTCTCTCTCTTTCTCTCTCATGGTTATTTTATTCTTTTTTCTTTTTCCCTTTGCCTGTTCTTCATGTTATTTTTTCTTTCATTTTTTATTTTCGCCCGTTGTAATTTGAATTTTTATTCTTGGATATTTTTTGTTATTTCAACAATAGATTGAAAAGCAAGACAATGAGGTTTCTAATGAGAAACCTGTTGATGTGGTAGAACCAGTTCGAAGTCGAACAAGTCAAAGGAAAGCGGCCACTGCTGCTGTTAATGCTATGAAAGAACAAGCTTTAGGCGCAAAGAAGGCTGAAAATGAGGAATATGATGGTAAACCCAAGAGAGGTGGTCGAGGAAAACCAAAAGCAAACAGTGAAAAGAGTAGCGCCAAAACTGAACGAAAAAGAGCTGCGTCAACTGATGATGAAGAAGAAGAAGAACAATCTAAAAGTAAACGAGGTCGACCAAAGGCTAAACCAGCGCCCAAAAAGAAAGCAGCATCAGCCCCAACAGCTCGAAGAGCTGGTAGACCAAGTAAAAAAGCAGCCAAAGAAGACGCGGTAAAAGAGTCAGAGGAAGAAAATAAAGACGATGATAAAGCTCAAGACAAAGAAGATGAATGAGGAGAAGATTAATATTAACTGATTAACTTCATCTTTTCTCAAGTCATAACAAACATCAGCCATTGAAATTTTCATCTCTCATCTTCGGAGCTTTTTTTTCTTTTCTCTTTCAATCCATCTTTTTTAACCCTCAACCTCTTCATTAGAGAAAATCACATTCACCTTATTTCTCATTTTCTTTCGGAAACCAGACTCTTCATACTTTTAACTTATACGTCTCATCAGTGACATGAGAGCCAATTTCGACACTTATCCATTTAATTATCCACATTCTTCTCATGTCTCTTTCTAACTGGATTAACTTGATAATTATCACCAAATTCTGCAGATTTTCCTCATTTCTATTTAAAATTAACCTTAAACAGTACATTCAAAGCCAAACCATCTCACCAAAAGTAGACAACACAACAACATTCAAAATCAAATTGTACCTTTAATTTTTCCCCATTTTCGCCTGTTAATCAAATTGGACCTTTTCTTTCTTGTAAATTATTATCAACCAGTTATAATTACAAAATTAAAAGATCTGGTATCTTCTTACACTTTGACTACTTTCAAATTTAATTAACCCAAACCACTTGACTTTCTCACAAGCAACGATATCTAATAGACAATCAGCTCACAATTAATATCTAATTAGATTATCTGATCAACTTGTTTTCTTATTTTCTTACATTCATCTTATTCGATATCCAGTTAGATATTTTTTAATTGTTCCAAAGAAAAACAGTTAACGATTTAAATCTAATCGAAATCAAATTGGTTCAACTCTTCCAATGGCAAAAGTTTTCCAACTTTTCTCGGCATCGAATCAGAATTGGCTTGAGATTTTCGAGAAATTATTTTAATTGTTTTTTCTCTATTGATTGAGTTGGAAATTGGTGTTAGACTTAATTGTAAATGAGAACAGGATCAAAAAGAGATTAACAAACTGAATTAAAGATTTTTGATCAATTCTCGATTCTCTAATTTGATTAGTAACATATCACCGATCTCATTTAACAAGTTGTTAATTAGGATCTTTCATCATTCTAGGAAGACCATAATTAATTAACGGAAGTGATGGAATATTGTTTATCCCAATTCCAGGCTTATTATTGATTCGTCCCGATCGACTTTCGTTGTTAATCTCATTTCGATCATCATTCTCATCATCACTCGAAGCATTTTGTTTACGTATCTTATTGGTTCGAGTTAAAAGTAAATTGTCATCTTGATCATCTTTGTGATCACCTAACAGATCATATCGATAGTGGTTATGACGTTCGGGTTTCGAATGTCAAAATGAAGCTATTGGCCATTAAATGAATGATTCTGCTGAGAAATTAGAAATATTATCTGAATGTAATCAGAAACTCTCAACTAACAATTCAGTTGTGGAATAATAATTAAAAGATGTGTTATAATTATCGCACACATGATAGAATTTTGATTAGAATTAACAAAAATCATGTAGAATAATTTGTAGCGGTAATTTGACGGAAGACAGAAAATTGAAACTTTTTGAGGTTATAATCATGTGTTTATAGTGATTGAATAACGGAACATGATTACAGTTAGAAATTAGTCAATAAAAATTAAGGTCTAGAGTCTCAAACAGTTGATCAGAATTGGAAAACACTGAATGAAGTAAAAAAATGATTGGATTATGATGATTTTCTTGACTTGGATGGTCGCATTGATTTGAATATAATTTACCGAAAATAAACTCTTTGATAGAAAGTAACGAAAAGACTTGATTAGTGAGGAGAAAAGGATCAATTTGGTAAAAATTAGAGACAAGAGATAACAATTATGGCGATAAGAAGAAGGACAATTATGACCCAATAACAGCATGTATCCGATTTACGAGATATCTTGGCGATGTTACGAGTATTCCGAACCAATCGTACATTAGTATCTTCCATGGCATCGGTAATATCATCAAGAATTTCATTGTGAACATCGATTTCAGTTGCAATTCCTGCTGCCATAGACTTTTGTCTAGAAATTATATCGGCCAAAGTGTCCAATCCTTTGTCCTGTTCCCGAATGGCCTGTCTTTGAATAGAAACATAATCATCAACCGATGAACTGGCCGTAGCTTCAACGTCATCGAGCCAATTATTCGTTGAACCTCCAGGTCTATTCCAGGCCATTTTAACTTATCGCGTTTATATTTGAATACAAAACACAAAGACCAAAAAAAAAGTGATCAGCTGATCTTTAACAACTTCAACAACAGATACTTTGATTACTCCAAAACTGTCAGTATGGGAGACAATTCAACACCATGCAAAGCATTTCAATTATTCACCTATCAACACAAATTGGATATAAATTGATAAGAATTAATCATAACAATTAAAGGTAGAAAAAAATTTCTGACAAAGACAAAAAAACTCACCTAATGTCACATAAACAAACCTCTTTATCAACCACAATTGTTACAAACAGTTATGAGACTTTATTGTTACTCGTATTAAGAAACTTTGATTAATATAAAATGTCCATTAACAAATAAAAATTAATCAAAATAAGAGCAAAGAAATGATTAAGAAATTGATTAAAAAAATTCTCAAAGTAAAAAGTAAACAAAAGTGATCGATTTGATCAGATAATCTCAGACAGAGAAGAAGAAAGAGAAAAGGTAAGGGAAATTATTTCTCTTTCGCATTTGTTGGCGCGAAATTCATTCAGCCCGAAGCGCTTGATTGTCTCACAATTAACGATATCTATTCAGTTTTATTGTCATTCTGGTAATGAATCGTAAATTTTTGTTACAATCATTTGATTAAACAAACAGAAATATTAATCAACTTGAGTTTTATTATCGTTATGATTTGGTGAATACTTTTGCAATTGTGATGGTTGACCATTTAATTGATCATATTTCAGTTGATTAAAATGACCATCATTGTCTGGATCGTAATCATAAGTAAATTGTTAAGATACATTTCGCCCCTTGGGACAATTTTCTTAATTATTACAATCAAAGAGTAATTGCTCCTTACTCTTTGTTACAATTATCATTAATGTAATGAGAAACTTTTGTAATTGAGTTAATTATCCTTCTCATTTCTTTCGGTGCTAAGTTCAAAAGTCGAAAGCTATAATTGATCCTCGCTCTATCGTTGTCGATACTCATTTTGCAACTGGTACTTCATCCCCGTAGAGGCCTAACTGAGGTCTTGGGCAATCTTTTCGAGCTCTCGATTCCCGTCACAAATTTTCAAACCTTCACGAACGATAATCACGGCATTAGCTTATCGAACATTTAATTACATCTGAATACTAATTCTATTAGATTTCGTTTCTAAAAAGTCAATCGAATGAAAATTTGTGTCATAATTTTGACGCGCAGATTTGAACCACGAATCTAATCTGAGTCAAGATTATGTTCAATCATGGAAAACGAGTCAATTAGGTTTCAATTTACCTTTAGGCAATTTATTAATTGTGTATGTTTATTCAGTCTTATTGATGTTCAGGCAATGATTCACAAATTGTTGTTGCAATCATTTGATTAAACAGTTTTTGTTACATTTGTTTGTTATGCTAATTGTTTGAGTTTTTTTTTCTTGCAAACAAAAAGGTTTTGGAATAAAAAAATTGATTGATGAGAATCAAATGACAATGACAATTATAAATATAATGATTTAAACTATCGTTTGAGATGAAGTTATAATGATGATTAGAATGAATTTGTTTTAGACCTTAGATTTCCGTTAAGCTAATTGTTAAATTACTTCAACTTGATTGGCACATTGATGAACATTTCTTGGTGAGTATGATGATAAATCACAATTTTGGTGATTAAAAGGGAAGATGATGATCAAGTGATTCTGTACAAAGTATTAATATGATCAACTTAATCAACTTGAGTTTTATTATCGTTATGATTTGGTGAATACTTTTGCTCCTCCAGTTGTGATGGTTGACCATTTAATTTACCATATTCCAGTTGATTAAAATGATCATCATTATCTGGGTCATAATTGTTCATCAGTAAATTATTACAATTAGCTGTTGTATTTGATTCTGAAAGACAGTTGAGTAAATTATTTGCTCTATTATCGTTACTAATTGCAACCAATTGCTTATTTAATTGAGGTCCATCTCCTAATTGTCCACCAAGAGATGATTGATTTGCATACGGTAAATTGTTATCATTAAAATAATTAATCTCGAAATCACTTGAAGCCTCACAATCATAAACATCTCGGTGATTTAACATTGGACTAGGAATCACGATACAATTATGTTGATCTGGTTCTTGTTGTTGGAGTTGTTGTTGATTGTTTTCCGAATCAGATTGATAATTATTTTCAAAACATTGATCACATTCATTGAAAATCCTTGAACTTGCTCGTGAAGATAAACTTGTATCATCAATGTCACCTTCATTTCCAGCATCATTACAAACTGAATTAGCGTCACTCATGATTCCAGGGCCATCATTAATTACCGGAAGTGATGGAATATTGTTTATCCCAATTCCAGGCTTATTATTGATTCGTCCCAATCGACGTCCATTGTTAATCTCATTTCGATCATCATTCTCATCATCAGCATCACTCGCTGCTTCAGCATTTTGTTTACGTATCTCATTGGTTCGAGTTAAAAGTAAATTGTCAACTTGTCGTAAATGATTATCATCATCTTCATCATCTCCTTCACATTCATCTCCAAGATCAATATTACAATTAACGTTCGCCCTATTTTCTGATTCGTCAACATCAAGTCCTGGCTCATCATCTGGAGCTTCATCTTCATCAATTTCACCACTTTCGTTATCACTAACGACATTTTCTCCTTGAGTCTTCTCCTCATCATCAACATCAAATTCAGTCTCTTGATGGGCATCAAGGGCAGAAGTAAATTCAGAATCTAATAATTCCAATTCTGATTCTTTGGTAGTTAAATTTGATGTTCGAGAGGCTGTATTATCATCTTCATTGCCAAGTGTCCGGTCACTTCTTGAATTTGAATTATCATCTTCCTGGTATTGATGATTAACCATAAATCGATAAGCCAATGGTTTTCTTATCTTCGGACTCGAATCAAGATTAATTAGCTCACTTTGATACGAATTACTTGTCGTTGAGATGTCATTAAGATCCTCGATTGAAAATTGTTTTTTAACAGCTCCTGATTCCATTAATTTTGGTGAGTTAACTGGAGAGTTGATTAAACTATCAACATTGAATGATTTACCCTTTTCTCCAATATAATTAACAGAATAAAGTGATTTCTCTGGCATATGATGAGTTAAATGTTCAAATAAATCAGGTTTAATCATTTGGGCAACAATTTGTGAATGTCCGTCAGGTTGATTAGTAAATCCAACAGCTCCAGATTCAGATAAATTGTAATCATCATCACCATCCTCTTTATTATTATATTCAGGTGAATGATGGTCAATTAATGGACTTAAATCTCTAGCATTATGATGAGATTTTGATGAACTTGGCTCATCAAAATAATCAAATGAATGCATCTTTGGACGATTTGATTTAACACTATTATCAAAATGGTTACTAGCGATCGGCTTATTGGTACTTTTGAAATCAGGTAAAGATCCTTTTCGTAACTTAGATGAGTTTCGTAATTGATAATTGGAGCCTTCGGAATTGACCTTAGAAATTGGATTTGGTTTAGCATAACCGATATTATTATCTAATCCATATTCATCTGACTCTAAATCATTTTCCTCATTGTCGGTATCGGTAACGGTATCGTTAGGGTTCATCTCGTGGCTCGAATATTTTTTCCCCAGCAAAGGTGCTAGTCCATCTTTCTTATCGTTTTTCCATAGACTGGACACTCCACCGACTGCAGTTCCAGTTCGACGATTGTCTGATCTTTTATTAGCTTTCGATCGACGTCTACCACTATTTGTATTTAATTCTTTTGATGGTCGAGATGATTTAGAATCATGAAGAGAACCAGTAAAATCAAGTGAATTTCTCGGATGATGATTTGATTGTTGATGATGATGATTATGATGATAATGGTTTGGGTGTTGTTGGGAATGCTGTTGATGATGACGAGAATGACTTGATACAAGAAACGAAGGGTCAGTTTGACATGAAGAATCCATCCTAGGTTTAGAATTGAAAGAAATTGATTGAGATGGATTACAATCAATTGAATATGAAGATTCGTCTCGAGTTAATCTTCCAGTTTCATCATCTTCGTAATCATAATCATCTACATCTATTTCCTCTCCTTCATGAGCATTGATTTCTTGCCGATTAACATCATTGGGATAAACCCATTTCAAGTTACTCGAATCATTAGAAAGGCGATTATTGGAAGGATTTACATCTTCTTCATCGCTACAATTAGTAGTACAATGTTCAGAATCATCTGGATTATCACCTCGATTAAATAAACTTGAAGAAGGAGATGAAGAGGGAGATAATGAAGTCTCAGATGAAGATGAGGAAGATGATATCTGATAAAATGAAGATCCATCACCGGAAGATGGACGAGCAAAAGGTTTATGGTTGTGTAATGACAATTCATTTGGCATGTTAATTATTGTCACATCGGGTTTTTCACCCTGAAGACGATTTGGATTAAGTAAATTAAGTTCTGTTAAGTCAAATGAGTCCCCATAGGTTTGATTGTGAATTGTTGTTGTGTTAAGTTTTCTGGCCGATTGGGAAGATGAACCATTTGATGATGGATGATGATGATTAGAAGATGTGGTTGGAACATTTTTCGAAGACGATGGTCCAATATCAATAGAGTGTCTTTGTTGATTTTCCCACAAATTTGGGTGAGTTTTGAGCATTGGAGATGAAGTTTCAGATGAAATCATATCACTTTTAGGAGATTCTTCAATTGTGGGTGGAAGATTAGGTAAAGGCCTTTTAAATAGACTGAGATTAGCCTTGGTTCGGTTAATTAGTTCTTGATTAAGATTCGCTATAGCGGCAAATTGTAGAGAATCAATTTCATCCATGGACGATGTAGATGCACCTTGTAGCTGTTGTTGACTTTGTTTCCTTGAATTAGAGTTGCTATTATTTTCAATTGAGTATTTTCCTGATTGTCCACCGGGTAACAACATTTTCGCTTGAGTATTAACATCATTATTTCCTTGTTGTTGATCATCTGAACCCCCGGTTCCGACCAGTGGACGTGGACCATTGGATTGATTTATTGATTCATGTCCATTGAATCCATGTCGCCCTGATTTAATTGCTCTGGACATTGAACCATTTTCACTAGTCTCTCGTCCACTACTTGAATTATTATTGTTATTATTATTATTGGTACCCGAACCATTTTCATTATCAAAATTAGACACCTGAGGAAGGTAATTGGCTCGACCATTGTAACCAAATCGTTGACGGTCAATCAAAAAGTATGTGGTCATTTCGCCTTTTCCTTTAACATTAACAGTTCCACGACATTGAAAGGTGTAAGGATAATCTTTAAGTAACATGTAAACATCCTCAGTACATTGAGTGTGATTAGGTAAACTTGTTGAATCCATACGACTTGCGACATTAACTGTATTACCCCAAATATCATATTGAGGTTTTCGAGCTCCAATAACACCGGCCACAACTGGGCCAACATTGAGACCCACTCGAAGCATAAAATTATTATATGAGTTTTCATTAATATCCTTAAGTTTATCTTTCATGTCGAAAACAACATCAACTAATAGGCTCATGTATTCAGCGGCAATCGCATCATCTTTATCAGGTATTCGGTGTTCAGGTATCAGACCAACGGCGGCCATATAAGTAGAACCAACAGTTTTAATCTTGTCAATACTTCGATAAGAATCTTTTTTCAATATCTAAATCGAAAGCAGAGAGAAAAAAAATCGAGGATAGGAAATTCAATTAGTTTTATTTCATTTTATTACTATTATTTTCTCATTAGGAAAACAATGAACATAAAAGACGGAAGATAAATGATGATAAATTGTCAACAAACCTCATCAAAATCAGCAATAATCTCATTGAGTAAACGAAGGCACTCAACCCCTTGATTATTTCCATCCATTTCAACGTAAAACTCATGAAAATTGGGAATCGATGCAAACATAACTCCTATTTTATTATATGAATGACTATAAAGCTCCTGTTGGAAATTGATCACAAAATTATATTAAATAAATTGTCCAGTGATAATTGAATAATTTAATTATCTTACCATATTATTACGTAATTGATTATCAAGAAAATGAGTAGCCACATGAGCAGGTAATAAATTGAATAAAATCCGTCGATTGCTATCTTGTAATTCATGCATTTCAATTTTTTCCTCATTAGCCTGTGATAAAAATCAAGGAAATTAAGATAATTAGTAAACAAGACTTTTCTACCTTTAATTGAGTAACAATTAACGCTGATTTACCTGAGCATTCCAGAGGAAATCAAGTCTTGATGTCCACTCAACTTGTCGCCCATGAATAAGAACAGCAATTGAAAAGATAATAATCACAACGATACCAACAATATCCATGGGTATGATTGATCTGAAAACGATAAACAATTAGTACTAATTAAAAGAAAATCTTCCAAAAGATTAATGCAATTAAACATGGCCAGTTAATCATGTATTTATCTCTGATAAATCTTTGTCTCAACAATTGATAATCAATATTCAATTGATTATATTATATTATATTTCAACCAATAAACTAATCATTGAAATAAACTCATTAGCTTGTGAATGATGGTAACAATCAATGAATATATATAATTATAATCAATATAAAGTGATTTATAATCAAAAGTGAATTAAATCAACGGTGAGAAAATCAAATAAGTTATAATCATTTGATGAATCAAATAGATAAAAGTTTTAATTCAACTGAATGAAAATTAATTTTCCAGTGAGAGAAATTATTTCCTATGGAAATGATAATAATCATCTCAATAAAAAAAACTACGATGAAACTTGTCGATAAGATGAATATTATTATAATCAATTTAAATAATATACTTTTCCAATGATAAAATCTCAAATTCTCAGATGATACCTGAAAAGTTCAATAGTTAACTGATGAGACAATTTAAATTGCTATTAAACATGTTTCAAGTAATTATGTTAATCAATTCATGTATCATATCAAATTAAATTATATTAACAGGAGATTTTTAAATTTTAATTGAAAAACCAATACAAGCTTAACTGTTCATCTCATCAAGTGAAATAGATTGAGAAAAAAAAGTAAAAGAGAGAGGGAGAGGGAGAGAGGATAAGATGATGAACTTGATGATAAAAAAGAGGATGATGATGATGATGATGATGATGAAGATAAAGATGCTCTGACATATGAAAACTGCAAGATAAGTAAGAGAAACTTAAAGAAAGACAATTTTTGGAGTATTTGATTTCACTTTGAGAGCTAATATTAGGTATAAATACAAAGAGGTTTAGTTTGGCTCATCAACATCATCTCCATCTCCATCCTCATCTTCATGATAGAGAGTAAAATGATGAAAGGAAAAACAGGAAAGTCATAGGAATGATAACATTTCTCCCTCTTCCTTTAATCTTAATTCAGTTTACTCATAGAATCACAAATTCGTAAATGAAATTTTCACCAAAAAGGAAACCATAACATGATAAAAACATGAAGAGAGAAAACTGAACAACAACAAATTGAATCTTTTCAAAAGTAACAACATGTAAATCTGAATACAGATAAGAATTAGATATAAGATTAATTAACGAAAACCAACCTCAAGATCATTATCGTTCATAATTAACGTGCTTCTATTATTATAGTTACTCACCCAACCCTTAAATCGTAACAAGTGAATAACTGAGTGTGAGTTAATTCAATTACTAATAAGAAAACAGCAGCCATTGGAATTATCAATGCTCCTTTAAGTAGAACTGGAAGTCTTAGGAATACAACCAATGGTAGAAATGCAATAACACAGCTTAGAACAATATATTGGGGGAGAGGGCAGATTCGATGATCTTGCATAAATGGCTTAGGAATTGCGATCGTTGAGTTGATATCACATCGAGGCTCCTCTAGACAGGAAAACTGTAATAAAGAAAGAGAGAGAATAACAATTAATAGAATTGAATCAAATTTAATTTGATAAAATGTTAACTCAATGCGATAACATTAACACAGAACAACAACAAATCCAATAAACATTTCGACAAAAGTAAATGTTAAACTTATTGTGATGTGAGAAAAACAAAGTTAATTTAATCATTTGAGTTGATCTATCATCTTGGATACAATTTACTTTTGGGTTAATGATTAGTGATTGATTTAATTATGATTACTGTTCAATTGCTTACCACATTAACTTGTGCAACAGCGTAAATTATCACAACGGTAAATATCATGATTCCCAATCTCATTAGGAAATATTTGGCTATATCTTTTCGCATACACTGGTAAATAGAAAATAATTTGATTAATTAACTAATTAGTTAATCATGACTTATGACAATTAGAGGTGATAATCAATATACTTTACCCTTAATCGTGCAGCCAACATCATAATTAATAAAGTTGCGAGCCAAATGAAGGCAGCAACAAATAGGAAAATCAACATTACGGTTCTGTGTGTATTGGAAAAAAAAGAAACAAAAAATTTTCATCAGTAATTAATCAATTAAACTTTGCAATAAGTCAAACAATTAACTTTTATGTACAAAAACATCACATTATTAAAGTTTAAAATTGATTGGTAATCAATAGATAAATCAACAATTTATTTAAATATCAGATAAATCAAAGTTTGGTTATTATGTAAACATGAGAAACAGTTTTTTCATGTAGGTGAAAATGACAATCAGTAAATTGTCAAGGTAAAATAAACCAGTGTAATTAAATGAAACAATTTAACATTGTCTCAATATCTCATAATCATCTAGGATTCAATTAACAATGTTATATGAAGGACAGGATATTGTAAATGATAATAACAGCTCCAAGGTGTGTCGAGTTAATCAATCAAGTTGAAATTAACAATTTCAATCAACCTTTGACTCTTTGCATTGTCACGCCGATGATCAACTAATCATGATTAGTTAATGAAAAAAAAAGGTAAACCAAAATGAAAAAGACTTCACCCAAACACCGTGAGGTTACCATGGGTTTGGTGCAATAAACAGGATAACATGTAACAGTAAATGAAACATTGAATTAGACGTGATAAGTTGAGTCTGAGTTAGATGATAACTTTACCATGATGAGAAAAAGAGAGAGAGAGAGATGATAATGACAATAAAATGTAGCTCATTTTGTCTGAAATTGGCAAAAAATACACAAAAAATGCAATTCGTGACATGGAATCGCTGATGGATTCAATCTGAACATTTCTGCTTACTTACACTTCCATCTTATTACATCACTTAACCATCACTTGCTGATCAAAGTTATTTCACCAAAAACCTTTGGACATTATGAAATAGAATCAAGAAACATGAACCTAATCTGAATCAAAATCAATATATTGATGGATATTCAGTAAATAATAGTCCCAATCCCCATGAAATCAACAGAAAACGAGCAAACAATAACCCAACACCATGAGAATAAAATAATATTCACCTTACCCTGAAAATTTCATGAAAAACCAAAGAAAATAACAATTGATATCCTCCACAAATTAAGATGGATAAAGTTGTGATGATTGAAATGAATTTAAATCCATCATCATACAATATGAATACTACTGTTTACATATGCATTACATTTAGGCAAAGTAATCAATTAACTATTATGCGTTCAGATTAGTTTAACATTTTGCTTATAACATAATATTTTCATATTTAATCATTTTAATTTAATATCTATTTCAGAATTTTAAATATCAAGTGAAAATAAATCTACCCTTTCTTTTTGACATGGAAAAGATTTGAGTCCCTAGTGAACTTCATGATAATGTACTGAACATTATTCTATGAAAGATTAATGTCAGAAATTCAATCAAATTCGAGTGAATGTAAATGTAACTGTATTATGAGAATCATAATCATCATGATTATGAGACGTTTATCTTTATCAACAAGGATAAAAAAGGATCAATGATATTATGTGTTTATAGTGATTATTAATTTCCTCTGATTGTAGTTGATTAAATGGAAGAAGAGTTTTCTTTTTAAGCCCAAAATTTCAATCAAATTAAGATGAATTCATGATGTAAACAAGAATCACATTTCCAAAGAGGATGTGACTATATCGCCTACGCAAGGTAAACCAGGTAAAACTATCGAGGGATGGACAGAGGTCAGTTACATGTAATTTATTACAATTTTGGTTAGTTGAGATGAAGATGAAAATGATAACTGATGAAAAAATGGCTCTTTTTTTGTCTTTACCTTGCAAGTGAAGTTTTTACCTTAGAATCAGAAATAATCAGGCCAACAATCAATCAAACTGTGGGCTAATTTTTCGTTGAATCTGATGAAAATTTCATCATTCTGATGATTGATCAACATGAATAAACGGTTGATAATGATGATATTAAAGTCAAGAGAGGAAGAAGAAAAAAAAGTTTGACAAAATGTTGATAAATTCAGGAAACCAGAGGGAGAGGGAGGGTCATGGTGGGTGGAGATAAAAGTATTCATGAAATATGAATAATTATGGATAATTGAACTCGAAAAGAGAAAAATTCAAAAGTTAATTGGTAATTCATGAGACCACACTAACCTAGTGTGATAATTATCTGATTAAATTATCAATTATAATTATAATTAAAATCAAGAGGTTATGATGCTATTGATTGTTTTACAAAGTTTCTTTGGGAGATTTTCAATTGGAAGATGAATCCTCATCTCTAAATCATCTGATGGAAGAAACTAATTTCAAGAATGAGCAACTATCTCCACTCTTAATGGTAACTTGAACAATTAGTTAATCATTTATATGTTCAATTTGTATTGCTCAACAAGGAATGAAATTGAAACACAGGATAAGAAATACAACAAAAAAAAGACAATAGTAACAATCGAGACAATTATTGTTACCATTAATATACCAACATGAACACAGAGGGAAAAGTCAATCAATCAATGAGATAATTTAATGATTGTCCTGTAGATGAAGATGACCAAGAGAGAGATGGTCAAGTTTAATATTAATAGTCAACAATTGTCTCAATAACACTTACTTGGTTGTTTATTTTTTTTTGTTTTTCTTATATTTCAGATGTTGATAATCATTCAAGTATATTGTCGTTACGTTAATTATATCCTTGATAATGATTAATCAACTTGAACAGAGAAGAGGATAATTGTCTGTTACACATTATTAGCATTAAATCATTTGGATTAACAATTAATTAAATGGTATTAATAGATATCAAGTTAATCAACAAATCGCAATCAAGTAATAACAACAATCGCCCACATGAGTATGATTCGGGGAAAAAATCTCAATATTAATCATCTTCATTATAATGATTCAAATGATTAAATTTTAGTTTTTTTTTTGAAGAAAAAAAAATTAAATTCACTTGAGCAATTAAGGTAATACTTGAGTTAACAATTTAAATGACTAACTAATGACAGCTCATCTTATTAAAGGTTGGGCTGTGAATCCATAGACATTGATAATGATGATATTCAACAATTTTCGCCTATTGGTTTTGATCAAATTTGTTGATTGTTCAACAATTAATACTATGCTGGAGTAGGCGTTGTTGTCGTTGTCTAAACATAATATTATCATCGTAATTGTCAGAGTATTCAATCAACAATCAAGGAGAATAGGAGAATAATCAACAATTTCATATTATTATAATTCTAATCATGTTATTTAATTTGATTCTATTGCAATTTATATTGTTTTTATTTCCATGTTTAACTTATAAGAAACGACAAATCGATAATCAAATGAATCTTCAATGGTTCAACAATCAACAACTATTCATCTTATTGTTATCACAATTAACATGTTACTCGAAATTGATTAACATATATAAGAAGGTGACCTTTTCTGTTATCATGATAATAACCATCATCATGATGATGAAAGAAACTAATAAATGATAATAAAAAAAGGATGAAGAGAATGAGGAAAAAGAAAACATCAATGAACATAGAAATCGTTATAATAATATAATGACAACAATGATAATAATGGTGATGAACAACTGCTAATGATAATTACAATCATTATGTTCAAATTCATTTGGTGATTATAAACAAAAACAGGAGAAAATTTGAAAGAAAAAAGTTCTAGAACAATTTTCGTCGTAATCGATTGTGAATATCGTTAAAAATTAACCAACGAAAACCCAACGATTATGATATCAGATTATAAGATTAAAAGATGTTGAGTGAAAGTATATATTAGTTAGTTTAATCATGTTGATTAAAATATTGGATAAAATTGAGTAAATAAAAGATTAACTTTGACTCGGATAATTCATAGTAAGTTAATCAAGTTTATATTCTGTAAATAGTTAGAAGTGAATCTTGTCAACCTTGAAATAATAACATTAAATGATTATCAATATTAATCAATAGGAGATAATTTTCTGTCTCTTTCTCTGTCGAGGAAATTGTTGGATAAAGGAAATACTTCATCTCTATGGTAGTTAAATACAGTAATCATTTCAATTCATCATAATCAGATAGGACTGAGGATAGAATCAGTAACCTCTGTTAATAAAAATGCTCAATCATTTTTAACAAGGGAAAATGATCTTGACTCGAAGCCAAGAAACATAACACAATCATCGTTGATAAATATATTATTATGTTTATTGTAGATGAGGCCAACAATTGAGAATTAATCATCGTCACAACAATATGATTATCATGATAATGATTAACAATTTCTTAACAATTTAAACAAAGCCAAGAAAATAAGAAAGATGGAAAAGATTAAAGACAATTGAACATATCAATTGTTATTATATTTCTCAGTTCGATATATTTTTTTTATTTATCATGCCCAATTGGTGATATTCTTGAGATGATGTTGATAAGAGTTTCAAAGAGATGAGAAAAAAAAGTTTCAAACTGTCTAGTGTTTCAGTTGAATGGTAAATATCAACAAAACAGGTTCGAGGAAATCGATTAAGTCGATTTACTATTTTCTCCACTATTGATAAAATAACAGTTATTTTCTTATATTTGAAGGAAGAGGGTAGAGGGATAAGGTGGGTTGGTGGGGTGGGTTGTGAGGGTGGTAGTGTTGGGTTACTATGTTTCCACCATTTTCCATTGCAATGGGAACAATCAATCTTTATCAACATAGGGAGTAAGTTCATTTGAGGAACTCTTGTAACTTATTCAATTCGAGAGAAGCAAAAATTCAATCACAGAATTCATGTCAATTCAATTCCTTTGGTACGAATTCAAACCAATCATGGATAAAATAAAAGATTGAGATGAGATTGAATTGAGAAACAAAGAGACTGAAAATATTACATGGAAAATGATACAAGGTTGACAAAAATACACACCATCAGAAACAAAGGTAACATTGGGAACCTGTGTCTTCATGATGATTTGAACAAAAGTTCAGTGAGTTAGTATGTATAATCTTTACACACCAGAGATGATAATCCAAAAGGATATATAATGACCATTTAAATTCTAGTCCAGAATTCAGCTCAACTTATCAAATTTCATGTGAAAATCTTGAAACTATTATTTATGAGAGAGAAAAAATAACATAAAAGGAAAATACATTAAAACAGATCAGCTGATTAAATGTATTTTCCTGGTAAATTGCAAACTAATTGTAAAGTTAACTCAACAAGATAATTATTAAAATCATCATGACAATGATCGATTGACCTGAATATTAGTTAATTAGTCAAATTCTGTAAACTCAACGATTGTTTTAGCTAATCATTTAATTATTTAGAGATCTTTCTTGATATAATTATTCACAATTGAACAATTAAATGTAATCAAGTTTCGCTATAAACACTTAATCTGTTTTCATGGATAATTTTGTTTTCATTTATGTTTTATTGTCCATACTTGATGTAACCTTTTCTGATCACCATAGGCCTGGTAATTATTTGAATCATGATCGGACTGTGGTCAATTGTGCAAAGTTTAAACGGGAAGTCAATCAACATTCATGTGTCCTCTCACCATTTAACACTGAAGGACCTTATTTTTTGTCAAGTGATTTACTAAGATCTGATATTACCGATGGTCAAGTTGGTCTTCCATTGAAATTGACAATTAAATTAATCAATTCCAATGATTGTAATCCCCTGGAAAATATGTACGTTCATGTTTGGCAATCAAACGCTCTTGGTGTTTACTCTGGAGTTGAACTTTTCCCGAAAAGTTTACCCATTATTGGACCTGAAGGACCTTTTGGCCCAAATGGACCGGGTGGATTTGGACAACTCAATAATGGTGGTCCCGGGGACAATGGAATGGCTGATTTAGGTCGACCCGCTTCAATTAATAATGAAAGATTCGGTCGAGGTTATCAAATCTCCGATTCCAATGGTCAAGTTACCTTTGAGACGATTGTCCCTGGTTGGTATACTGGACGTTGTTTACATATGCACGTTGAAGTTTTTCACAAAAATACAACCGAGAAAAATGAAATCACTTATGTTGGTCAAATATTTTTTGACCCTAAATTAACCGATCAACTTAAATTAGTTAATTCTTATTCGAGTAACAATCAACCTCTTACCCTTAATGAAGATGATTGGGTTTACAAAAATCATGGAAATGAAACTTTACTCAACTTAATTGATAATGGTAACAGTTTTTCAGGTTCGATTACTTTTGGTATCAATCCTGATTTAATTTCTTAATAAAAGTTTTAATTGTTTTATAATCAATTTGGGCCAATCAATTTTCTAAATCGATAAAGTTTTAGGTTAAAATCTACTTGCTTTTTGAATGACAATTAACTCTTTTCGCTAGTTTACTTAATTAGTCAATTCATCCATCTAACCTCAGGCATAATTAATCTTACTACTTGGGTCAAGGTTGAAAAGATGATAAAATAACGGTAATAATGATGCACTAATTATGATTAGTATTCTTGAGATGATAATTAAAGTAAATATTATCTTGATTAGTTAACAGTTTTAGATGAAAAGTTTACCTGTCATTTATCATGGAAAAATAATGATTATTAATATGTGAACTGAAGGTGAAAGGTTGAAACTTGAAAGTTCTTGAGATTCTGAATCGTGCAAATTGCGTTCAATTTGTGGTGAAAGTATATGAATTAATCCAATATCAATCAAACGATAACTCTCAAAGTATAAACATAAAGTTCTGTGTCAAATATAATGATAACATGATATTAGTTGATATATTGTTAGAATTACCATTAAAAATCAGGATAGAGATGAAAGGTTATCTCAGAAAGAAATGGAATAAGAAAAAAAATTGACAGGTAAGTTTTTCTTATTATATAAAAAGTAACTGTTAGGTGTGTGTTTTACTCAAAGATCCTGATTGTTGAATAAAATTCATTCATAATAATATTTTATTCAAAGGGATAAGATTAATAATCTATTATTATCGTCATGATTACGATTAGTGAGAGTTATTATTATTAATATAAAGAAAATGGAAAACGAATAAGAAGAAAAAACATAGAGAAAACTTGATATTCTGTATCTACGCCTTTTTATTAACCAGAATCGTGATCAGAATTCGGATTAATGGTTAATTTAAATTGATAAAGGTAATTGTATTTTCTGTTACTTTCATTCATCAAATGATTCGATTCATTGGGTTAGACTGGAATACATAAATAAAGGGACATCTTTTTGTTGTGAATGGAAAAAAAAGTTAATTGTGACCATTTAGATGAGCTATTTTTGATTGTTCAGTCTAATTGTTGACGAAAAAAAAAATGTGAATGAGGAGAGTGGGTGTTTTGTTTTGGCCATTTAAATTTGAATTCACTGTCATTCAACTAGTGAAAACTGAACGCACTTAATTCAGTGGTTCAGAGAGGCTACCCCAACATCACCCTCAAACACAATTAGAGTTAATTGTTAACTTGGTATATTAAGTATTGGATTTACTGTTGAGACAAATTTACAGTTCAACTATTTAATTGACTTTTTTCAATTGATTGTCGATTGAAAGTGATGATGGAAATTAATCGATGAAACGTAAACCAATTTACCGGCTAAGATTTTCTGTTTACTTGAGTCGATTAATTTTTTTTTCTCGTTAAATTGTCCTTTAATTACAATTTAGTAATAATGGTTTGCATCATTTTCACAATATATTTATCATTAGATTGTAATTATTGATAATTAAATGTTAGTAAATTTAAATGTAGATGGCTCTTACCAATAGAAACCTCGACTAATCAACTAATAATACCTGTTTATTTGCGTAGTAATTAAAATTAGGTGTTAATTGCTCATAGCAATTTACGATTACTTTGAGAATACAATTAAAGTAATTGTTAGACCGTCAATAAAGTATTGTAATTAGTAAATACACTGTACTTTATGTCACGTTTGTTTTTGTGACGGTTTTAAATATGGCAAATTAAAGTTTAATGGTAATAATTTTATAAAATGTTTAGAAGGGTACACAAGTTAATAATTGATTTATAATTGAGGGTGAACAATAAAGAGATTAAGATATAATAAAGAAGAAGAAAATATAAGAATACGGATTAATAGAAAGAAATTGATGAAAATCAATTGAACACAAATTAAAAGAAAAGAATTGATGAAAATCAATTGAACACAAATTAAAGAAAATTGATGAAAATCAATTGAACACAAATTAAAGAAAGAAGATTAATTAATTAATAAGGTGAACTTGAGTAGTCAAATGAAATTTAACTCTGAGGATTCTAATTGATTTACTTTTGATTTTATACTGATGTCGAATTTTCTTGATCTAATCGATGAAATTGATTCTCATGGGAACTTTATACTAATTGATTTATTTAATTACCCTGTGAATCTTAACTAACTGATTACTATTAAATTGGTTAATTGATTTGATTTCCTGTAATTTTACTGAGTTAACTATTAACGATTTCCGATAATTAATGGTCTAACTTTAATTGTTGTTGTTTCCTAAATTAATTTTCTGATTAACTATTAAATTAATTATTGTATATTCATAATTGATTTTCTAACCTGAGAATTGTAACCTTATTAATTAAGTAACCTTTTACATAAAATATAATATAAAGATAAATAAAGATGACTAATCAGGCTACCTGGTTAGTTCGATGAGGTGATAAAGATTCTAGTAATGAAATTCTGGTGATGAGATTCTGGTGATGAGATTCTGGTGATGAGATTCTGGTGATGATGATGAATTTCAATCAAGTTTAACGGTTGAAGGTTATTAACAATAATTATAATTGAATTAATATGATTTCTGACTATTAAATAACTGGGATTCTTGTAGTTAAGACTCGATGGCTGAGATTCAATGGCTGAGATTCAATTGATTAAGATTAGTCTGTTAAGATTCGGCGATTAAGAGTCGGCGGCTAATATTCTTGTGGCTGAGGTTTGATGGCTAAGTTTATAACGACTGAGGTTTAATGGCTAAGGTTATGACGGCTGAGGTTTAGTAATTGAAATTACTAATGGAACTACTTCGAACTAATTTAATATTATATTTATTGATATTTTTTATTAACAATAGGTTAACATCAGGCTACCTGGTGTTAACCTATTTAGAATAATATTAAATGGAAGGGACAGAATGTCCACCAGCTGACAGTTGTGGTAAGAACAGGAACAATTGGAGGAGGAGGAAAAAAAAAAGAAAAGAGAAAAAATGAATCAATCATTTTACCTTTAAATTGTTCAAATCAATTTGAAGAAATTCATTAACCAATTAAATAAATTAATTAAATAAGTAACAACAAAAAAGAAAGCACTAAACAAAAATGGTAATTTTGTTGTTATCGGTTCCCAACCTTCAGGTAAAATGATTGAAGAAAGAGCGAGAAAGAAAGAGAAAGGAAAAAAGACAGAAAAAGAAAGAAGGTAGAAAGGAAAAACGAAAGGAGAAAAGGAATTTAGAAAGAGAGAGAAAGAAGAAAGGAAAAAGGTGTGGAAGGGAGAAAAGAAATGAGAGAGATGCGAAAGAGAGAAGAATTTGGAAAAGAAAGAGAGGAAAATGAAGACAGAGAAAGAGAGAGAGAGAAAAATATCATCATCACAATTGGCCGGTCTGGGGGAAAAAGACTGTCCTCAGTCTTTATTAGCATATTTGTTTCTTTTGACAATTCGTTAGATTATTCCCAGTTCCATTTGCCGTCCCAAGATAATTTTTGTTCCCATTCCCATTCACCATTCCAAGTTGTTGTTTTTAGAATTTTATCGAAATCATTTATGGATTTTCCTTCATTGATCAATTCACGAATCAGGTCACCTTTAGATGTTAGTAGGTCTCGATGAGGATGATTTAGCCATTTTAGATAACATTTTAATGTTGCCCTTGCATCCTTTTCTGGATTATGGTTACCTCCTGGCATTGCTCCTGGTTGTTGAATATCTTGTGCATTTGGAGCAAGGAAATGATAGAGTTTAGCCAGAGCAAAATGTTGTCCTTTTGAATCTCGGAAAAGTTCACTTAAGAAAACTATTTTACATTTATAATTTTCTTCTAAATCTTTTTGATTAAGGCCACAGAGAGTGAGATCAGTATCACCATGGTGAAGAATTAATCGTTTACCAGTGAGGATTCGTAGTAATTTATTTTGTACTGCTCCAAGTTCTTCACCTTTTAATAACTCGGGAGGAGCTACACCACCATAACTCAGATTATATCGGCTCATATTATGTTGTTTGACACAAGTATAATAGAGATTATTAACTCTTAACGTCGCATCGATGTAACCAACCAAACATAGTCGACTAACTGTATTTTTCTCTTCCGATCCATTGTATCTGGAACAACCTTCACAATCAAGTGCAACAGTTTGTAATGGAGGATCACCAATTGGTTTGAGAATAACTTTATCGGGACTTAAAATACCTGCCATCATGACTTGTCCTGGATTTCTGAAAGCAACACCTAAATTCAAATCTTTTTTGATGTGCCTCTTAACCACTGGAGTTGCTTTGTTTTTAAATTTCGGGTTATCACTGGTTACCATGTTATTTATAACTAATTCCGGATTTACGAATTTACTTCCAGGTCGTTTACTTTGTTGATATTTTACACAATTTATAGCCAAGTGCGAAGGTTGATGACAAAAGGAACATGATGTACAATTTCTTGTACTATGTTGGATAGAATAGCAGATTGAACAATAGTCACACGGTAATTCTTGATAATAACCAGATTTTATCGCCATGGATTTTAAAATTCTACATCCTCTGTTATATTCATCTGGATCGTTCGAAAGGATGATGATTATGGTAAACAAAGACTCTCTCCCAAGGTAGATTTCAAATCGGGAAGAATGTAGATTAAATTTTTGTCTTTGTCCCATCCTCATTACTCCATGTTCATTAAAAATTGACATCCAAAATCTCATATCTGAATGAACTTTGATTGTTTTTGAGAAATTGAATATTGATATTTCATCTTTTCGTAAGTCAGGTTGATTAGAAGCATTTGGAATGAAATTCCAACGTTCTCGACGAAGATCTTCTCTTTCTTTGATGGTTTTATCCAAATTTGAAGTAACAGTGGACATTGTAGATGTCGATGGAATTACATTGAAGCTGGTGTTTGTAGAATTAAGTTGAAATCTAGAATTCTTCGGTGTTTCATATTCGATGATTGATTCTGAATCGAGATCTATTCTCTCAATAATCGTAGTTAGATTTTGAGGAATCGTTTTGCGTAATTTATATTCTGTGAAAGTTAATCGTTTTTTTGGATTCATTTTCTAAACGATAAAGGAGAGAGAAAAAAAGAAAAAAGAT